ATCATTTATTACCTACCGTGTACGTAAGTCCATATAGAGTTCGCAATGTACAAATTTATATATTAAACACGAAAATATGAATCTGATAATCATTAGATATCAATAAGGTATACGTGATAACAATAGATAGATATAATTAATTTCTTACATATATAAATTATACTCGTATAAGTGCAAACATAAATATTCTGGATCAATATATTCAAACCTGAGTGATACCTTCTATTTATTTATAGAGAGGCAACCGAAGTAACGATCTACCTGATAGGCAGTGTTCCAAATAAACCTTTTTATATACATAAGTTGACAATCATTACTTTTTATAAAACAAGAAATTGAAAAACAATTAATAACAACAAAAATATAATATATCACGTTGACAGACGGTATTTTTTATTTAAATTTAATGAAATTAATAAATAACTACATAAATAAAAAGAAGCAACATATTTATAAACAGAGACTGTCTTTGAACCTTAAAGAGAGAGGGATTGTTAGTCATCATCATCATATCAGCCTTTAATTGTCCACTGCTGAGGATAAGCCTTCCCCTTAGGGGATTTTGTCAGTAAATGCCAAAATTGGCAAACGGATTGACAACCTTAGTTAACTAGAAGAGACGCTGCTGCCCATCACTCGCCCTCCCTTAGTCACCTCTTACAATACCCACGGGAAAGGAAGGGGGGTCTATTCTATTCCGGGACCACACGGCTACAGATTGTTACTAATGGAAACTAATAGCCTCATTGCTAGCAATACTCTCTCACTAAAAATAAAATTTCAAGACCATTATGAATTAATAATAAATTTCAGTTGAAACTAAGTTTTTAATGCTACGTTATAGTTTTTTCGCTAAACTATCGAATTAAAAATTTCTTTTCAGAGAAAAGTTTAGAAAATGGCTCCTCAGAATGGACACTATTGTAATTTTTTTTAAAACCTGTTTGTGTATCTGTATTCTCCAAAAGAAAGAAACGCAACCCTTACAGGATCACTTCGTTGTCCGTCCGTCCGGACGGTCCGTTTATCAAGACCCTTTTTTCTTAGGAACGCGTAGAGGTATCAAATTGAAATTAATATCATATACTCAGATCTATAAAATCTTAAAGTAGTGAATAAATCAAGCTTCTAAATCTACACAATTAAAAGATAGGGCCGTTTAGTATGTTCCATTTATCTCGCATATTTTGACGTTCGCAAAGGGAATCATAACCTATAGGGTACTTCCCATAAAGAGACGAAGTAGGAATGTAGAGATGATATGTCTCAATAATAGCAATAAAAGTCAAAATAATTTTTTAAAACATTTACCTTTCTGTCTGTATGTTTGTTCCGATATCACGGTCTATTTTCAAAATTCAGACGTACAAATAGCGTGTAAAAGCTAGTCTTTAACACGTACATATTTTGTAACAAGTACCTACGTATTTTGATGATTATATTCAAATGGCTATAAGAATGATCACGATTTGCTGAAATAAGTGTCTAATTCGAATTAAATAACAATTTGAGAACGGTAACAAAGTCACGACCAACGAACTGTTATATTTTTAGTAACGCTATATACTATAGAAAATATAATAGATTGTTACTACTTCGAAAATTTAGGTATAGCCGCATGGCGGAAGTTTTATATTGGCCGAGTATTTAGTGTAATTTGTACAAGGCATTCAACTTCCGTTATCAATGCGGTAACGATATATTCAGTTAATGTGGTGTTGAAAAGTTGCACAGTACCTGAACAAAAAGGATTTACATAACTTCACTATCCAACTTAAACTTTTGTATCTATTTACCTCTATTACTTTTTTTTTATATACGTCTACCATAGAGCAAAACAGGAAGTTCACTATTGAAATATTTTAATTGTATTATATAAGATATTATGTGGGAAACTTATGTTGAACAATGGACAGTGTATGGCAAGATATTACACTATATAAGATGGATATATTTAAAGGATATACGAGTATGCATCAATTTCTAGGTACAGGTAATTTATGCTTAGTTTACTTATTTTGTAACTATTGTAAATACTATACTACATTATGATAAGTAAATAAGTAATAAATATTCTAAAAGGATTACCGACCCTTTTTACTTTTATTTACAACATATAACAGCAAACAAGCTAACGGCCCATTTGATGGAAAGTGGTAATCAGCCTCATACCCTACCCATGAACTAAATTATAAGGTATCTAGTATTCACAGCAATTGTATATAATTCGTAGAAATACAAATTGAACCAACAATGTTTACTTTTCTCCACATTAGATCTCTACCACTAATTTAATAGCATGATTTTAAATGAGTTTCCACAATCGATAGATCTGTGTCATCATAATTTTAATGAGATGAAAAAAAATATAGTATTTCTAAAAGTTTCATAAAAGGATACTTCGTTTGAGTAAGTCTTCTTTTTCTAATAATCTTTCTATATTCCTAAACCCGTGACCTGCCCCGAACGCGAACTATCAAAGTAAATCTTATCTCATCTTTCAATAAAAATTCTAAATTTCCTTAAGTTGCATTAAAGATACTATTATGTACCTGCCTGAATATATAGAAGAATGTATACCTAATTTAAAAAATCAAAGGAAACTAATTTGATAATTTTAATTCAATATTATTACAAAGATCTATAATTTTATTTTTTTTTTTTTTTTATACAACTTACAATGGCAAACAAGCTGACGGCCCACCTGATGGAAAGTGGTAACCGTTGCCTATAGACATGAGCAGTACCATGGACATAACAGAGTATACTGTTTCGCACATGATACCCCCCATGCGTTGCTATTCCTGAGGACTCGGGTGTTATTCCTCTGTACCCAGTAAATTCACGCCATATCCCACCCTTCAAACCGAAACACAGCCATGCAAACACAACTGCTTTACGTTTGAAACACGAATGGGACAGAGGTACCCAAGCAATCGACTTTTGTACAAAGTCTCCCTCTGGTATAATACCGCCAATTGACTTATCAGCATATAAGATATGATAACATTGGTACTATACATTATGTATGTAGGTACGCTATTAATTAATTTAAAGAAAGTGAAAAAAATGTTGCAAATTTTATAGAGTTATGTTACTAATAGTACCTATCTAATAATAGTGCTTTGTTTTTTACACTCACCCTATTACTGAATACTGAATTTACCAGAGGGAGACTTTGTACAAAAGTCGATTGCTTGGGCACCTCTGTCCCATTCGTGTTTCAACCGTGAAGCAGTTGTGTTTGCATGACTGTGTTTCGGTTTGAAGGGTGGGATATGGCGTGAATTTACAGGGTACAGAGGAATAACACCTGAGTCCTCAGGAATGGCAACCCATGGGGGGTATCATGGGTGAAACAGTATAGTCTGCTATGTCCATGGTACTGCTCATGTCTATAGGCGACGGTTACCACTTTCCATCAGGTGGGCCGTCAGCTTGTTTGTCATTCTAAGTTGCATAAAAAAAAAAAAAAAAAAAAAAAAAACATATTAGAATGTGAAAAATAAAAAAGATGTTTGGAAGCTAGTTACTCAATACCGCTTCTTATGGCTGAACTAGATGGATATGTATATATAGCACATACCTATATAGGTTTTATTAATAATATATAATAATATAATCACGAAGAAAAAGGCGCGTGTTATTACTAGTACCTATGTAACCATCATTACATGCCTATTACAGCACTCATAATTAAATATGGATTTCAACCACAGTATAAAGAATACGCTCACTGAATGCATTGCAATATGACATAAATTTTACTCGTAATTTAGCTAAATGTAACGGAAACTAGTAATACGAACAACATTTTATCCCCGACGACTGAAATCACATCTAAATACAGTTCATAATAATAATGCCTATATAAAGTAATAACTAGTACTATACCTTCCGATATTTATAATATATTTGTAAACATTTTTTTTTTCTAACTTTGACATTAAAATGCATATGTATAGTATATTTTTATAACTTAGGTATTTGGAATAAATCCAAAATTAATTTTCTGTGACTCCATTAAGTAATTTCATCTAGTCCGTGTTAATTAGGAGTTATTGGCGATAAATATCGATTACCATTTATTGCAACCTCAGTCTTGCTCTCCTGATGTTTGTTATCTCATCACACGTCATATAAGAAATATATTTTGAGGATCAAACAAACGATGTTGCCTCTGTTTGATAAATACAGATATTAAGTATCTGCTACCTACTTAGATAAATTACTTTTTTATTTTTAAAACTGATATCCATCCATGCATTATAGATTTTATGAAGATAATGATTGTCTATCATTATAAATGCACCAAACAAAATATAATTTACTTAACGCAAAGTATCTATATTACTCAGAGTATCAAATAAAATCAACGCTCCATTTTCTACTAATATTTTTGAAGAAATTTAGAATCTTTCTTCTATATTCTTACAACTTCCAAAACGAAGTATGTACCTACAAGTATTTTGTAATTAGGACCATTCTACTGGTTTTTAACTCTATATGACTCTACCAGGACGAGTTTCTTAATATAAATACGTAGTTACGTATATAACAATATAGGTAGGTACGTAGCTCACACAAAACGACGAAAGTAACTTTCAAGGCTGAATTATCTCATTCATTCATAATTATATATGTGTATTCTCTAAATTATTGGCCATTGTCTAACTGCAATATAGAATGGATGATAGCGCTATTTATTTACTTAAATGGCAGAATCAAGTAAAATTCGACTTAATTACAAAAAGTATGTAATAAAATTACAATATAATGTAGGTACCTGTAAATATACCTATGACTAACTTTAATGGCTACTAGCTAGAGTGATACGTGCTAACAAGGATGTAAAATTAGTACCTAATCTATGTTGAAATAAGTGTTTACAGACCTAAATTCCTAGATACTTTTTGTACGTTACATATATACAACGTAGATCCTATCTACTACCCTTTAAAACTTTATATTAGAATATTATTAAGTAATTACATCCTTACATCTTCAGGTGGGAAGTCGTAACATTCCGCTATCTTCTGGTAAAGTTCCTTGATATTTGAGAACCCGGAGATAAGACCCAGCGGGCTACCGTGGGCCTGCTGACAGTGAAATACCAGCTGCGACTTCTGTGACCCATTGTTATTGTCTACTCCGTTAGGATGACTTTGTGGCTCTTCTATTGGTGCAGAAGGCGTCGGCGGAGGAGGTGCAAGTTTCGACGACTTCTTCTTAAATAACGACATTTCAATGGAACACTATATAACGGTATTATAAATTTCCTTCGAGAACGTCAGTGCGCGCACATTCTACACCCGTTCACTGTAAAAATTTAATCACCACAGTTTCTTATCTTACGAAAACTTTAAAATGTACCGTCGCGTCATAGTACGCGATAGTGTTATCGCCCAATGGCGATGTTGGATAAGATTGTACAATTTAGTTGAAGGTAACTTGGTGCAATGACAGAGACACAAACCGGCCGGAGCGTGCAAGCGGCGACTAACAACGACTGAATTGAACTGAATCATTTCGTTCGTGGTATTCAATGCGAGAATGGAGCGCTCTCGCTTCGACATCGACGCACCTCTCGTGCCGCCGCTCGTTGGCCAAGCGTCATTGCTGGTAATATCATCAAAGGTACTACCTAATGTCATCATCACAAAGTAGTGAGAATATTCCGTGGTCATCCTTCAACCGCCCTATATTCTCTACATAGAATAAATATAGACATACTCATTTTAACAAGTAGTCCCTAAAAAAATTCTCCTAACTTTTTCTTGTAATATTAGAAGAAATAAGTACTCACTTCTACTAAATTATGATGACTATCTACATCAACACATAGAGTAAAATAGATAGAAAGGACAAGATAGACACACAACGTATCATGCTGCTTCTTGTCTATCCATCACACACCCAAAAAGTATATAACCGAGGGGAATCTCACACTAATTGGTAATGAAAGCATACTAGTGTTATGAAAAAATCGCCACATTGAAATTTACATTGAAAGCATATTTACTAACGCCATCTACCTATATGCATTTTTATGACTAAACTGATTTTGATAAAAATGATATTTTACTCTTATATGATTTCAAAGTTTAAATCATAAAAGTAATACACATCTATAATCTAAGGTTTTAGCTAGGTGTCCCGATAAACGTTTTCCCCTACTTACCAGATCCATTCTTTGTTACCGAGATAAAAATTATCCTATCTTTCAAGTAGGAACAAACAATATACACCAGAGGGAGACTTTGTACAATAGTCGTTTGCTTAGGTACCTCTGTCCCATGCGTGTTTCTGCCGTGAAACAGTTGTATTTGCATGTCTATATTCGACGGTTACCACTTTCCATTAGATGGCCCGTCAGCTTGTTTGCCATTGTAAGTTGCATAAATATATATATATATATATATATATATATATATATATATATATATATATATGCAAATTTTAATTAAAATCGACCGTGTATTTCGGAGATCAGCGTAAACGAATATCATGGAATTTTCGTACAAGAGAAATTGTAATTGTTTAGCAATAAAACCAAAGTATATATATATAGATAATTGAATGGTAACCCCGCCTGCGCTATCGGTATACACTGGTGGGGCACCAGTTTTTTTTTAATGGGTGAAAATGGAAGGGCAACTTCGCCCGCGCTATTGGTATACACCGACGAGGCACCAGTGGAAGATGATAGGTGAGAATGAATGCAGGTCATTTGGCCCACCATGATGATTTCGATAAAAATTAACCATGATGGTTTCCAAAGGGAACCGCGTGGAGGTCGACCTGAGAGAGTATATTACTAGCAATGGGGCTGTTAGACCTTATTACTAACAATCCCCCACCGGTGGGGCACCGATTAGGTATGAATAGTAAGGATAAAAATGCCCAGTCAGTTAGCCCATCGTGATGAATTCAACGATAAATTCACGATGGTTACCAGAAGGAACCGCGTGGAGGTCGACCTGATAGGGAATATTGATAGCAATAGGGACTAACCTCCCCAATACTAACAATCCCTTCACTCCGGTCATATATATGTCAGGTCGACCTCCACACGTCTCCCATGAAAACCATCGTCGTTAACATTTGTTGCATTCATCAGGATAAACTAACTAACCAGCTTTCATCTATAATTATCATCACTCACTGGTGCCCTGCCAGCATATATCGATAGCGCACGGGGCGTTACTATTCTATTATCATCCGTTTTATAACTATAATAAAATAGCTAACCCAGCAGACGTTGTCTTACCCCCCTACCGGATCTACTTTTATATCTATACATATAAATAAAATTGGAGTGTCTGTTTGTAATATTGAAATAACCATTTTTTACTACATCTATATATATATATATATATATATATATATATATACGGTACATACACCAAAATAATATTATTTGCCTATTTGTTTCGGCTAATCTCTGAAATAGCTGGACCGATTTTGACGGGACTTTAATTGGCAGATAGTTGAAGTAATAAGGAATAACTTAGGCTACGTTTATTATAGAAAATATCTTTTATTTTAGAAAAATAATGTTGCAATGTCCACGTACTGTCCAGTACCGCGCGGTTAGGCGAAACGAAATTCACTGGATCAGCTAGTCACAATATAAAATCAATATCGGCCACTAACGTAAATGAGCATAGTAACACGAGATTTATTTTATCTATGTCAATAAAAATAAAAAAATAAATGTTGAGAAACGCAAAACTTGTTTGATGTTAGATAATATTTAATTGAAAGTTTTAATTATGAGCTAAGAGCCATTTCTCACATTTGAAGGTATATTTAAAAAACAAAAAATATTGCCCACATTGACTTTATCTGAACTAACTTATTTTGCAAGAGGAATAAGACACCCTGTCAGGTCGACCTACTTGCCTTTCCCCCTGGAAACCATCGTGTGTATTCGAAGTGAATTCATCTCGACGGGCTAAATAACCAGCCATTTCATTCTCATCTATCATATCTCACTGGTGCCTCGCCAGCGTATACCATTAGCGCAGGGGTTACCATTATCATCGATTAAAACATACTTTGAGATTCGTTTTTATTTACATACATAGAAAGTATATTTCTGTCAAGTTTGGTGCCATGTCTCGACATCACACACCATAGAAACCATTAATTATTTATACATGGAAAAATAATAATCTCTCTTTAATAAACTAACGACTAAACCAATTTCGATGAATTAGTCAATTTAAATCATTGGAATGTGTAAATTCCCGCGAAATAAATGCAATAAAATACGTGATAAACGTGAAATTATACGTACTAATCCTAGTTATTTCCTGGGTAATTCGTTACGATAAGACAATTGACTTTCATTCTCATCCATCATCCACTGATATTCCGCCAGCCTATACCAATAGATAGGTAGGACGCAGGCGGAGCTGCCTATTTTCATCTATCAAAAAGCATGTTGATTAAACTAAAAAGCTTTCAGAGACTGGTTTGCTCTTCTGTCAGCGGCTGCATGAAAACAACTCCTACAACAGCAATAGAGTTGGCTTTCAACATAACACCCCTAGACCTGCACATACAGCAGGAAGCGGCCTTAGCCGCTATCCGACTAATGCATCTGGATCTATGGGGTAAAAATCACTACAATCCCCACACTGCTATTCTGAACCAGGCAATCGAATATCAACCTTTGATTGCGGCTCCGTATGACAGGACTCATAATCATTATATATTTAACAAAAAATACCAAGTACAAATAAAAGAAGAGGAAAAGGACCAATCCGGTGTACATGAATTACGCATATATACCGATGGCTCCAAAACTGAGAACGGTTCAGGAGCCGAAGTCTTTTCTTTAGACCTTAATATAAACGTGCACATACCGCTTGGCGACCACAGTTCAATATTCCAATGCGAATGTGTTGCAATAACCGAGGCTGCTGTAGCTGTACATAAGCTAGGAATAAATGGTTTTAGCATTAGATTCTTATCTGACAGTGCAGCAGTACTAAAAGCATTACGAAACAACAAGACAAACAACAAACTAATAATTGAATGCCACCATTCACTGTATACGATATCTTCCAATAACCGAGTTATCCTCCAATGGATAAGAGGGCACAGTGGATCTTATGGTAACGATGCCGCAGATGAACTAGCTAGAAGAGGCTCAGGAACGAGGGTGGTAGGCCCGTATCCACTTCTTCCTCTTCCATTCTCACAACTTCAAATGTGGATTCGTCAAAGATCTGCTGACATACAAAACCAAAGATGGATACAGCCTACTGATTGCAGACAATCAAAATTGGCCATACCTATGTTGAATCAAAGAGTATCAAAACGTTTATTATATCTAGACAGAAAAAACCTCAAAATAATGATTGGGACAATAACGGGTCACTGTCCATTAAACAAACATCTGTACACAATAGGAGCTACAGACAGCCCTCTATGTCGGGGCTGTTTCGACGCCGAAGAAACGGCTACTCACGTAATTCTGGAATGTGAGGCTGTGGCCCATCAACGTTTAGAAATCCTCGGAACGGTGAGGTCGCTCCGTGAGGTCTGTGAAGAACCCAGGAAGCTTCTGCGCTTCTGGGCGGAGCTAGGTTGGCTGCACTAGCCACGACTCATACGCACAATGGCCCAAGTGAGAAGCTAAGCGCGGAAAATGGAGTCTTTTTCACATTCACATTCACAAGCATGTCGATTTTGTAGTGTGGAAATAAAAAATGAAATATGAATTTTATGGTATTTATTTAACAATAGGTCTACGAAGATGCTACAGCCTTTTTGGGAGTAGGTCTGCCTTCTTTGAAGCCATTGCGGAAACGCCTTCTGACAATCTTGAGATGACGCATACGGCCAGTTCCTGTAGTCTTCCTACGTTTGGCTTTTACTGACCAATGATCTGCAATTAAAAAATAAGAAGAAATCATAATTTGTAATTAATTAATAATTAAATATAAAATGTTAAAAACTATAGTTTGTGTGAAACATAAAAAAAATTTAAGAAAATTATGATTCTCAATTTTTTATGCTTAGTTTCAATTACTCTACCTACATTAACAAGGGAATATCGTGCACATTAATATCCCCTCAATCAGTGTAGGATCCAGTAACATAGATAACACAGATATATACATAAAAAACTATAAGCATTTTAAAGGAATTTTACAAAAAAAAGATATAACCTAAATTAATAACTTTGCTAAATGAAATCTTATTGCAAATTGGTGAGGCAGTACTTTTTAAGTTTATATTAGAAGCAAAATATACAACAACATATAAGCACTACATGGAAAAAATATTAAACATCTAAAGAAATTCTAAAGGGTTATAATATAAGATAGTTTATGATTAAAAAAGATGGTAATGAACACTTGTATTCTACCTTGCTTCACATACAGATACCAAACATCTACAAAACAAAATGAAACTACTTGTTAAAGAGCCAGGGAAAAAAGCATTCAAAAGCAATAAAAAAAATTGAGAAAGTAAGAAATAAGGAAAAAGACAAAATTAACAGATGTTCCACACAATGCATTAAAACTACAATGGAAAAAGACTGTTTACTAATTTTAAGACACAAACGGACTATTCTATCAACAAGACAGTCTGTTTAATCCTACTAAATATAAAAAAAAATGTTGACAGACAAAAATAAAGGTGGACCAATGACATTCAAAAATAGTTGGTAAAATATCCATAGGTATCTCAAGATAGTATGTAATAAACATAAATATAAAGATTTTCTAGTACTAACCACAATACTGTAATTATTGTTATACAGTATTAGTTAATTAACATACCCCATTCCTTAAAACTGGTGTTAGTTACAGATATACTTTTTTTGAGAGTTTAATGTTTTATTTTTTTACTATAATAAAAAAATCAAGGGAAAAGAAATCTTTTGAAGCTATTAAGATTTAAGGAATGGATTTCATTAATTAGCATACTGTATAAATTGAAACTGTTGTATATGGATATCTATGTTTAAAGAGGCTTTATTAGTTCTGAAACAATTCTACTATAACATTATATTAGTCATTAAAATAATTATTTTGTTGTAATATTATTTTAAAATTTGAATTTTAGTGACAGAATGATGCTTTAGTAGAGAATAGAATAGAGTCCAATGTATAATATAAACTCTTAGAATTAGGATTTTACTGAATAGCATACTAAATAAAAAACAAGTCATAATTATAAATAACATCATGGATTCTGCTTAATCAGACAATTGATAAATAATCACTTGCAACTTTCTTTAGTATTGGTATTTAAATATTAATTAATCATGTAATCAATGAGTAGATAGACACAAGTTGTACTGATTTTATGTACCTATGTTAGTTGTTGCAAAAAAAGACTTATTTAGGTACTTTTTTTAATTATATGTTACATACAATAGTGCTACAGGGAAGCGATAAACAAAATGTATAATTTTCCATAGCCCACCCTAGCCCAACTACACTAGTTAGATATATTTTTATTTCAAACATAGCAGAAGTCAAAAATTTATATTAAAGTTATCATTTAATTAAACAAGGCTAAATATATGTTTTATTTGTGTTTAACTGTTTTTATCTGTATTTTAATACAAATAAAAACTTTCCACTGTCTATGTCAGAAATATTAACAGATGGAAAAATCACTCACAAGACCGCAATTTGGCTGCAGGGTATCCACACTGAGCGCATTTTGATTTCTGGATGTGATAAGACGATCTGCCACATCTTCTACATAATGTGTGGGTCTTATTACGGCGCTTGCCGAAACTTGAAGTACCTTTCGTCTGAAATAAACATTGATTAGGTTATAACACACTGCGAATTTATTCTGTAAAATAAGACCTAATTCCTTTTAACAAATAATGTAAAAGGCTAAATATGATAAAATATAAAAGTAAAAGTTGTTCAAAAAAAAGATTATTTGTGATTTAAATAAATTAAGAAATAAAACACCTACCATCTTGACAAAACTGACAATGAAAGAGAAAATATAAGTGTTGCCATCTCGGTTTTAGACATTTTGCTAAATTATTATTAAAATTAGTTTAATTGTCATTGGTAAAAATATTCATAAAAACCCATAAAATATTATTAATTGAATTAATTATATCGAAAGCTAATTACAAACAATATTTCTGGACAACACACACATGACACCCCTAATGTTCCAGGCGTCCCTGGGCTAGTGCACAAATTAGAGACTAAGCTAGTGATATTTACTATCAGACGGTTTATATGCTCGTTAACTACCTTTGTATTATAAAAAAGCCAGATTGTTTTTTTTATGACAACAATTTATTTTGTTGAAGTGGGTTTTATACTACTAAAAACAAATTTCCAAAATCTATAGTTTTATATGTTTATATTAATTTGTAGAGCCCACATCTTGCTAAGATACATTTTGTTTATGTTACTTTCTGTTAAATGTTAAATGAAAATATATTATAACTGTTTCTGATGATCTTTATTATTTTAATAGATAAATCACTGGTTTAGTTTATAACGCTATATAGTATCTACCTTTTTTATTATTTATATTTAAATGGAAACCTATATGAACAGTAGTACAACACTATGAATATTTTATCTATAAATTTATTCTCCACACTATTAAAACCAGGGAACAAGGAATTACATAGAAGGAATGATAAAATAAAATCTTTAAATCTTATGGTTGCCTCCTTTCTTCCTATACAATTATAATTAGTAAAAAGAGAACGAAAGATACACCATCTGTTACTATTTTCTCAATTCATAGCAGCCTAGTGCATGAAAATGTTTGATATCAATTATTTGTCAATGACAAATTTTAATTACTAGATATTAATTCGACATAGTTTATGTAGAAAGTATATAAGCAGGTCGTATCTGAATTTGGTATGATTATGCGGCCGTATAACATTTTACACCAACCTTTTTTTTTTATACTACTTAGAATGGCAAACAAGCTGGCAGTCCACCTGATGGAAAGTGGTAACCGTCGCCTATAGACATGAGCAGTACTATGAACATAACAGAGTATACTGTTTCGCCCATGATACACCCCATGCGTTGCCATTCCTTAGGACTCAGATGTTATTCCTCTGTACCCAGTAAATTCACGCCATATCCCACCCTTCAAACCGAAACACAGCCATGCAAACACAGCTGCTTTACGGTTGAAACACGAATGGGACAGAGGTACCTAAGCAATCGACTTTTGTACAAAGTCTCCCTCTGGTAAAACTCCAAAGTCTCCAAAGTCTACAAATTGAAATAAATAGCAACTGATAGTGTATCTTTCGTCCTCTTTTTACTAATTATATATGTATAAGTAGAAAAGAGGCCACTATATGTATTACAGTTTTTATTTGGTTTAGTTTTTATTTTATCATTCCTTCTATATAATTATTTGTTCTTAGAAAGAATCATATAGAAGAATTGATCAAATCGATAAAAAGTATTTTTTTTCGGACACTATTGCCTATTTACTATTTGGTTAACTGTGTTTACAAACTACTATTACAAAGAAGCAGCTCAGCAATAAATAATAATTATCATCATCTATTATTCAAAATTTTTAAGTAGTTTCGAATTAAAAGTTTTTATCTAGACAAAATTAAAAACATATTACCTATATTGTTTGTAAATATATTCAACTGACTTTGGAAAGTTGACATGCATTTCAGGTTTCGTTAATACAAGACCAGGGCTGATTCTGAAGAGACATTTATCTAAGTTTATCTCTTAACCGAATATTTAATTTTGATAATTTTGCAAAATTAAATACCCTAAAATTGAACCATTATATACTAAAATTATATTAATTTTTACTTGAATCTATTAAAGAATTAGTTCTTATTGGTCTTTACAATAAAGCTTTCACTGTAATGTCAAAATAAAATTATAATTTAAAAGAAGTGGCGCCTTATATTCGACTTCATAGTCCAGTGATAATCTGAAATTTCTCTCTCGTCTGTGGTATTGATTTCTTTAGATATAGTCTCTCTAATCTGTGCATTCGTTACTTAGTACTTACCCTGTGAAATAATAAAAATTAAAAATTTTATAGATACTTATTGCACTTTTCTCTTTTGCTCCTTGTTTTTTAGTATAAAATCTTTATAAAATCAAGAAATGTAAGTACCTACCTATTTATGTTAAAAGAAAAACATGTTAGAATAGTTCCGATCAGAACACACCGCGACGTCTGTTTTCAAATTGCGGTATGGACACCCGAAAGTCAATAAACAATATATGTCCATATTTATGCCAAGATTAATGTCATTTCATAAAGACCTAAACATAAAGAATAGGCCACAATGATTATCATTTTCCAGGGGAAACTGCCTGTAAGTTAACCTGATAGTATATATTGCTAGCAATGAAGCAGCTAGTTCCATATTATTATTTATTAAGAAGAAAACCTTTACTCACTCTCTTTGACCTAAGGCCACTGACCAAGTTAATTTATCTTCTTTTCTCTAGTCAAGTATATACCTAAACAGTTTCAAGTGGCGGAACCAGTGCCCATCAGTGGGACATTAATAGTAATAATTATATATATATATATATATATATATATATATATGTATATGTTTCACTTAACAAACTGTGCTCGCAACATTGTTCGCATTGAATGAAATATTTTACAACAGTCAATGGTATTTGACACAGATGCTATGTTATCACCATTTCAAATTGCAGCAAAATCCACTTAATAGCTTTTCTGTATATTGTATGCAAATCATAATTTCCTTAGTTTTATTATATTTCTAAATTTCAAGTACTATATTTTGTTCCATTACTGTATTTCTTTATGAATAAACAATATCATATCTTTAAGAAACTATTAAAATTTGGTTGCAATGTTGCAACTTTAATTAACTTTACGTTTAAATTAATTTGAAATGTATAAACATTTCAAATTAAGTCTGATTAAGAGATAAACGAAATATACAATTATTTTATTTTGTTTCTTAACCACCATTTAGAAGTCACAAGTACCTATTTAAAATATGTAAAAATAATTACATTCTCATTAATAAATGCCTTTTGTTAGGACTTCTATCATACTTCTATTAGTTCCATCAGAATTTACTTAGTAAAAGTAGATTTATTATATATTGTTATATTAAAATTATTATCTCTTTTTCTAGATAACTGTGAAATGGAACTTCTAGATGTTATGAAAAATTTAACTATAAAACATAATTCTAATGAAAATGAACAACAAATATTTAAGTCAGTAGCTGCAGATATAGATGAAATTTCTACTGAAATAGTTTTTGCTGAATATTCAGATAGAATGTTAATTATTATATCTCAGTATCAGAAAATTGGAAGTATGTTGTTGGTACAGAAGGATCAAGTTCCCAATCCCCTAGGTACAAATGATATTTATACAACAAAGGTTATTTTTGGTGCCACAGGGGAAGAGCAGCAGGTAGCAGCAAGATATTTGGCTGAAGCGATCAACATAACAAAACCACTTTGCATTTTCATAAATTTAAAATCATATGATATTGAAACAGTCAAAGCCTGCAAAGACATAATATTAGATCTTAAGAAAGAAGAATCAGATTAACATGTCTTCAACAAGCATTAAAAAATTTAAACCTGTGCATAAATATTATGGTCAACTAGTTCTTGGTCCGCCTGGCGCTGGGAAAACAACATACTGTTCAAAAATGGGAGCATTGTTGAAGAAATTGGGAAGAAATGTTATAATTGTAAATTTAGATCCAGCCAATGACATGATGTCTTATACACCAGACATAGATATAAGAAAATTGATTGATTTCAAAAAAGTAATGGATCAAAAAAATTTGGGGCCTAATGGAGCGCTGTTATATTGTATGGAATATCTAGAAAAAAATATAGACTGGCTTTTAGATAAAATTGATAATAATAATTTTACAAATTTTATATTTGATTTGCCTGGTCAAGTAGAACTTTACAGTCATCATGAGAGCCTAACAAACATTTTTTCTAAATTGACTAATGATAAAAATATTCAGTTATGTGTTGTTCATTTGGTTGATTCACATCATTGTTCAGATGCTGGTAAATTCATAGCAGCATTAATGTTGTCACTCAATGCTATGCTAAAAGTAGGTTTACCACATATAAACTTGCTAACAAAGGTAGATTTGCTTAAGAAACATAAGGATAAATTACATTTTGGGATTGATTTCTATACTGAAGTGTTAGATCTTAATTATTTGTTGGACTGCTTAGACGCTGATATGTTCACAAACAAATATAAGAAACTGAATAGTGCCATTGTGTCAATTATTGAAGACTATAGTTTAGTTAGTTTCCATCTTGTTAATATGATGAATGAAGAAAGTTTACTTGACATTAAAAATTTAGTTGATAAAGCTAATGGATATGTTTTCAAAGCAGAAGAAGGTAGGCATATAAATAGTATGTTAGCGTGTGCAATGGGGGTAGATAAACAAACAAACATTGAACTTGATTAATGGTAATAATCTAAGAGACTCATTATACTAATTGAGTAGTACTATATTCTTAAAATTTTGTAACTGTTTGATGATATGATTTATAATGTAGAAGATTCATTATACTAATTGACTAGTACTGTATTCTCAGAATTTTGTAATTAAATATTTGAAAATCGTTTTAAACATATTTTTATTTATATAAATATTGTTATTTACGTGTAGTTAATTCTAAAATTAATTACACGTAAATAACAATATTTAATTATTCGATATTTAATTATTAATAATTCATACGAATAACGAAATTGCGCGAATTTAAATTATTTATGCACCGCTACTAAGAACAAAATAAAAATTAAATGACAGATATATTGATTACTTCCTAGTTACGTCATTATATATTCCAGATCTTGTGGTACCAGATAAAATATGATAATTTTTATAAGGTTTTATGCATAATTAATAGTAAACTATGAAAAGTTTTATAAGTTCAGATTAATGCATACTGCTTTAAAAACTCCTTAGTCTATTCGGGTGGCATTAATAAAGCGGTATTTTTATATCGTCAAATAGCCTATTGAGATTTACAATTTCATAAATTGATCTACACATAATATTATTTTGGTGCACTGAAGTGTCTATTATTCTTTTTACATGTTTGTATTAGAATCACTTTTTGTCAGTGCATTAAACATTGGTCATTACATATAGACGTATATGAATCATATGCGTATTTTTATATCATGAATACAGCACCGAAATGATATATGACTTCATTATTATAGCGCCTAATGTATAAAAGATAATGAGAAATTTGGCAACGATATTAAAAGTACACCATTAGCTTCATTTATATAGACAATGGTAATCCAAGTATGCATTAGATGGGTTATGAAAATTAATGAAGCAAGTGATATGTGTAGAGGTTCTTTGGCACTTGATTCTCTGCCTACCTCGCATAAAGATATAATAAGCTATATATATTGTAAGTTCAGATTTATATTAAATATGATAAGTAACATCATTACAAACTGCGATTCTAATAATATTTATTGTACTATTAAAATGTTTAATAGATAATATTGCATTAATTTTATTACACTAGTGTAAAGTAATAATAGTTTAGTATTATACAGTGTATTACCTTAATGTGTTACTATAATTGTCACATATTTTTCATCACATCTGCCCTTCATACGCTGTTTTTTACCCAATGGTTAGCTGGTAGAGAATGCCATATGGCATTAAGCTCGCCATTTGTACAAAGTTTTATTGTGCAATAAAGAATAAATAAATAATAGATCACAATTCTCTTAGCATCTTTTTCCATAGAAATAATCTTTGACAAACTAAAAAAATTCCAACCAACAATAGTATATAATAATAGGTATGTACCCATCTTGTACTATGTAGTGCCGTTGGTACAGATTTTTTTCTAGACCGATCTATATTTTTTTCTAGAACTCTATTAATGAAAACTGACATTAGTTTTAAGGAATGGATTTCTTTAATTATTATATTGTATTATCTGTATATTGTTAGTGTTTAATATTTTAAAATATGCTGCAAAAATGACCAATCGTCTACAGCGAATTATAATAAAAGCATCATATTTTTTAATTGTGCACGTTCACAATACAGTTAACGAAAATTGGATGCTCTTCATTTTCAAAATATATGTGATTGCATACGATTGTCTCACAATGTGCATATTTATATATCATGACTGTAAAACTATTCAATATAAAAGCGCTCCTATATCGTAAGATGTTTATATTACTAAATATTAGTTATTATATTGTTACTGATAAATATTAAATAAATCATACGAACAATGTCGCGGGCAACAAATATAAATAAATTCTTTTCTATAATTGCAAGAGCATTTTGATTTCATTGCAGATGTCAAGAAATATAAAAGCTATTTATGATAAGCTTTTGGAGACAGAAAAAGCAATTGATGACTTACTTGATGGTGATAATAAGGCATTTCAAGTATTGCTTCTACATCAGTATAATGATATTAAAGATGCAACACAGATTGTAATTAACCATATAGCAAATCTCGAGGATACCACCATAACTGAAGTACATGAGCGGTTACAACTCAACAATGAATGAAATAAAACAATTTGTTGTATAATAATGGAACGTTTTATTTGAAGACAAATACAACTCTTTACAATTTAAAATTCATCAAATATTTTTTGTGTTCAAAAACTGAAATAGTAATGAACATTTTCAAATTTTTTTATGCAGGTTTACATACTTAAGTTATAAGTGTTTTCAAAAAAGCCACAGTTCCATGTTTGCTACTTCAATTACGAAAAATGTTATGTGTTACATGACAAATATTCTAATATATTTGGATTATATTATGTTGACAATAATTACTATTGCCAGCAAACAAGTTTATAAATTGTAGTAAAGGTATTATTATACTGTTGAATAATCTAAAACTATAGCGCATATTGGATTTAAAAGTAAACATAAATTCTACCTTCTTTAAATCACGACTAACGTAACATTTTAAAAACGTGAAATATAAAAAACATGTATTTTGAATAAGTTTAAACAAAGGCATTTAAAATATATAATCATTATAGAGAATAATGATGTAAATAGTGCCTTTAAATTAAAAGATACGATTTATATACTCAGAAAACATTAACCCCATTGTAAGATTACAATGAATCTTCTGACATTCTTTTATTGTTGATACACATAATTCTTAAACAAATCAAAATACATTGAAGTTAAAACTCTAAACTACACATCGTGTTTATTTTAATAAGCAAGCAATAATATACGTTAAAATGTATAATATAAAGTGCATGTCGAGCTAAGCGACAGCTAGCGAATACTTAGCATTGTGAGTGTTCTCATGCGATGAGAACACTCTGGTATGAGGTGGCGGTCAACTAACGTTGTTGTTAATGACCGCCGCCTTTCTCCACCTGAAGTGGTCGTGTTACGAAGTCAGATGCTTATACTTTATTTGGCAATTAGTCACTGTAAATAGCGCTGCCACGTATGTGTGCAATGCACTCATGTTCTGATCACATTTTGATTCTTAAAATCAATTTTATGTTAATGTAGCAACATAGTTTCTCTATGTTTTGGCCTGGGTATCGTTAAGCGTTCCAAAAATTGTAAAGTCTTCATTTATGTAGTTCCATTCTCGACTGTGTGAACTGTCCAATTACAAAAGAAGGTTCTTGTGTTCGTAATGGAATGTAACTGGTATGCTTATAATTGTGACAGTTTAACCATCAACCGAGTATCTGAGCAAGGTTTGTCTTGATTATTCTCATTAGTCATTCCAGCTAAATTTAAGTATAACAATATAACAAATTTACAAAAATACATATTAATGAAGAACATTCGCCACCATGACTTTCTAAAAATGCATATAAATATATCACTAACAAATCTAAGATTTCCTATCGAAATAATACCCTATAGGATGTAGAAATGTCATTACGCGAATGTTCATCCACTTTTATTAAACGTCTATCGTTAGACTTAAATCTATGAGTTTCAGACTCGTTTCAGGCAGTCCTATAGATTTCAAAGCACCATCAATCATTCAATAAATGCGATTTCTATACTAATTTTACCATCCCTCCCACAATTATATGCTAACATTTGTCGACTCGAATATAATTATCACATTCACAAATACACGACGTTTAATGGGTCGGGTCTAGTCTGTTAAAAATCACTTCAAACATACTCATAGTTCACCATACTCATAATTTAAAACAATGATATACCTATATTATATGTATATTACGAGTCATATAGTGTGTATTAAGACAGTGGTAATAGTATAATTAAAGTGATAAATCCAATAAAATTGTTAAAAACAAGCAAAAATAAAATAATAATGAATCGGGTGATTTTGAACACAAATTATTGCTTTTTAACATCTGCAATTCTTCTAATTCAAAATTTGGGCACGCAAATGTAACTTCATTTTAGAAGTACCTCTTCTAACAGACCGTCTTTAATATTACACACTCAATTCAATCATCAATGCTTAAATAATAGTAAGAAATCCCAAAAACAAGTCTGAAAACATTTGGTTTAATCTATGAGATCAAAAATGTATTATTTCAAATTGTCAGAATTTACCTATGTACTTTGAGAATTACAACCACTTCTAAATGTATGTTGTTTTGTTTGCATATTTCAAATATGAATGTAATAGATCTCATAAACCAAACCAAGCTTAAAAATAAAAATAATAATTTGGTAAATTGTAAATATACTATTTGTAAATAAATAATGTTGACTCAGTACCTTGTATGCTTAAGAATAAAACATATTACATACTAAGTCATCTCACTTTTTAATTAAACATGACTTAACAATCAACATTAATTTATTAATATATATATATATTCTAATTATCACTTGTCCAATAATGGTTGCTGTTAGGTTCTAAACTCTCTAAGAGATACAGTACTATCTCAAGTAGTCGAACCTATCCCTTTGTCTATTTTGATATTTGCCATAGATGTATAAAGATTCATTCAGGACAATATTATATGGGTTTGCCTCATAAGCATATACCAATATATCCAAAGAGTACTTATGTCTTATTAGGGATTATAGAGACGTTGTAATTTGTCTCTGTTGTTTCTTTTTAATATTATTATTAATTGAACACTGAATGTGCCAATTAAAGTAATATAAAATCAGTCTCAAAAATGGGAAGTCTTTTAGATCTTCAGGCACGTATACTTTATGACAGGTGGTAAATACTCACCTTACAGATAATAACTAATCTTTAAATTTAGATTGGTTATGTCTCTGTTTACAAATTTATAATGCAACCCACGTACGTGCTAAAACGATTGTATTCTTTTAATGTCATATGTTATAATTACTGTGTTTTCTCTGAATGCTAGTGAATATTGCACGATAATGCTATTTAATTGGTTATTAACAATTTAAACATCATATTAGAATTGTTTTATAAAGTCACTAGCAACTCAAGAATATTAATCAAATTGTTATAATAAACTTTCCTCAAATAAAAGTAAATTTACGGGCAACATAAATAATTCAGTTCAATACATATAAACTACAAATAAACAAGCGTAAGAGTTACCTTTAGGATAAATTAGTTAGTAACAGGCGCATCACCTTGCCCGATATGTTCCTTTTCAGATATGTGGCTTTGCTCCGCCACCTAAAATATATAGTAATATTATAACTAAATAAAAAAAGTGGAACAATGTATTGCGTGATTACTGATTAAATAAAATCGAGGAAAGCTTGTTGTAGAGTCCTGTGGTTGCTGTTGATAATTTGGCAGTATAAACTTATTCAACTGTCACCTTGTTATTATCAAATAGCTCCAACATTTGAGCGACATTAGCCTTCTGATTAGGGCCTGCTTTCTTCTTCCCTTTACCAACATTCTTCTTCAAATTTTTTGCAGTCTTCGTTTTCTGTTGCTGTGAACCTGTAAATTATTAACAAATAAATTTGTCTAAGCATACTGATAAAAGATAGTGTAAAAAAAAAAAAACAAAAATCAATCAATAAAATATACCATCTGCTTCATTGTCCGCAACCACATTGTCCTCATGTGGACTTCCTTCGTCAACCTGTGACACCATCTCGTCTGGTCTCACAGTTTTACTGTAAAAAATATTACATGATATTATGTATATCTACTGACACATAAAATATAGGGATAGTAGTATGTGCTGCCAATGCAAGCTCTTAAATTATGAATAAAAGAAAGAAAAAGGGTCAGTGTGTTATAGCGACAATAAATTTAAAAGTAAGTTATACATTGGCTTTTGTTAAACATTTTTATTTAATATTTGTGTATATGACAAACATTAATTAAAAATGTATAATAAGTTATATTTGCAGAGGAATAACACCCGAGTCCTCAGGAATGGCAACGCATGGGGGGTATCATGGGCGAAACAGTATGTGTGTGTACTGTTAAGTCCATGGTACTGCTCATGTCTATAGGCGACGGTTACCACTTTCCATCAGGTAGGCCGTCAGCTTGTTCCCCATTCTAAGTCGTATATAAAAAAAAAAAATCATTTCTAGAAAAAATAATACAACTTGATATACAAAAAGATCCTACAGAACTTAAACCTTCTTAGGTGAGAACCGAGAGCGAAGCGAAAGCGGCACGATAATGTTTCCAAGTGTACGTACCCGTTGAGCGTGAGCGTGGCCGGCTTGGCGGGCTCGGCGGAGAGGTCGCGGCGCGGGCGGCGCTGGGTGGCGCGAGGCGCGACGGGCGCGGCGCCCCGCCCGCGGCCGCGCGCCCCGCGACCGCCGCGCGCGCCCCGCGCCCCACGCCATGCGCCGCGCCCGTACGAGTTGCGTGTCGGCGGCGTGTAGCCCACGTAGCTCACCTGTATCGTTCCTTCTATTCTTAATGGCCGAGTAAAACTATCAATTTAATAAGAACCGATGGCCTTGAAACGCATGAACACATATTCATAAGTTGCAGCTCGAAACCATCTCGATCACGTATCGTAATCAGTCCACAGACGCGTCAAATTATAGCACGCCTGTTTTAGTGTCGGGATTAAGAATAGTATCTCCGTCTGCACTATTGGTATATGATGTTGTACCCGTGATAGATAAATAAATGAGGATGAGAGCAGGCCCATTGTAACAAATTTAACTAGAATTAATTGCAATTATTTCCAATGGGAATCTCGTGGAGGATGACCTGATTACCCCATTACTAACAATCCATTTCGATATCACCCATACTAATTGAATGTCTACATTCATTTCAACATTATTAATTGGATAACCAATTTTTTAATATATCTATTATTAAGCCAATACATAGATATTGTAAGTTCAATATATATATACCCATCCCTAGATAGCAACATATGTCACAGCGAGTAATAGTAGACAAATAGGTTATTCTTTTTTAAATATAAGCTTGAAACGAATCTGGGAATATGAACAAAATAAATGAGTGTAATTAATTTTAAGTGAATGTAATTGATTAGAGTTAAATGTGCATACTTTTTACATAATTAAATTTTAAACATTTATCTGTTTAAATGCAATATTATAAAATCATCAGAAAGAAATATATTGTATAAGATTAGGTAAAAAAATATATATATCAAAATTTATCTAAACAAAACCCATGAATTTTAGCAATTCCATATAATTTCAGAACTGTCACATCATGCACACATTAACATGTATGCATGTAGCACACTAATATATTTCCTTATCTCATTTTTTTTATTGTATTTCCCATCTGTTAATATGCGAGTATGTATATAGTCGTTATCATATTTACTATTTCTAAATATGATAATGACAAAACGATAAATGGCAGTTCATTACAATTCATTATAGCCCCAGGATAGGCAATACGTGACAAGCGAGTAGAGACAGTTTGATGCTACCGACCTGCGGATAGCGAGGATGGCGCGTCGGGTAGCTGCCGCCGCCCCACTGCCCGACGACGACGCCGGCGATCTCAAGGCGTGCGGGACGGCCGCGGCCGCGAGCCCAGCCGCCCAGCGAGCCGCCCACCACGCCCGCCACCAGCGGCAGTGGCGGCATCGCGAACTCCACCTCCAGGCCCTCCAGGATTGCCTTACGCATGCGCTCCACCTAGGGCACGTTGTAGCCATGACATTGTTGGGCGTTCATATAGCAAATAGTACACACACTCCTGATCTTCACCAAAGTTTATACAAAAGTCATCTACCTGAATACCTCTATCATCAAGTACTTGAATTACACGGTCTAACTCTTTAAAAATGGTGCAAGGCGTGACGAATACCGTGGTCGTTAATGCATAATGCGATGTCCATTGTGCTGTTTAATTTTATAAGTGATGATTACACCTTTTTCCATTATCCACCATTAGATAGTTTGTGAAGTTAAATAAAAAATTATGGAAGACTCCTTATAGTTTGTAGCAAAAAAAAATGGCACTGTTGCAGGTTACACTGCAGCAATTCACCACAACGGTAATAAAAGAAATCAACTTTCTTTTGTTAAATAATATAGTTACATGTAAATAAATATAAAATAAAGATGGGGTACCTTGACGACGGTGTCTAGATGGTTATCACAGAGCTGCGCGAGATGCTTGCAGTGTGAGGCGCGGTGCAGGTTACGCTGCAGCAGCTTGCCGTCGCAGTAGAGCCAGGGCGCGGCCACCAGCCAGGGTACGGGCGCGCCGCACGCATCGTTGGCCAGCAGTGCCGCCTCTGCACCCGCCATCACTAGCGCCGCCAGCTGCACTCCACGCGAGTTTATCCCGTTCACCTGATACGTCGAATCATATATTAGCATATATATTTTAAAATAAAAACTTTAATAACATGGTTGCAACTATTGATTACTAATACGTTACTAATTTTCTAAATAGTTTTTCTTCTTAATAAAATGAATCTTTTTTATTAAAAAGAAGACTTACGGTCATCTCCTGCAAGTGAAGTGCATTCATGAGATCATTGGAAAAAGCTGTAGCTAAAAAGGCATCTAACTCCTGTCGCCTTAGAATTTGAATTTGTGATGTCATTATGAACCTGCAAACAGTTTACAAGGTTACTTTTTGCAGTTCATATCATCATAAAATTAGTTAATGTAGAATATTTTGATTGTGTTTTTACCTCAATACAGTTGCTAATATAAGCAGATGTTGAGGTACATAAGACGTGTTCAGCATCAGTGGCGTGTCGGAGCGCATGCAAGACAGAAAAGCGCGCATACGCCTACATTTATCATCCTGCGCCGTTCTGTAAAATAGAGAATAAAATAATATAAATAAGAATGTGTATAAAATATTTTTACTAAGGTTTACTAAGGGCTTGCTCAGGGTATTGACAATCTAAATCCGTCTGTCAAAATGTGCAGATCTTCATACAAATATAATTAAAACCTATACATATAAAATTATCGTGTTTGAGCAGTAATTTGATGGGATTCATCAGTGTCATAAAAATATGACTGTAAACCGCTTTGTGGTGAACAGTTAAATAATTGAAACATTTTATAATAACAAAGCTCACCCGAACCAAAGCCTCTGGACTGTTGGTACAGGCCAATCGAGGACCACTCCAGGCACCATCTCAGGGCTCTTGCCAGGATTCACACGAGAATAAATCCATTCAGCTACTTGTACGGTGCAAATACGTTCGTTAGATGCGGAAATACTAGTTGTACCTTCCTCTAAAATAGATAATAAATAATGAAATTAATTATTAGTTATCAATTAATTATTCGGTGAGCCGAAGGGACCCCCGACACCTGCTGAGTAAGAGCCTTTTTAATAACTATAATTTTTTATTCGTTAGTTGCTATAATGACTATCATCTGAATATTATCAATATTCATCATTTCAACTGTTAACTGTCAGTTTTGCTAGTAGTTGCCACGTTAAGCAGGCGGGTTGGCAAACACAGTTAGCCTGTGATGATGTTTTAAAAAGCCGCTGTCCATTCCTCGACCATCAAGCCCCCTCTGTCGCTTCTTATACCACCGAAATATGATCAGTTATAAATTATGCTGATTCAAAACTTATGGATCATAATTGTTTAAACTTACATATTGGGGGGAAAGGGATTGTTAGCAATGGAGACTGAGAATCCCATTGCTAGCAATATACCCAACCAAGTCGACCTCCTTACGGTTCTTCCTGGAAACTATCATGGTTAATTCCTAATGTGCTAACTGGCATCATGATGGGCTAACTGGCCTGTTTTCATTCTCATCTATCACCCTTCACTAGTGCTCCGCCAGCGTATTCCGTTAGCGCAGGCGAGGTTACCATACCATTTTCACCCATAAAAAAAACTTACATATTTAAAAAATTTCATATTAATGTAAAAGTCCTATTCCAATAAATTACTAGAAAAAGTTATTAATCCAAAAAATAATTATAAATAATAAATGTTTGCATTTTCATTAAAATCGATATTTTTGTTTCGTGGTTTTGTTTTATAAATTTAATTTAAATTTTAACAATAAAAAGAAGTAATAGATGGAATATAATAAAAAAGACTTTTTTTCAATGTGTGAACTAATGTTTTCTGCATATTACCTTTGGCTTTTTGGGCCATGAAGCGATGATGATGCATGTTGTATAGAATGGCATAAACATTTTGTCTAATAGGTCTATAAAAATGATGTATAGACGGTATTTCTCGGTGGTTGTCATCTTCCATTAATACATTAAGAGTGATTTGACGGTGCGTGAGAATTGAAAGCATGCTAGGATGCATAAGGCCACGTGCATGCCGCTCTGCACATGTTCGCAACACTTCAGCTGGTGCTGACGGGCAGTTGTCGTCATTTTGAGTTTGCTTATTAACAGCCGACCGGATCTGAAATTGAAATCCGGTTTGAAATGTTAATCTTCAATAGTATAATAAATTACAACTGGTGAATAAACATTAGAATCTAATATTAAAATTTTCATCAAAAAGAATATCTTTTTGGCTCTCTAACCCGTAAAAAGATAAAAATTAATGAGAACATTAGTTTTGTCTATCAGCATTTGTTCCGTTATGGGACTTGTGCTTCAGTTGCTAAACAGCTTTACTAACTCTTTCAGTTTCAAAGGTGGGCTATAGTAGTGAAATTATTATGTATGGTAGCCATAACACATACGCCCTGGAGGTCTAACAACCCCATTGCTGGCACTGTACCCTGTCAGCGTATACCGATAACGCTAAAAAAAACACCTTAGTCCTTAGGGATAACAATGTGTGATACTATGGTGCTGATTATGTATATAGACGTTAGCTTTCACGTTCCATTAAGGTGCATAAAATAATAGGCATAGTTAAATTTTTAGTAAGATTAAATAATTACTGAATGTTACACGATTGTGGAAATAAAATTTTCAATTAATAATTTAAAAATTAGTTTGTCATTTGAATAGTCATTTGGGAAACATGGATACTGTCAATATGTCTCACATATTAAATGTACCACATGAATGAATCGCCGTCCAAAATAATTAAATGAATCAAAATATTAAATATAATTTCTTATTGATATACAAAATAACTTCTGAATCTGGCATTAACACTTGATTTGTATTAATTCCTTTACCATTTATATTCATGCAACGACCTTTATTTGGATATAGAACTAACCGTTACTAGTAGTCTATATAATGTTTTCTACTAGTAATGAATTTCCAACCTTTAGGTCTACACTTGTATTACAAGGTGTTTTACCTCTAATCATCATCATCATCAAGCAATTAAATGTTTAGTTAGTAAAAAAATTTTATGTAAGGAGTCATATTTTAAATAAATTTGTTCATTACATTCATAAGTACTCATGACAGTAATATGAAAGTATTAAAAAAAGACACTAATTAAATAAGGATTCCTGAAAAACATTATCTGGTAAAATGAAAAATGACGGTAATTAATGATTCAGGTACATTCACACCTCTTTCGTAGAAGACTGTTGTTTTTCAGTTTTGCTAGCTTGTTTAGATGGCTGCTGGATGGCAGTGGTGGTGCTCGTGTCTCCGCCGTCGAGAGAAAGTGCGGCTAAACCATGATTCACGTCGATACTCTGCTCTTCAATGCTAAAGTCTGCGTTTATTGATGCATTTGCTGTTGCCAATTTGTAATCTTCCAAGCCTTTTTGCTGTAATTTATCGAGTTTTGAAGATTTTCAACTATCTCAAGTGCTTCGTGTTATAAAATAAAGAAAACTCATAGAGCATAAAAAAGAAAAAAAAAGGATTATCAATTAAATAAAATACTATATATTTAAATTAATGTAAGGAAATTATCAAGTAAAGTTAAAATAATATAATGCACTCTGCACTTATGAAAAATTCATATTTTTATTTAGATCATGCAAAATGATTTTCTTTATTCGCCAATTAGTGCCAATTATGATAATGAAGATGGAAAAGGCGTGGATGACTATTGCAATAACTCTCAATTTATTTTATCAAGAAATGTAAAAACCTCATGTTCAGTTGATTCAGTCGCCAGCTTAGAAGTATCTAAATCACTTGATGTTGACTGTGGACTAATTTCAGGTTTATTCTTTTTATTTGTCTTAGGACGGCGCCCTGAAATATTAAAGCTAATGAGAAATGAGTGACATTTAACAGACTATAAATGCTTTCTGATGTTAATAAGCACAATGAAATATATTGTAAATAAAACTACTCCTGCACAAATTATTTACTAGTTGTATGAATATCAATTTTCTTACCAGATGCAGTTCTGTACTTGAGAAAACCATCTTTGGTACCATTCAAGTAATACTGCACAGCTTGTTTAAGCTTAGCAGCACGCAGATCATTGAGATCTCCAAAGATCTCAATACAAGCAGCATCAATATCTGATGAAGGCAGTTCACGCACAAACTGACACACACTCTTGACTAATGTCTCAGGGGGCACCTGTTGCTATAATGAACAATAGAAATTTTGTAAAAATAAACTTTAAAAAAATATTAAGAAATTGTAAAAACAAATATGTATACATACATTTGTCTTATCCATTGCAGTTAATTGTTCATTTCCAGGCTATTTTAAAAAAAGACTGGGTTAAGCTCTAGTATGGTATTAGAAATTCATTAATTAATTCAAACAAAATTCTTATATACCTTTTTTTGTGTGATTCCCAAGCGTTTGTAGAAATCAGTGAGACTATGTTCGGAAAGTATTGTGCCGCCTAATAGAGCCGCCATAAGACAGAGACGATCTTGTGGGACATCCAGCACTTGTGGCAATTCATGTACCATGTACTCCTTGGTTTCAAGTGACGACTGTATAAACAATAATTAAATATACATGACATGATATACACAAACTTATAAATTTACTTTACATATAACAAAATAAAACAATATATTCAAATTACCCGGTATGTAAGTTTCAACTGAGATGAACTAAAATATCTTGGCGGCTGGAATACTAAATACTCCGCAGAACACCCTATCAAGCCTGCATAAGTTTTTTCACGGCACAAACCAACCACTTCTTGGCAATGATCATCTGAAGATACCATCTAAACAAAACAAAAAAGAAACCATACATACCATATAGAACTGTTAATATTTTGTAATATAACTTCTCTTAATATTACAATACTACTACTACTAAATTAATGTAAGTTTATCTTCTGGTACTAATGCAGGAGACGAGAATAAAAATACCATGATCTACCAGCTGAATATTTAGTACAGAAAGTGATATACCATAATTCTTTATTGTTGTATGGAAATGCATAGAGATACTTTCAAGCTCTGCTTAAAATCTCCACATGATGTGTTATGATTTTAAAACAAAGTTATCTCTATGGCTTATGAGCGATACGAAAAAATAATTTACATTTACTAAAAAGTAGCAGTTCTGATAGTTTTATCTGTCTGGCAGACGTACTTATTTAACATAATTCGTAAATAAAATATATTTACTGTAATTTTACTACTACCTTGACATTTTTTCGTTAAAAGTAACTAACAAAATAAAAATACTTTTATGTTTTACGCAACTTCATAAAATAAGGTCAAATTGTAACCACAGTTTTTTTGGTTGATTTTGAGTAAATATAAATAAGTTTTTGTGATGAAAACAAATAATATATATAATAAAATAAAATTTCGATGAAGTTAGTTCAATTATTTTTCATCATGTTCATAACAAGCAAATAGTCTAATATAAATATTTGGAATTCATTACTCATCTAGCTTTCAGATTTTTAAATGTTACAATATTGATAGATGTTAAATATGTTTGATCTACATTACAGTAGGTATTATTATTTATGTTCGCGACATTATTTGTATATATGTAATCGTAGAGATAATTTATAGTTGTTAAGTCCGTAGTTTTAATCGTTTTTGTATACTGTTATTTTACATAGATTTTACATAGATTTAAGATACCTATAGTGTAAGTTAAATAAAGCATTCTTTGTGTGTTGTTATTATTACCTGCGAATAGAAATAGAAATTGTAAAACAAATAGAAATACGCAAATTGTAATAAATAAATAGACGCTATATGGTACCGTTCTAAAGAGATACGCGTCTCTTTCACTCTCGCCCCGTCCCGCTCGCACAGACTCGCTAACGCGAGTTAGAAATGTTATCGTGCGACCGGGCGGGTATAAAGATAGGCCGCCTCCCGTCGAGCGGCATTCGCTTCCGAGCAGCGACGCACTACACTCGAGAAGAAATAGGACAAGAAGAAAAATACTCTCTTCAGACGGTACCGGAGGCTTCAGAATAGTAATCGCTGCGTTTCACTCCAGCCTGAACCAACGCCCCTACAGTCCACGCTCACCGTACGGCAGTCCATACCGTTCAATTTATTAGAGGAATTTAAGCCAAATAATAGAATTTTAATTTCAAGTAATGTTACTACTCACAATTGGAATATTGAGATAACGTAAGGCTGTTCTTAAACACGAATGTAGACCTGTTGGTGGGACCCACCACACTTTAGGTGGAGGTGTTCCTTTGGTTGCAATATGACGTAGCACCTGAAATAAAAATAATATTAAATGTAATTAATATAAAAGAATAATAATTTTCAAATTAGCATCAGTAACAATATGGCTATCTGGTCTGACTGCACATACTCATATTCTTTCACTATCAAATAGATACACTATATGAATAATGTATCTATTGGAAAAACATAAATATTTAATAAAATAAATTTGTTTTGCTTTGGAATTTTACATATTTTTTGCCATCAAAATCCAAAGTTTTTATGACAGTTAAGGTAAGGAAAGAAAGTAAGGAAATTACAAATATATATATATATATATATATATATATATATATAATATATAAAATGTAATAAAAAACGCCCATGTTAAGAAAACATATATAAAATATATTGTTGCAGGTTCAACGACTCAGCTAAGAAATATCAGCCATTTTAATAATTAAAATTAATAATAGAAATGGTGAAAATTATAAAATTCTTTTTGAAAATTGACAGATAATAAATACCGACGTTGCCACATTTCGCCAAGCTAAAGTTATGAATACTGTTAATTCTAAAAAAGTAATTATTTAAGACTAGCTCCTTAAAGGGTTTTTTCGTAAACATATGTACGCAATGAGCAAAGATAAAGACCTTCTATGCAAGAACATAGAGATGTTCTACGCAAGTTCATAAAATGAAAGCGATAAACTGTATCTAATAATTATTCACTTAACCAATTTCAAATTGGTTTAAAATTTAAATCCATTTAGTTAATTTCTAAAATAAATAGTTAATAGTTACATTTTTTCATCAATATGCACTCCTAATTTAAAAAAAAAAAAAATTCAATATACAGACTACAGTTCAGAATACTATTATATAGACCTACTTATAAATTAAAACATCAATACTAACAAAATTAACTCTCTGTCTGTATGTTGCTTGAACCTGGATCCAGTGTTGTGGGGTTGCTGGAGGTGTGGGATGGGCACCATTAAAGCAAACACATAATGATACTTGGTGCTCAGCAAGAGCCTGTGCTAATGTAGTCAAAAATTGAACGCATCGAGCCCATTGTCCTCCACATGCCCAATCTATAAAAATAAAAAAGGTATTTTAATTGTTTACAAAATAGTCACGATCATTATAATCAGGATTCAAATTTTAAATTGGATTCCATATTGAATAAAATGGGTCTATTATTCATATGATACATTATTTTAGATATTAAACATGCCTGCTTAATACATTAAACGCATCCAAAAGAGCAATCAATCCCTCAAAGTCCATAATAAATTTTCAAAGCCAATATCTTGAGAGGTATGACATATTTTTTTTTTATTTCAATTACAAAAGAATTATACTCTTATTCATATATAGTAAAACCTTATACAAACCTAACCAATTTTGTACTTTTATAATAATAAAAAACCTGTTATTAGCCTTAATATTTTAAATACTAGTATGTAGATCTTAACTGTAACGCCTTTGGTTTCTAATAAATAAAAACCTATTTTAAAGATTACACTGTATTGCCACTTTTTTGAGAAATTAACACAAAAGAGACAAAACAGTTCAATAACTAAAAGAGATTTATAAGAGGTTTGTCGTTTTTATAAGGAGGTATTTAGAATTTTTTTTTTTTGTTGATCACTTTATTTGACTTGTTTCGAAATCTACAAAATACAGATAATTACTTAAAAGGATTAATAATTAAAGCTATGCCATACCTTATACAGTTAAGTAAGTGTACCAAATGTTATCAATATTGTAATAAATATTGTGTATGTCAACCTTCCCCAAATAAATGTAAATAGCATTTTCGTAATAAAAAGTTACATACCTAGTTATGTTTGAATAAATGAATAAACTTGGTCCTGCAAATTTTTGGCAATACAATTTGAAAACTATGACTACTGAATCCAATGAAAGTATATCAGATTAACAAAATTTTATTGCTAAGCCTCACTGTGTCATGAGCTGTCATCCCTCACAGGTGCCTCGCTAGCATATACTGATAGCGCAGACGGGGTTCCATAATCATCTATTTAAAAAAGTGTGAGAATAGAATAAGTATTTTTTTTCTTTATGTATATTGATATGTATATATTTCATAGGATTATCTGATATCCGAAGACGGAGGGGGAGGATACGATAATCCTTAAATCCGGTAACTTATTCTACCACTGGGAGGGTGACTATCCGTTCAATGGCAGTGTCAGGTTCATAGTCCGCAAGTCCCTCGTTAATGAATGAATGAATGATTGAGTATACTTTATTTGCATTATACAATATAGGAAATAAGCAAGGCAATTTACAAACACAACGGTACAATTGTATAAGTACAGTAAGGCGGTCTTATTGCTGAGAGCCATCTTTTCAAGACAACCTTAAGGTAATGGACTAACTGTTGTACAAGTAGGTATGATAGTACTGTATAATAAAAAAAGTATCTTTTGCAAATTAAAAATATTAATATAATGTCTTAAAGATCGAGAGTGTGTCCGCAAGCTGATACACAGAATTACCAAAAGGTATTCGCAAGTGTATGTGCCGACCATGACACAATCCGATGCTGAGGTGGAGGCAATATATGAGGATATTACAAGAGCTATACATTGTTCTAATATTCTATTGAGTATAAGCGAAATTGTATTAGAGGAAGTCCCCATCAATCCCCATCGAATTCGTGTATTCACAGTATTGATGGGGGATTTCAACGCTACACTGGGCACAAGGAAAGAGCATTAGACGATAATAGAGAACTACGGTATAGGGCAGCGAAATCCTAGGGGATAGTTGGCTGGTTTCATGGAGAAGGAAGGACTCTTTATGATGAACTTCCAAAAGCGGCCACAGACACTGAACCTAGGCTAGCCCCAACAGATACACAAAATAGAAATAGACTTCATTATGGCGACTAATTACCATATGTTCAATGATATCCCAGTAATCAACAGATTTAAAACCGGAAGTGATCACCGAATAGTAAGAGGCACATTGACCTGAATATTAGGCTTGAAAGGTTTCGTCTGATGAAGTATACGCTCAGACCTTCGTATGCTCTTATCGAAAACCCCAATGTGTGAAATAATGGACGATATCAACAATAAACTAGTGAAACTGTCTAAGTAGTAGGAGCTAAAATTTGCAAGGCCAATGCTCAAAAATAACCCAAAAACTCTCTGATCGCGCTCTAAATCTTATGAGGAAACGGTGTGCATTATAGTCCCAGTCTTCAACATCTACATTAGAATATAAGCAGCTTAATAGACAAATCTTCAAATGTATACGGCGTGACATACGCCACTTTAATACTACACTCGCGAGCAACCAAATCGACTCGACCCTTGACGGTGTACATATGCACTGATATTACTAAAACGACAAATGTCTATTATAAAATGATATAGCATTCAAAAGCTTAAGATGTAAGCTTTAATTTGATATCATTATTATTAAAATTCATCAATTATTTCTTAAGTAAATGATGTCTGAACGTAAGAGTAGGAAAAATTAGAGTTTAGGAAATGGGCCTAGGTACTGTATTTTGGAAATTAAACAAAAAATGGTAAAAATAGAAAAAAAAAAGAAAAAAATCAATACTTCGTATTGCCCCCTCTAGCCCTTATTACAGCCTGCAGTCTGTTTTTCATTGATCTTATCAATTTTTTGACGTTTTCTTGAGGAATGCCGTCCTACTCCTCTAATGCTGCCTTTAGCTCGTCTACGCTTGAAGGGACTGGATTCCTGGCCTTTTAAGCTCGTCCCATAAGTACTCGATGAGATTCATATCCGGGCCGAGCGCAGGCCAGTCCATCGTGAGTAATTCCACCTCTTCAAGAAACTGCCGAGTGACTCGTGCCGTGTGACAGCGGGCATTGTCGTGCATTAACACGAAGTCTTTGCCGACAAACCCTGCGTAGGGCACAACATGATCGAGTAAGATGTCGGTTATGTTTCGATCAGCTGTTAGCCCGCCTTCTCGGCCGCCCTTAGGTACGAAAACAAACTCAGTTTTTTCCTCTAAGGAAATACCAACCCATATCATGCAGGAACCGCCGCCATACACCACTGTTTCAGCAAAATAGCATTAGGAAAATCGTTCCCCCGGACACCTGTAAACTCGGCCTCTCCTGTCACTCCCATGCAGATACATTCTGCACTCATATGTAAACAGTACCGACCGCCAATGCACAACACTCCAATTGAGATGATTTCGAGTAAATTGAATGCGCGCTTATCGGTGGCCTACAGTCAATTAGGGGTCCGTCGCAGGCCTTTTTGGCGTCAAGTTGGCTTCCTTAAAGCGTCTTCTCACCGTGCATTCGCTTACAGCCACCCCTCGTACACGTCTCAGTTCCTGCTGCATATCAACACCCGTAAGGTGTCGATTGCGCAACGAGGTTAAGACAATTAAGCGGTCGCCTCTCTCTGAAGTGCACCGGTGGCGACTCGTTCTTGATCTCCGATTGAAGGCATTAATCTTTGTATAAACGGGATACAGCAGACTGGCTCAAGTGGAGCTGGGCAACGACTGTTCGCTGGCTTAACCTTGTTGCAACAAGGTAACAACTTGAGCGACTTCTTCTGGTGTGGTATCCATGGTTTCACGAAAACAAGGAATGTAATTTACTGAGATGTGTACCGGTCAACTTGTGATAAGCAACTGATAAGGTAAACCGGATGTGGGCGGGTTTTATAGCGGGGGCAGGTAGCGCAACTCATGTATACCTTATGGAGCAAATTTTCCCTGACGCCCAATTTAAATGCGTCATAAACTCAGCGTTTAAGTTTTTTTAGGGTATTGATGTTAAATGAGAGCATAATTATTTCGAATTACATATCATTTTTATAATTGACATTTGTCGTTTTAGTAAAATCAATGCATATGTGCGCCGTCAAGGGTCGAGTCGATTTGGTTGCTCGCGAGTGTATATACATTGAACAAAATAAAGCTGAATCAAGGCTCCAGTGTTCGCTAAAAATTTTACTATTGGGCGAAGCCAACTGACAAAGTTGAATACCGACACAGGTTATTTAATTTCCGCCATATTTGAGATTTTCAGTGAGATTGAGAAATTCTATGGACAGTTGTATACAACGTGGCACCACCCGAACTAGGTGGCTACCGAAATGGCTTTAGCACCATAGACCACATACATACTACGGCAGATTATACAGAAAATCGAAAAATACGAGGTTTGTCCGGAAAGTACGTATAAAAGTTTTTTAAAAATTTTATTTTACAATTATTCAGGTAAATCAATTTTATCCCCTTCAAAGTACTCCCCCTGTGACATAATGCACTTGTGCCAACGCCGTTTCCACTGTGAGAAGGCTCCTTGAAAGTCCTCTGGTTGTAGGTTTCTCAGCTGCCCCGTCGTAGCTTTTTTTATCTCATTTATGTCCCCCAAATGCCGCCCCCGAAGTACCAATTTGGTTTTTGGGAACAAGAAGAAGTCACACGGGGCCAAATCCGGCGAATAGGGGGGTGTTCGGTCACCGTAATGGAATTTTTACTCAAAAACTCACGGACAACAAGAGAGGTGTGGGCAGGGGCATTGTCGTGGTGAAGAATCCAACGCCCCTCTCGCGCCAATTCTGGACGAACTCGTGCCACACGAGCTTTGAGGCGTCTGAGCACATCGACGTAGAATTTTCCATCAACTGTCTGGCCTGGAGGGACGAATTCTTGATGGACAATCCCCCGAACATCGAAAAAAACAATCAACATTGTCTCGGCCCTCTCTGAATCTTTTTAGCCACTTGTGGACGGTTGGTTCCTTCACAGCATCATCCCCATAAACTGTTCTGAGATCGGCAAAAATTTCACGGCCATTCTTGCCGAGTTTCGAGAGAAACTTGATTACGACGCGCTGCTCTTCAACGGAAGCGGGCTCCATGCCGACGGGGTTTCGTTAAGAGGTAACTTCACAGATGGCGTGACAAGCCAGTTCGCACCGCACGGCGGTCAGACCAGAACTGAAGCATTGTTAGGGACATAAGGAAGGGGTCCTGCGCTTACCTGGCCTCCCCACTCCTCTTTCTCGCATTCCAGAACACTTTTATACGAACTTTCCGGACAGACCTCGTATAATCTGCCACTATGTTTGGCACTTGTGGTCTATGAGAAAGCATTTGAATCGGTCGAAACATCCGATCGGTCGATACTAAAGTCCCTCCACCGGTGCCAGATTGACTATAGGTATATCGAAGTATTGAAGTGTATGTACAGTAAGGCTACTATGTCTATCCGAGTTACGACTATAACGGTTGCGATTGAGAACACTACGCTCGAAGTTGTTGATTAGTATGTATATCTGGGACAAGTTGTCCGAATAGGTAAATCCAACTTCGACCGCGAGGTCAACCGACGAATCCAACTCAGCTAAGCAGCGTTCGGAAACAACACCATATCTTTTCATCCAAAATTACTCAATGTTTGTAGGCGAAGGCCTGTAACCAGAGCGTGTTGCCAATGATGACTTATGGAACCGAAACATGGTCCTACACGATTGCAAAACGTATGCAAAAGCTGGCATACTCAGTGGGCTATAGAGTCTTTGCGTGATAGAATCCGAAACGAGGATATCACAAAAAAAAAACAAAGTAACTGACATAGCCTGAAGGATAAGCAAGCTGAATTGGCAATGGGTTGGTCACATAGCTTAAAGAACAGACAACCGATGGAGAAGAAAGGTCCTTGTGTGGTGATCCCATACAGGCAAATGCAGTGTAGGACGACCCCCCCCCCCCCCCACTAGATAAAGTGACGACCTGAAATGCATTGCAGGGGGACAGTGGACCGTGCCTTATGGCAGTCAATGGGGGAGGCCTGTGTCCAGCAGTGGACAGATAATAGCTGAAATGATGATGATGTATATTTATAGTTGTCGCAATTTATTTATTAATGAATTTTTGACAAAATCCTTTACACAATAATATATGAATAAAATTGTTATAAATATTATAATAAACATTTATTAAAATGTTTTGTATAAATGTGTTAGACCATAAATCTAGCACATAAAGAAGAAATCTAATAATAGATGATTTTGATAATGAACATGATAGTCTCATAAACAATTTACATACATCCCGCAAAGAAATGAATGACACTGATTTTAGATATAAATACCGATTTTGTATTTGTAAAAAATCTATACCCAAAGTTACGTTTTTGCAGAACAAATATAGGGAATTTGTGGTTTTTGCTTAGTAATTAGATATAGAAAAAGTAAAATAATATCTCATGAATGAAAAATACTTATTTGTTTGGAGCATCAGATAAAAATTGCCAAAAATACTGACCCTAATATTAATATTTGGATTTTATGACTGATTTATAGTTTATATAGTTACATAATAAAAAAAATAGTATAATTGGTTCCTATATATTTTATTTTACAGTTATTTTAATATGAAACACCCCAGCATCCCTGTGTACAAATGACCAGGTATACTACCCGGCAATATAGGGTTCCAGGGTTAAACTGTGTTAGAAAAAATAAAATCAGTAATCTCAAAAAACAAAAACTTCAAACCTTTTAATCCTAATCCAGTCTATTTATCTAAGAATAAATAGACATATATATTTAGTATAGACATATTTAGTTTAGTACATATATGTTTTTATCAGGTTATTTATTTAAGTACACACCCATTTATTTGGCATTATCATTGATTTGAACAGTATTTTCATATTTCAGAAGAAGTTAACTAGTAACTACATACTTAAATGAGTAAAGGAAGGTAAGTGAGTATTTATCAATAATCAAAACCGAATCCCAAATTAGTTATTATTCTGTTTAAACAAATATTTTTTAGGAATTAAGCTATTAGTTTATTAAATAATTGTTACTTTGCCTAAGACTTTGTATTTATTTATCTGTATGATACCTCTATTTCTGACATGAAGCAGCTTGGTTTAAGAGGTTGAAATTACTGTGTATGAAGGCATAATACCTAAGCTTTAAGGAATATCAATATGTAAAAGTTAGTTGAGTAAGAGAATACTATGGGCATCACAACATACTTTGTGAAGTTCAACACTTACTCTGTGATGTTACCACTTTCCATCATCAGCTTGTATTTCTAAATTTTATAAAAACTAAATGCCTAGTTTATCAATAAATAAAACTATATTTGCCGTAAGACTTGTTCCACAAAAGACAATGTTTTGATTTGAAAATTAAGCTACTGAACCAATTTTGGTACAACTTCTATTGGACTATTCTGAAAATATATCATTACAGATAAAAAAAAGAATATTGCAAATTGGATTATAAATAAAGCAGTTCCAAGATAACAAAAATTTTATATTTATTATATCAAAACAGCAAATAAAACTGAACAAAACAAATTGAGAACACTCCTCCTCCTCCTCCTTTGAAGTCTATTGAAATCACAAAATTAAAATGCCATAGTACAAGTAATAAGAATTAAAAAAAAAAACAGCTTGTACCAAAATTCAAATAGAAGTTAAGATTTGGCTGTAAAACATAATTTTGATCAGACACTAACTAAAGTTGCCTTTTGAACTAGATCTACATATAAAACTTTTGGATGAGATAAATAAATGAAAATGTTAAAAGTTTAAATATTTATTCTTTAAATAATATGAATGTTTTTAAACTTTATTTACTTAAAATACTATAATTAAATTTACAGTATGCAAATTTGTTTTTTAAATTCATGAAATCTTACCTGAAAAATATCCACCATAGAGACGGTCTAAGCAGCCTTCTGCATCAAGAACTAGACGAAAACCGCCCGCTTGATTTCTAGCGATTCGAAATAGATCAACCCCTACTCCCTCGTTTTCTAAAAATGTTTGTAAATCTTGAATGCCCATGACTAATTAGTTACGATAGCGAAATAGCGACTCGATCGAATGGAACACGTTCGTCTCGACAATGATTGATGGTCTGGAAATCAGAAAAAAACATTAGGCTACCTTCCGATGCCGATTAGGTAGAAGACAGATATATATATATAATGTATTATTGATTACTATTTATAATCTATTAACTAAAAAACTGAAATATTATATCATTTTAAGATCATTATTTTGGTTAAATATAAAATATACAAAGTACCTAACACGTTAAATGAATTCACCGGCATGAATCTCTAGAGTTGCGAAGGTTAATTTTTATATTTATAGACAATAGCCATGAATAGAGAAGTGAGTACTTACTTGGATAAGATTTATTAAATACACAAGAATAAATTTATCATACCTTAGCTAAAAAACCATGCCAACTGCAAATTATGATAGCCTACAGTCGAAAACGGAAGCCATTTGTAATTTTCTCAACCCATTTGCCTCAGATTATTTCATTTCTGCCTTCAGCCTTGCCTACCTTGTCTATGGCAAAGCCAAAGACAAGTTAACCAAGGCCAAAAATAAAACCAGAAAGTTATATAGTTTCTTCTTTTCTTCTTATGCAAATAAAATAAGCACAAAGAGGATGAAAGATATACAATACTATTTTTCTCACCTTGCGGTAGGCTCTAAGCTAAGAACAAGGAAATCTTTAATAGAAAATGTGAATGTAAAAATTTTATTCATTTTGATATGTCAATTATTTGTCATTAACAAATTTTCATTACTAGAATTTTATATTCGACATAGTTTATGTAGAATGTATGCAAGCAAGTTGCACCTGAATTTTGTAGGGTTATACGGCCAATAAAGTGTGGCATATGATGATGAAATTGACTTTTACGGACTAGTCAAAAGGCAGATGTCTATCCCTCTCTAACGCATTAGCATTGTCTTAAATATAACGTATAATACACAATATGTATGCCATCTATTCTATTTCGAAGTTTTTGGGTAAGATCCTAAGAACAAGGAATTACATAGAAGGATAGATAAAATAAAAACTGTGAATCATACCGTTGCCTCCTTCCTTCTCATGCAAATATAATTAGTAAAAAGAGGATGAAAGACACACCATCAGTTGCTATTTTTCTCAATTCATAGCAGGAGAGTGTATAGAAATTGTTTGATATGTCAATTATTTATCAATGACAAATTTTATATTACTAGATTATATATTCGACACAACTTTGTAGAAAATAAAAAAAAAAAAAAATCAGAAAATATGTTAGGTAATAATATCTGAATATGATATATGCAGTTATTAGTTCTAATAGATAATACGATCGTATAACATTTTCTATATACTAGCCTGCTATGAATTGACAATTTTATCACTCCTATGTAATTCCTTGTTCTTAGGGTAAGATAGCCTACAGATTAAAGAACTTATTGATTGTGTTGTTTAAAAAGTGAATTTATCGATATCTATTCTTGTCCATGGATAAAAAAAAAACTAATAAAAATATAATTACGAGCTCGTATTAACACATGTTGTTTTCATTAAGCAATATAAGTATCTATGTTGCGTTTGAGATAGATAATCCTAATTATGTTATTGACACCTTTAAATATTATTCTAATTAAAAGTTTGAAATCAATTAAAATTAATACTTTATGAGTATGAGATATTCATGAGGATTTGATTATTATATGTATGCCACTCTAGTCCTTTCAACTTATCTCGCAACATACATTCAAAATCACACAGTTGTTCAATTTATTAATAATTTTTTTTAGTTTAACCCTCAATATTTTTTCTTTCTGTTTATTGTGTTTTTCCCTGTAATTCAAATGTTACATATTGATATACAGGTTCATAGTATTAGTTTTTGTATACTGGAAGGAACAAAGGTTACCTTAATTTGTTTAATTTAGTAAGTTAACTAACATAATGACGGTATCCGTCATGTATTAGTAGCATTACTCATTTTTTTTTTAATTATTATAACAATTTAAAAGTTGTAACATTTGCATTAATAATAATACAAACGATTAAACAGGTTCCACCATATTATATAATGCACCTAGGACCATATATTTCCAATTAAAAATTATTGTATACCAACGGTAATACACTTACTACTTTTTCAATTGATTAGTTAAATAAGTTGCAATTTCACATGACATACTATATATTTTATAGACTAAGACATAAAAGGAATTAAGGTTTTTTAAAATATGTGCACAATGAGACATTACTGCCCAATGAATATGTGCTCTACAACGTTTTTTCTATTTGTCTCCTAAAGTTTCTTAATCATAAAGTGATCGTCTCGGATGGCGTCTGGTGCATACACTACGACGAAGTGATGCGGTAGCATCTTCGGCCGTAAGATAAGCCTCTTTAATAAGTAGTATTGATGTTAATTGTTAGCATTTTTACTAGTGATAGCGCACTAGGTGATGTTTGATTAGGTGCTGATGTTTCCTCTGAATACGACCCCTGTATTAGTGCAGTTAGAGTATTTGTTCGCGTTTACTCTGAAGATGGTTCCTGAATTTGTAGGGGTGAGGCCTATAATACAGTAGTTGGAACCATATTGGCTTGTGAGTATTGGAATGGGTCTTCGACCATTCTCCCTATTTTAAAAATTTCAACTTCATCAATTGCTCGAGAACGTATATGATTTGCTATTCATATGAACGTTCAAGATTGCTATATATTATTTTTTTACACCATCAGGTATTTGAACTAGGTAGGAATAACGATGAGTATGTTAGTAGCAGGTTGCTAAATTAATTAATTTCTTGTGCGTATATATGGGTCACCACTCTTAAATCCTTTTAAAGGTTGGTCTCCATATAAGTTAGTTTAAATTTTAGTGATTTTCTTATGTCTGTGTGTAGATTATCAAATACACAAGTTAGTTGATGGTCAAACATCGTTTGTGCTGGATATTTGACTATTGTAGGATGTATTACGGTAATTGAACAAAAAAATTCTTAAGCGTTGTTTAAAGTTAGCGCTGTCTTTATTACTTGCCGATGCTTTCACCCACGTCCTGAAGAAAGCGCTGAGAAGGAGCACCGGGGGGTTTTTAGCCGGTAAGAGTCCGGTAGTACCCATATATCTCCCCCGAGGTATGCGGGTCTGCATGAGCATTTCCCCTCGACAAAAAAAGTCTTGAAAGTGCGGATGAGGCACTCTACTAACCTACTGGAGCAAAGGTGGTACAGAGATACTCAGATATGCTAGATTTCATATCGTTTGCTAGAATTTTCAAATTAATCCGACGTAAATTGTTTTATTTACAGGTGACTTTGACGGTGACGATTAGTACTATATTTTTTTAATAGATGAAAATAGAATGGTAACCCATCTTCCCCTGCGCTAATGGAATACGCTGGCGGGGTACCTGTGAGTGATGATAGGTGAAATAAAAAGGCAGGTCAGTTAGTCAATCGTGATAAATACACCTGGAAATCAGCACGACAGTTTCCAGGGGGGACCATGTGGAAGTCGACCTGACAAAGTATATTGCTAGGAATGTGACTGGTAGTTCGCATTACTAACAATCCCTTCCATACTGATTACTATAATATATATAGTTTTAATGTCGTTGTAAGTTGATATTTCAAAGTGCGGTGTGAGTGCTACCTTAACTTCATGGACTATCCAGGGTTAAGGCATATGACAAATAAATGCGCATTTACCGCTAAAAAAATCGCATTTGCTGTGGCTCCACAGTTCCAAGGCACGTCCCTTAACATCTCTAAAAGTATTGGGATCCTTGGTGTCGACATCACTAGTGATGTACAGTTCCGTGGCCATCTCGAAGATAAGGTGAAGCTGGCATCCAAAGAACTCAGTGTGCTCAACAGAGCGAAACATTACTTCACGTCGGATCAGCGATTAAAGCTCTACAAATCGCAAATCCGGCCCCACATGGAGTATTGCTGTCACTTATGGGCGGGAGCACCTAAATACCAGCTTGAACCCTTCGACTCGTTGCAACGACGAGCTATGAGAATTGTCGATGACCCCAGGCTCACAAGCGGTATCGAACCCTTAAGTCTTAGGAGAGATTTTGCCTCACTCTGCGTATTCTACCGCTTATACAACGGATTGTGCTTAGAGGAATTGTTTGTCCTCATGTCCTACAGCCTCAATGGTCGCGTACTGCGCGGTTTCAGAGATGATTCCTCCCACGAACACTCAGATTATGGAATGATCTCTCTGCCGAGGTTTTTTCAAGAGCCTACAGCATGGGGTTCTTCAAAAGGGGGGTAAAGAGGTTTCTTCAGGATCGGCAACGCGCGCGTAATACCTCTGGTATTACAGGTGTTTATAGGCTACGGTAACCACTTACCATCAGATGGGCCGTATGCTTGTTTGCCACCTCAGTGGTATAAAAAAAATTGCTTTTTTACATTGCCCCTGTCTTCATATATTGCATTTAAATTCCAAATAATCTATGAATTTATATAGGTAGGTAGGTAGATATTTAAATCAGTTATTTGCCCAATACTTATCAGTCATACCAGGTCACTTATTCGACTTGAGCAACATGGTTTCTAAGAAAAAAATCGATGATTTGATTGATGATGAGATTGCATAATGGCATTCAAATTGATGCTGTATATACTGATTTCGCAAGCGCATTCGATAGCGTAAATCATCAAATACTAATTAATAAGTCAGTATGGAATTGATGATTGTCAATTGCGCTGGTTTTCGTCATATCTGGTCAATCGTGAACAAGTGGTAGTTATTAACGGATATAAATAAAAAAAAATTATTGCAACTTCTGGAGTACCGCAAGGTTCATACTTGGACCCTATTTTATTTTTGCTTTTCATCAATGATATAATTGACAGCATCCATCATTGTCAGTGTTCACTGTTTGCAGATAACATGAAAATTTCCCGTGAAATTCTATTACCTTCTGATATCGAACTGCTGCAGAGTGGTCTCGATCGGGTTTATCAGTGGTGTAGGAAAAACCATATGTTCCTTGACGCTTCGAAATCTCAACATGTACGCTTTACTAGAAAGAGAAAGAAATTGAAAGCTTATTAAACTATTAACAATACGAAAATTGCTGTTGTAGATCAGGTTTGCGATCTCGGAGTGATTTTGGATGGTAAACTAAGCTTTATTCCTCACTTTGATTATATTGTGGCTAAGGCTGCTAAAATGCTAGGTTTTATTAAACTAAATACAGAAGAATTTAGGCACTTGTCTTCCAAAATATTTTTATTCAATACGTTGGTCAGAAGCATTTTGGAATTTGCTAGTGTTATTTGGAACCCATGTTACAAAATTCACTCGGATCGGATCAAGTTACTTCAATGTTCATTTACAAGACAATTGGTGCGAATCTCCTCTGGACTAAGCAACAGATGTTCCTACGAGGGTAGGTTAATGATCTTTAAGATGTTTTCTCTCCACGAGCTCAGGCGTATACTAGATTTGATATTCCTTCAAGCGATAGTAAATGGATCATCAATGTGCCAAGGGCTATTAGAACCCATAGACATATGTGTCCCTAAATTAAATGCCCGTAATAAATGCAAAGCTGTCTTTAAAATCCTCAGACATAAAACTAATTTAGAGTTACATGCTTCTGTCTCAAGGTTGATCAATACGTACAATTCCTATAAAGAGTCCCTGAATCTTAATATATTTCACGTCCACCCCAAGTCATTCAAGAATAAAATATTAAAAATTCTTTCATAATGCTACCATAATTTTTTCACAATTAATAATTTTAATTCTGTGTGCATTGTTTTAATAATCTATGTTTTAAGTATTGTTATGTTATCCCTTGTATGTTTTTTTATTGTTTAGTTGGTGTCAGTTTTGTTAATATGTAATCGATGACTTAAGAAAATGTTGTGTACATCTGTAATTAGTGTAAATGCAAGATGTAAGCCCTGTATATCAATTAAAATTAATATCTGTATTTACATTGTGGATTTACATTTTCAAATAAATAAATAAAGACTGTGTTTGACTATGTTGTCCTTGAATGTGTTGCATTCACAATAGGGATTTTGACGTTCTACATACTTGTATTACTGCTTTCGTAAGTAAGTCTAGTATTTTAGTTATTTGTGTTGTTAGTTTTGTTGTATCTTAAAAAGTTCTTACCAGAGGGAGACTTTGTACAAAAGTCGATTGCTTGGGTACCTCTGTCCCATTCGTGTTTCAACCGTGAAGCAGTTGTGTTTGCATAACTGTATTTCGGTTTGAAGGATGGGATATGGCGTAAAATTACAGGGTACAGAGGAATAACATCTGAGTCCTCAGGAATGAAATTAAAATTTAATAAAACTATCACAAGCTCAATAATTCCTATGCACATTGACCATGTTTGCATTCCTGTTAATTTTTCAAAATTTTAAATTATGAATATCGCTATATATGAGTGCAGTGCGTATGTAGGTGATTTAAATAATTTTTCCTTTCTTGCTCCTTTTATGATCATTTCTCATTTATTTCCTCACTAACACTCTAATAGTTTAATACAAAATTACTTCTATTTTATTAATTTATCTAATTATTATAATTATTAATTCTATTACCTTCTATTATTTCCCGTCCCGTTTCCTATTTGTTGTAAGTGGCATATATGAACTACCTAAGTTTTTTTAAGGCAACTGTCGATACCGATATATTGCATGAATACATGTATAGATAGTTGTACAGCACTATGGATATATTCATTTGGTTTTTTTTTGTTCATATTACATGTTTTATAATTTTCATGGTGCTGTTACTTCGAAAGGTAACATGCTTTTCAATTTTTATTCTCCAAATTTCGTTGATATAAGTCCAGTGCCAATTCGTATAACGTAGTAATTACTCTGTGACCATAGTCTCTCTAATCTGAGCTTCAGCTTAGACTCACAGAAAGTTTTCACCAGAGGTTCATAGCATTTTCAGTTTCATTTTATACCTATACTTACATATGTTTAGGTAATTGTGTATTGTGTTGGTCTGGTGGTTGGTGACTCTTGTTGATTTCATTCAGTTGATAGGGCGTTTTGAAAGAATTAAAAAAAAAAAAAACTAAATAATGTTTTTGTATCTAGTTACACGATAGCAATAAAATACATTTTGTAGTTTTCTTGCAGTAGGAAATGAAATGTTCTAATAATTATCATCAGTAAAATGCTCTAGATCACAATTTTGTGTATGTTATAATCAGTATTTAATTGATTCAACAAAATTCAAGAATACGTTATGCCGGAGCAAAGCAATGATTATCGTGTCGTAGTTTTTGGAGCTGGTGGTGTGGGTAAAAGCTCCCTTGTTCTTCGTTTTGTAAAAGGCACTTTTAGAGAATCCTACATTCCAACGATCGAAGATACGTACAGACAAGTAAGGACTTTTTTTTATAATTTAAATTTTATAGTTGCGAGGAATATTAATTTATATTTCATAATTTCACCTAAAAGACTATTCCTACATTTTTCAGTACATACTAAAGGAATATGTATTTATTTTAATAAAAAAATAAAATAAAAAAACTTTACCATTTACAAAATCTATTTATTATTTATCTAGATATTAAATTAGCTGGAATTATTATCTCTTTTTGATCTGAAAATAAAACAAGTGTTTTTTAAGTGTTTCTATTTTTTTTAATATAAATTTAAAAGATTAAAATAAGTGTAGTACATATAAGAGATTTCTTCTTCTTCTAACTACCATAAATCTGTTAACATTTAATGATTATTTGTACTTATAAATAACTATTACATAGTATAATCTCATTTTAGCTTTGAAAGACCAATATTATAATAATAGTATGATGATGCATTTTTCTGATTTTTAGAGCAGCTTAGCCATCAATATTTCCTTAATCTAATTTTATTTATAATTAAAAATATTGTCTACTTCACAAAAAAATACAGTTATTTAAATCTGTGCTTATAATTAGTTTAGGATTCTTTTAATTTTTTGGTATATAAACAGTTAAAAAAGGGCTCTATTCATAATAGATTTAAAAAAATATAACGAATGGATTTAAATGTATTATATGTATATTGGATAATTTACTTATTATATATTATATGGCAGTTAAGCCATAGGCTAGAGATGAGATGTGGTTATGATGAAAATAATTATATCAATTGCTCACTGAAATGTTCAGTACATTTCAGTGAGCAATTGATATAATTATTTTCATCAATATCATTGTGTCTGTCAAAGGTATGTACCTACAACATAATGGAAAATCAAATAACATATTAATATATAAGTAGAAGATAAATCTAGATATGATAAAATATATCATACAGTAGAAATGGATAATATTTGTACTACTCTAATAGCTATATATATAAAAAAGGTCATCATCCATTTCTATATCACCCATACCAGTCAGATTTCTGTATTAATTTAGATTTAGTTAATATATAATGAGAGAATATATAATATTGTAATGAAGATTATATCTTGGATTTGGATTTTATATATATAAAATATTGGTTATCCAATATATAAATATTGTTAGTAAAATATATAGATTTTGCTATTTATTACCTACACTTATCATACAGAGTTTTCATAACAAATTAATTAAGAAGTCAATGTAGTCTTCAACATTGTATTTCCAAAATGAAGACTTAGGATATTTCAATTTTATGGCACTAGTATCCTTGAATTCATTGATGGGATGCCAAAAGCCTTGACATATCTATTTGGCTTTATGCCAATAGGAATCTTATGTTATTACTTACAGCTATAATGTAGTACATATGTCCAAATATTATAGGAGTAATATGGAAGTGAAACAGGAAACTACCCAATTGAATAAACAATGAAGTCTTAACTAACTATTATTTGTAATAAAAATGCACACCTTTTTTAACTCGGATAATTAGAAACTATGTTAGCATGATCTAGATATACATATGCAAAAAATACTATAAGAGATACCTTTTTGTTATAATCTATACTCTATTTTTTTAACTTAGTAATTTTAATTAAATTACATATGATACCCATTATCATCATCATCATTATCAGCCTTTAACTGTCAACTGCCATAGGCATAAGCCTCCTCCTAGGGGGTTTTGCTAGTAGTTGCCATGCTTGGCAGGCGGATTGGCAACTGCAGTTAGGCTCTGAAGATGTTTTAAGAGGGATGCTGCTGCCCATCCTTCGCCCTCCTTATATGATACCCATATCAAAAAATATTACCGAATTTTTTATGGATTCTCATTTTAAAAATAATCAATTATGTAGTTGAATATTGAAATTGATTCAGAGGCGCCATTTTTTTAAATCTATCTCTAAAATCTAAATTTCAATATCACAAGGAAATCATTATAAGGACCAGTATCAACTAATTTTTTATAGATTTAAGTCAAAGTTATTGTTATCATGTATGCCTATGTTCAGCAGTGGACAGTTAACTCTGATATGATAATAATATTATTTGAGTTAGTGATGATACATAATGTGTGTTCATGAAATTATCAAACTAAAATATTATTCTGATAGATAGATTTACAGACACAGCACCTTAGAAAAGGCCCAGTATATATGAATTGAAAATTTTGTAACAATGCCATTTTATTTTAAAATATACATTTTAGACATTTTTTCTTTGTGATTAGTTACAGTATATACTTTTCTCTTTATAGGTAATAAGCAGCAACAAAACGATATGCACACTACAAATCACTGACACAACAGGATCTCACCAATTTCCAGCAATGCAAAGATTATCCATTAGCAAGGTAAGATATTCATTACATTTTTTCTTTATTTGTTTGTATAGTTGTAAATCCACCAGCTTGTACTTAAATCCTGCTACTCTAAAAATATATAAAAATAAATTCTGTTCTTAGGGCTCACATCATAAAACAAAGCTCTGTCCAAAATTGTTTACAGTACTGGGTCAGTAATTTGTTAAATATCAAGGACTAGCTCTACAATGCAGCTGAGTTCTGTTCACACTAACATAGAGAAAATTATATTATTATTTTAAAATTATTTTTGCATATAGTATTTTATTTATATAAAAATATATCTTGTATATTTTATAGGGTCATGCTTTTATATTGGTTTATTCTGTCAGTAGTCGACAGTCTTTAGAAGAGTTAAAACCAATATGGCAGACGATAAAAGAAATAAAGGGCACAGATTTGCCAAACATACCAGTGATGTTGGCAGGTAACAAATGTGATGAAAGCCCTGAAATCAGAGAGGTATCTGCAGCAGAGGGTCAGGCACAAGCACAAGCGTGGGGTGTCTCATTCATGGAAACATCAGCTAAAACAAACCATAATGTGACACAGCTGTTTCAGGTATTTATGAATTTTGTTTAAAAATTACTTGTTGAAAGAAATTTCTGCAGAAAATTCGATTATAAGTAAAAATCTATGTGGCAGAAAGTATAGATATTAATTAATTTTAAAATATACAAATGATACCCTTTCGTATGATACCCCACTTAGAATAGTAGGGAAATTAAAATTACTTAGAATTCTAAACAATTTAGACTCGAAAGGTTTTTTTTTATTGAATTTAAGTCTTGTACTACCACAACCTTGACAACACAAAAATAATTTAGATACACGGCAGCATATTAGGTCACTAGGAACTGGCGCTGCAGTAGCCGTCTATTATAATACACGAACTATTTAGTGCTATTTTTTTCCTTTAATAACTTAAAATTTATTTAATATAAATACATAAAATTTTAAGATCTAACTTGGCTCGATTTTACAAGCATAAATAATAATAACTTTTAAATTAACATATATTGACCTTCCAATACAAAAACATTAACTTACATATAATGTTATATACGCAAAGAAAATAAATAGCCCCATATAGGATAACTTGTATGTGAAAACTAGCCAAGTTATGTTGAGATTCAATATAACATCCTAAGTTATCTGAATTTATATAAGTAATTTGATTGTTCAAATTTAAGAAGATATATTTTTAAATAACAAACATTATAAGAGAAAAAGAAAATTACGAAATTGTTTTAAATTTATTTTAGTTGTTATGATTTTGTTTATTTATTTTAATAACTTTATTGACTAATTGAAAATATAGTACAAAAGGCGGGCTTCATGCTAGTAGCATTCTCTACCAGTCAGTTAGTCTTATAAATAAGTTTCGGGATTAACTACAAAACTTAGCATCCAATTAGAATTCAGTTCTTTCTTCTTTTTTTTTTAACTACGCTTTTCTGAATATTGGAGTTGGCTCTTTTTTTCACATTTATGTTTTTGATAGTAAATACATCTACATACATTTTTGATGGTATAGTAAATACCATACATATTTATTGGTAATTAACATGGAGAATAATCAATGAAGGAAATTATTCTAATATATTTAATTATTTACAGGAACTTTTAAATATGGAGAAAAATAGAAACGTCTCTCTTCAAGTAGACGGCAAAGGGAAGAAAAAGAAAGATAAGGTAGTAAAGGACGGTGGCGAAGCGTCAGCCAGCGGGAGGGAGAAATGTCTTGTTATGTAATTACGCTAATAAATAGTTGTGTGAGTATTCGAATACATAAGATAAAATAATTTTGATTCTAGTCATTAAATCCATGTCGCAAATGAATGAAAGCACGATATAGGATAAGTATTGTAATGCATTTAAATTAACGAAATTGTAGTACCTAATATTATTATGCCTTTTAAATAATATTGATTTCCATTTTAATGGAGCTTGAAATTACCAAATTGCATATTTTGCTATATATTAAAATTAAGTTATTTACACTAGTTACATAATAAATAATGACTGACGACGTAATAGAGATGAGACAATTCCGTATAATTGTTAGTGTGAAAATACAACGAAATAAAGGTCATTAGGTGACTAAATGTTAATAAATTTTATGGTATTAATAAATCAACAATTATTCAAGTTCATTTTTTACTAGATATTGATAAACTTTTTAATTAATACAATTCAATATTTGACATGCGTTTATCAATAATGTATTTATTAAAGTTGTTAATAATAATTTTTTATTTACATTGTATTTATATTTTTTATGTTAAGAAATGAAACAGATAATGTCATGGTGGGAAATATTATTTGTGCCAAATTGTAGATGTATGTATTTCTTGACTTTGGCTCACCAAATTATTCTTCATTTCATTATCAACAGGTTTCAATTCATTTACACAGGTTCCATTGGATTTTTATACATAACCCATTCAGATAGGGGTGCTGTGGGTCTGTCAGGAATTTTATACAGTTGCATGTCTATTTAATTATCTACAAATTGTCGAATCTACAGCTTGTTTGTTATATAATGAAGAAAATTTCGTCACATTCAATCCAAATGATCACAAATAACAAAATTTAGGAATCATGGTTTTCAGTTTTTGTATGAATTATATGTATAACAGTTTTGACCTTTCTATGATTGTATTATATTATGCACAGAAAATTATAGCAAATTACAAATACAAAAGCTACTACACAATATAAGTTCTCACTAACATTAATTCATAAATAAAAAACAAAATTAAAATAATTGAATATTAAATAGAATAAAAAAAAATTATCTCGACACAAGAGTAATTTATCAAATTAGCGAAAAGTGAAGAAATTAATTATAACTTTTAGTTGTGGTGTACCTTTTATGAATAGTAGCGTGTAAATATCATTCATTATATCATCTTGCATTCTACCATCTTTGTTAATCGTGACATAAATAGTATGGGACCAAAGTGGAAATAAAACCTGTCGATTGCAAAAAAAAAAAACCCTCAAAATAGATGCAGAATAGACGAAAATATAGCCTAATATACATATATAAAAACATAATGGAATTGTGAACTCATTTTGAAGTAGTTAAAAAAATTGCCGATGAATATTTACATAGGTACTTAATAATAAATAAATACCCAACGAACATGCTACACAGCGCTATCTAGTCCCAAACTAAGTAAGCTTATATTGTGGTTAGGCAATTTGATAGACATACACATTTTTTTTTTAAATAAAGCACTCAGTCATATTCCTTCTTAAAAGGTCGAAAACACTAGCAATTTCTCCGATGTTGCGGGTGTGGCTATAGGTGGCGGCAATCATTTTTTTTACAACTCAGGGGCAAACGAGCATGCGGCTCACCTGATGGTAAGTGACTAACGCCGCCCATGATCACCCACAACACCAACGGTATTGCAGGTGTGCTGCCGGCCTTTTAAAAAGAAATATGCTCTTTTCTTGAAAGTTATGTTGTATTACTACATTTAAGATCAAGTAAGTCACTCGTGCTGGTTTGTCCCCTATGTTATAAAAAAGACCAATATAAATATTCTTATGAATGAAAACATATAGGTATATTATATTGGAATCGAATTAGCGAGTATCAGAAGGCAACCTGTTTTATCGCTATACCACAAGGTCGTCATTTCATATTATTGTGATAACTTCGACTTAGAAAGTGAAATAAGCCTTATTTCATTAAAGTGTTCAGATCACACTTAGATTAAATGTAAACAAAATATATCTTACGATGACATTATCATTTTTTGGTTACGATTTTTAAACATGCATTAACTATTGCATTGGAACGTCGTAAACATTGTAAATTAACTCTAGTCATTATTATAAAGTAGCGGTCGCTAGTTAAAAATGCACTTTATTTAATTAATATCATTCACGACATATCCAATTAGATTTGTCCATATAATATAAAGTTTTATCTAGTCAATAACCATTACTGCGTATGTATCTCATAGTGAGGTAATGTTAATAATTCGAGTTACGGCGCCACTTAGTTCGTATTAATAAGAAATACATAGTTTGAGAAATTAATGTATTGTTAATATTGTTTCTATTGTATTTGTCTGCACAAACCCATAGAGGGTTTTGCAGTCAGAAAAAATTTTAATCGAATCAAATGGCCTTAGTTTTTTCTTGGTCATATTCTGGGTATTAATTTTCTGGTATTGCACATTAGTACCTAATACATATTACAATAATGTTTATTTTGTAGTGTAATTTGTATTGACTTATTTGCTTGTTGGTTAAAGTTGTAATTATAATAAAAATTGTTAAACACTAAACTGTTATAGCTGGACCAAAGTTGTTTGATGTTGAATGATGTAAGTTTACTATGTAGTTTATATTTTATTTCGTGCCTGTTATTATACTTTTCTCACTTGTGTTAATTTTCATCTTTACCATTTCAAATCCTATTTATTGATAAATCTATGTACTCTATACATGGTTTTTTAGAGAAACTACCACAATCTGCTAAGGTATAAAATATAACTATAAATATACAATATACTTAAATATAAATGTGTGAGAAAAAAGTATTTCTATAATAAGAACTAGGAGTTTATCATTTTGTTAAGTTTGCTCATGTGCCCGGTAGTGGAATGTTCGAAATTGTCATTAAGTAATTTCTGATAATGATTTTGAATAATTAATATTTGTTCTTACTATGTTGTTGATATAATTTAGTTATATGCACTAAACTTGTATTATTCGAAGGCGCTGAACCACCAGAGTAATGTAGTGATTTCTCTTAAAGCCTATCAACTCAAGGCCCACCGATATTACTCATTTATAACAACATCGGAAATTCCTATTAACAAAATTATAGTACTAAACTGCATTTTTTAAAGAAATAATAATTGTTTAATCACATCTTATCAAGTACGATTAAAAAATTATATAGCAATTTCGTTATAATCGAATATTAGGGGGCCTTATTATTTTGAATTTGTCAAAACTGTTTCTAAAATGTTTCAAAACCTTGATCTGTAACAAAATTAGAATGGCGTATCGCTATAATCATTATAACTATCTTTTAAGATGGTGCCCATTATATTACATGGCAATAATATAGTAGATAATAGTTTTCATCTTAGCATTGAAATGTTATAGTTATCTTGATAACTAAATAATCATAGAAACATTAATTACATAGAATAAAAATATCGCTGTCTGTTAATTTTATACAATCAAACATAAAAATTTGTTGTCGTAAGTACATAAACATAATATTTCTATAAGATTTTAAGGAAAAATGTATTATTTTGACCGTAGCCAATTGATTTTTTATACTTACCACAAATCGTTTTTCGGAACATTCGTATTGTTTAAAAATCACTTAAGAGATACCCTCATGTTCTGATTTGTTAAATTTTGTCTTAATAATAATAATTATTTATACAGAGCGTATCAGAATAAACAAAAATCATTGTTTGGTATGATCATATGAGTTATAAATGTATCTATTATTGATTTTAGTACCTTCATTCTGCTTACAATGTTAGTGTAAAGAAAAATAATGTTAAAAAAAAATCAGGATCTTTTAGAGTCATTTGAATAATTTGTTACTATGTAAAATAAATAATGCCTATATAAATTTCGTGTTGATTTATGTAATTAATGAGGTTTAATTACTTCTCAAAACTTTAAAATAATGTAATAAAATAATTTACTTTAGATCTGTCATTAATGTACTAAAAATATTTCATATAAAGTTATTTCTTGTCAATCCCTTAAGCAAGACTAAATAATTCACACCCATGTAGACTAATTAGTTATGCTAATATGTCATGCAATCCTATTTGTAATCAATAGTAAAGTAGTATAAAAGCAGCTTCTCAAACTATTGACTGGAAGCTATGTTCAAAATGAGCAAGTGTGTAGGCTGTTATTCCTAACAGTCACTCAAACAATAGTTCTAATTGTTTTATTACAACGGTTTTTGTAATGCGCTTGCAGATATTGTTAACCAATACTAGCAGTGCAGAATGTATCTTTCTACTACAAAGTTAAATTAAAATTACAAATTGCTTTATCATACACAGCTCGATCATATTTTGTATAAAATAGGTATCTATTGCTTAGAATTTCAATTGAATGTCTTCAATTATTACGATTATATTTCTGAAACAATCTTGTGACACTTCTAAGGCATCACAAAATTAAAAGAATTAAAGTACTGTTGTCGGATTTTGATTTACATACTATTTTAACATCCAACATTATCACAATCTAGATATATTTAAAGACTAGAGTCTACTTTAATTTTAAATGATGGCAAATAGTGTTTGTAACGAAATCATTTGTTTACCTATTTGCAAATTAATATCTCCAAATAGGTATACAAATAATTTCGTTCATTGAATATTTTGTACATTTCCTAAAGGCGCAAGATTACGTCTTTAAAATCAACAAATAACAAACTATTTGTTGATTTTAAACGATCCGATTAACGTCGGTTTGATTCCCATAAAAGTATCTATTCATGGTTATGCGTGTTTGTATTGGAATCCTGGCTGCCCCCCCCCCCCCCCCCACCCTGAAAAATGATCTTAAATACCCAAATATATATCTCTAAAATATATTGAAGTATATAACATGATATACTTTTTTATTCTTTGATATAACATCTAACATGGCGTTATCTTTTAATACGTTTACGTTAATTTGTTTTATTAGTAGTTTATGATTGTTTCATATATTTTATTTTACTAAAATATAAATATTTCTTGACACCTACATCATGTTCCTGTAGTAACTCTATTATCACATGCATAACTTTAGCATGTGTTAAGCATTAATATTGGAGGTTTTAACGGCGTTTGGGTTGTGAACACAAGTTCGTAGAACACTTAGTTCAAAATACACAATACCAGAGGGAGACTTTGTACAAAAGTTGTTTTCTTGGGCACCTCTATTCCATTTGCGTTTCTACCTTGAAGCAGTTGTGTTTTGCATGGTTGTGTTTCGGTTTAGAGGGTGGAATATGTCAGTGAATTTACAGGGTACAGAGGAATAACATCTGAGTCCTCAGGAATGGCAACTCATGGGAGATATCATGGACGAAACAGTATACTCTGTTATGTCCATGGTACTGCTCATGTCTATAGGCGACGGTTACCACTTTCCATCAGGTGGGCCATCAACTTGTTTGTCATTTTAAATTGCATTAAAAAAAGGTATATTGCTAGCAATAGGGATATTATACCCATCACTAATAATTCCTTTCTCTCCCTCGGTTGCCGACTAGCGATCGGTCTAAGAACATGGAACAAAAATTGATTTCGATTCCATTGACGAATTCGCTTGATACTTGCCTAGGGGCCAGAACGAAACCAAATAGAATCAACGCTACCTCTGTAGAGCTATTTAGGAGTCATACGTAATTATTTATTTATTTAATAATTTATTGTACACTTTATGCATGTAAATAATATGACAGGTAATTAAATGTCTAAAGGCGATCTTAACTGTAAAAGAAGTATCTTTTAGCAATCTTTCACCATTAATGTTAGCCTCTTACAATTATCAATTGATCTTTTTCCATTTAATCGCAAATGGTGCTGTTTATTGTAGAATAGTGCATTAAGTTTAGCGATTAGGAAATAATCATGCATGAATTTAAAATGAATCGTGCTTATTTTTTGTGTACAATAAAGAATCGTGCTAAGTAATACTATTTTTTTTAACAATTAGCAATCATGCTCGAACTTGTTTGCTGATATAGGCAATTACAATCTTCAATCTAATTTAGAGCTTTGTATTTTCAATTTTTGTTATAACATAGACTTAGTATAGTGTAGAATGTGTAGTATTTCTATTTTATATATTTAGAATATGAAAAATGAAGCGTTACAATTAGTATTCTTAATCTATGTTACAGTGTATTATTTATACTGTCAAGTTGACAATATGTACCAGGCCTGTGCCGGTTAGAACATCGTTGTTGGAATGACGTTTTTCTATGAAACTGTGTTACCACAGACATAAAATCTATCATGGCCATCTTGAATAGGTGCCACGAGAGTCAGAGTTATGGCACCATTTCCAAAATAGCGCTTCACTTATAAATATATATTTTTTAAATATTAATAAAACTAATATGTGTTTAGATAAATTACGTGGTAATAAAAAAATGTAAATAAATTCATATTCAGTATGATACAATACAAAAATAAATGACATTTTTAGCTTAATTTTCAATAGTTTTGAATCGATGAGTAAACAATTATTATAATTAATATAGTTAAGTGTAATTAAAGGTTGCATGTATTATCTAATTGATTAACATGTTCGTTTATATAGTAGCGAGGCTGATTTCTATGCAATATTAGAAATTTTGCTGAATTTGTAAAATTAACTAAAATCTATTAGTGTTCTACCTATCTTGGTTCTTACTGTTTATTGATATGAACTAAAATTGAATTGTGAGTATTATAAGTTACGAAGATGAATAGCACTTAAAATTATATACAAATAATTAATTAAAACGCCACCATTTAAAATAAAAATAATTATAATCATGTTATAGAAATAATGTTATAACTACAAATAGAGCTATTTATTTCATATGTATAATATAATATGTATATATTTTTTAGAATTGAATACGTGTTTTATTTTAGATGCTGTTTGATTCGGCACAATCCTTCCAACTATTGTTTAATACGCCAAAGAAAGTTTGTATTTGTCGCCTGGCAAAAAACTTTGATTAAATTTGTGGTAGAGTAAAATAAAGTAATTAGATATATGTATTATTTTATTGTCTATATTTTATATGCAATTGAAAAAAATATATTATGAACTAGCTAAATATTTTTATTGCAACTGCCGACATTGATATATTAGATGAAGATATATAGTAGTAGTTGTATACCACTATGGATATTCATTTATTTTTCTTTGTTTTTTTTATATAGTGTTTTTATTGTAATGTTACTTGAAAAGTTAACATGATTTTCAGCGTAGTGATTACTTACTTTGTGGTGGGGTTTTAATAATTATATATTTAGTAAGTCTAATAATAAGTAATAATAAATTTAGTAAATTTTCAAATATGATAAAATGAAACCAGTTTATCATATTCGAAGATTTTAAACAATAGAGAAGCTATTTCTTCAACAATATCTATCGGTAGGGATATTCTAGATAGAGCATATTTTATGAATTATGAATATTATTTCTTCTATTCTATTGCTTTGATGTTCCTTGATTGTTGCATAGATTAATTTTCCAGTTTTATCAAAATATGTGTCAGTGCCAACTTCAAACAGTTTTTTTTCAATATTCTCGATCTCATTTGTATTTGCTTGCATTTTTATCTTGTTAATAATTTTTTCCCACCCTTTTTAAGTACTCTTCAGTAAGCTGATGTAATTTAATTATTGAAGATTTTCGTCAGTTGCTTGTATTTACTCAAAATGTCTTCAATTGATTTTGATCCAGCAATAAAACTTTGTTTAAAGTACTTGCATTCGAGCTCTCCAGATTCTACAGAACAGTTAAGGTTGACTCTTGATGATTACATTCGACAAACATATGGTAGCGCCAAAACTTTAGGCAATGTGCTACCTAAAAAATACTTGAATGAAGAGAAATTGGAATCCACCAGGTCAAAGCATAAGAGTGAGAAGAGCGCCAGTAGTAAAACTATACCGATCCCGCAACAAAGTCCACAGCAGATTCAAATACCTGAGCGGGAGAATGATGATGGCTCTGTAATGGATGGAGAATTGGCCTTTGATCTTTTGGAGGAAGATTTAACTTGTGTTGTTTGCAGGCAAATAGCTGTGCAGGCTGGAAATCGCTTAGTAGAATGTGATGCGTGCCATGCTTTGTACCATCAGGTAAGCTACATCTTTATATTTCATTTATCAACTTCTTTATATTTAGATATTTTGAGTTCACCATTTTCATTATTTGTTTGAAAAGATTGGAATTAATAAACAATGGTTTGATAACAAGTGGATTTAAACTCATAACTACTGGGGATTTTAACTATGTTAATAAATCATTAGTTTACAATACTTGTAAACTTAATAATGTAGTTTTTTAAACAAAAATGTTTTATTTATTATTGTCCACAGGATTGTCACAAACCTGTTATTAGTGATAATGATATGGGGTCTGGATGGCAATGTGCTTCATGTCTTTCATCGCAAGGTTTCACAGTTGGATTTTCTAGTAAGACATCATCAGGCTCTAAATCACCAACACGACTGTCAGACTCTACGACACCTGTCAAAATATCATCATCAAGTTCGTCATCCTCTTCACCATCTAAAGTGGTCACACCTAGCATTAATATTATATCAGCAGACAAACGATTGCAAATTATGAAAAAGAAAGCAGCTAAACAGCATGAAAAGAAGAAAAGCTCAAAATAAATGAGCTCATATTTAATTTTAAGGAATAATTTTTTGATGAATTTTAAGTTTGTTATAGTAATAACCAATAATAATAGGTACAATTTTTTTTGTGTTTCCTTATTTGCAGTTTATGAGAGTATATAGCAGTAGTTTCTCATCTTGCTTTCTGTGTTGCAGTTAATTTTTTTCTAAATGTAATGTTCGTTTTTATAGTAATAAAATATGTTGTGCAAAGTAAGTTTGTCTAATTGAATCTATTTATTTAACCATCTAAATAAAATGGGTTATGTGATGTGTTTACAACAGCTTATAATTACTAACATATTTAATAATATTAATAATAATTTGTTCAACATCTTTGTAACATTATGTGTAACTGGTTAACTGATCATATTAATATACTATTTATTATTAACTCTATTGAATTGTAATCCTAAACATCAAGAAACCCCCAGAAATGATATAATCATGGTAAATATCTAAATCATTATTAATTATCTTCTATAAATGTTACATTATTAATAATGAGGAATGAATTTTGATTAATTTATAGTGAAAATAATCAGTAGGCACTAACATAAATAATCTTAATGCTAGAATTTGAAATGCTGTTTATATTTTTTGCTTTGAACATTTGTCAATAAAATATATATATAAAATAAGAAATAAATTTATTCCTATACTTACCTATTTAATTATTTTTCTTATTTTTGCACTTGTGCTGACTTGTTTAATGATGATGATACTTGATTTTGCATATACCATGTCAGGTTTGATGTTGTTGCATTATATTAGATGATATTACGTTCATTGTTTTTATTTTGGCACAATATACTGGACAAATATGTAAATGCAAAAATAAGTGTTACACTACAGAAAGAGGAGCTTTAAATTTTAATCAAAGACAACTAAAAATATCTATTTTTAAGAGCATTCATAACTTTAGCTTGACGAAGTATGGCAACATCAGAATTAACTACTTATACATTTTCAACAATAATAATTTTCAATGTTTTTGAATGATTATTTAAAAAGTCATAAAAAGTGCTCTGTTAGCAAATAAAAACGTTAATCGTGTAAAAATATATTTATTAAGCTGTTGCTGAAAGGTTGGATTGCGATGGCAAAAAAGTATTTAAAATATTCCAAAGCAAAATATGTAGTAGGCGTAAAGTTTTAAGTGGTTTTATACGTAACGTATTTTATGACTAATTCTTTAGTTCATAGACAGCACTTTTTAAATCAACTCGAAACATTGAATTCATCAATTATTATTATTATTATGTTATTTTGATTTTTTTTTCTCAACGTATAGTTGGCTTTATTGCTACGAGTACGGGCTGGCTGCCAAGTATCTCGTAGATTGTACAAATAATTAATTTTGATTAGATGTTAAAAATCGCCGAACAATGGAACAGGTGTTTAGTATTATAGACTTCTGCAGTTCGATGTAAGTGTAGCACGGAAGGTCAAGTGTTCTAAGTGATAAGTGTAGCTGATTCGGGATTACTCCTGTAGTAGATAGGACTATTGGAACTATGGTTGCGGATTGTAAACGCCACATGCGGGTTATTTCGTCCTTTAGATCTGTATATTTTGCCAGTTTCTCAGCTATGGTGTTCTGTACATTGTGTGTATTTGGGACTGCAATATCGATAATATATGCTTTGCGATTAATTTTATCTAGGAGGGTAATATCAGGTCTATTATAATGTGTAGTTTTATCTGTCAAGATAGCACGGTCATAGTATAATTTGTGTGTATTGTTTTCAACTATTACATCATAAATATACCCCATATTTATAGTAGGGTGTGTATGTTTCTGGTATAAGTTTGTATTTCTGAGCTAATTTTTGGTGAATAATGTTGGAAACCTGGTCATGTCTATATTTGTAATCGGTCTGTACTATGGATTTACAAGCTCCTGTAATATGCTGTATGGTCTCCGAATTACTGTTACATCGTCTGCATAAATCTGTCACTAAATTTTGTTTTATAATGAATTTTTGGTAATTTCGAGTTTTGATCACTTGGTCTTGTATGGCAATCATAAATCCCTCCGTTTCCGGGAAAAGAACCCCACAATTTAGCCATTCATTCGACGCTACTTTATCGACGTTAGGTTGGCATAAATCGCTGTAATGTCTCCCATGGAGGGATTTATCACGCCACTCTTCTATTTTTGTTTGCATGTCTGTTTGCTTTTCATTATTTTGTGATTATTATTATCGGCGGGGCACCAGTGAAGGATGACAGGTGAGGATGAAGCAGGTCAGTTAGTCCATCGTGACGAGTTCAACAAGAATTGTTCACGATGGTTTCCAGGGGGAACCACGTGGAGGTCGACCTAACAGGGCATATTGCTGGCAATAGGACTGTCAAACTCCATTGCCAACAATCGATTTCCCCGGGGACTACGTTCAAGATATTATATTTACTTCTCATGGGCATATGGAACATGTTAAATATGCATAGGTACTTTTGTAAACAGTAAATAGTAGATAGGTACAAAAAATTGCTGTACGTTTCTGTTTCAGCCATAGATTTAGTATAACGTACTACGTACAGTGGCGTAACAATAGGGTGGCAGGGCTGGCAAAATGCCACGGACCCCCGACCCAAAACGGGCCCCGGCTGAAGAGGCCGCAAGCTCAGAATTGTTTTTTTACATTGTATTCGTACCTAAGTACTTTATTTTACTTGAAAAGTATTTTTTTACTGATAAGGCCCCATCAAAAGAATTTGCCACAGGCCCCAAATGGTATAGTTACGCCACTGATTACATACTAACAGTTTAGGTACTTTAGACCACGTAATCACGCAACGAATGGGAGGAAAGGTATTGCAAGTAATAGGTAAGTAATAGGGACTAACGGCTATATTGCTAACAATATACACTAGCTAGTTCTCTTTTTTAATAAGTGGTAATACAACGGCGACCCTGACTGTGATATCATTATATGCTGGCGGGTCACCATTGAGAGACGATAGACCTTCAATTATCCTCATAAAGCAGGTCAGTTGGCCCACTGTGTTCTATTCAAAAATAAATTAACTAGGATTGTTTCAGGAGGAACAGCATGGAGCTTGATCTGATAGGGTATCTATATAATAAATAAAAATAAATAAATAAATAATGCTAGCAAGGGTGCAGTTACGCCCCATTACTAACAATCTCTTTCCTCCTAGTCTGGTCAGTTAGCGCATTATGTCGAATTTACTAGGAATTAGAAATTAACATACAATGATTGTTTCCAGAAGTTTGACCTGATGGGATATATTGTTTGGCCAATAACGATGTTTTTTTTTTGCTTAGATAGGTTCTGGATTACAGATACATATTAACCTAACAACTAGTGATAGAGGGGAAAAGGTATTGTTAGTAATGGGGTTTAACTGCCCTATTACTTGCAATACACCCGTATATCAGGTCGACCTCCATGTGGTTCTCCCTGAAAACCATCGTGGTTAATTCTTGTGCAATTCGTCATGATGGGCTAACTGACCTGTTTTCATCGTCACCTATCGTCCCTCACTAGTTTTTCGCTAGCGTATACCGTTAGCGCAGGCGGGGTGACCATTTCATTATCACCCATTAAAAAAAACCAGTGACAGGGAGGAAGGGATTGTTAGTAATGCGTACTACCAGTCTTATTGCTAGCAATATACACTGTCAGGTCGGTCTCCACGTGGTCCCCCCTGGAATCCATCGTGCTGAACTGCCCTGCTTTTTCATTTTCACCTGTCATCTCTCACTGGTGCCCTGCCCGTGTATACCATTAGCGCGGGTGGGTATGCCATTCCATTACAAAAAAAAAAAAACAACTAGTTACTGTTAGTAAATGTTGTTACACCATACCTACTCGTTATAGGCCTTAAGTATCGTACATGGCTCAAGTGGCTCTCTATCCATCTTAGTCGCAACTGGCATATCTTTTCCCTTCTTTATTCAATTCTTTTTAATCCAGCTACACCCCATTATCTAAAAGAACGTTTTTGTATTTTTTGGATAGAGCAATTCTTATTCTTTACGTAGTATTGACAAGTTCCAACTCAAAATTCCTACTCATTCTTCTTCTTTCTATGCCAAATCTTTTTTTTGTGTGTGTTAAATAAATAAATAAGTTATATTTTAATATTAATATGGATGCAAATAAACATACGGTCAGTCTTATGGTAAACGGTTACCGTAGTCTATCTATAACAATACCAGAGATAATAATAAGCGCACGTTGCCGATCTTACAGAAACTTTATTGTCTTTTTGAAGAATCTCATGCTATACTGTCTAGAGTAAAATCCCGTTCTTTATTTTGTTTTATCACATATTTTGCAGTCTGTTCAAAGTATTGTTTGAAATATTCAAAATACTTACTCGAAATAAATTAGTACGTATGCAATATGATTAACGGAAAATACACCTATTGCTAGCCGTTTCATTTGGCTTCACTCGTGCGAACTCACTAAGTTTATTCCTGAGAGAATATGCTAAATCCTTCTCCTATTGTTCATCTATTTTACATAAGGAAACTGTGCAGAATTTTATATCAGTGAGTTTTTTTTCTAATAAGGATACTCATAAGTATAATAGGTACAGTTACTATATTCCTGACTACTCACAGATTACTACGTAACTTTATCGCGAAAAGAAACCAAATTCAGGAAAAAAAGCTTCTCGTTGAATTCTAATGTAACCAATCCCGAGAGCGTTATGTTGCTATTGGCGTATTTCCATGGAAGGGCGGTTCGGTACAGCCCGGATGCTGCATCAGAATGTAACAAGTTAAAACTAAATTGAGATTTATCTGCATGGATATGAAGGTTATTTTCGCGTATAGCTATTGTGGTATGAGGGCGGAATTATTACGCCTTTCATTTTAACATTTTTTTTATCAAATCTGCTTTCATGATACTAGTTTCAGGGCGGAGAGATGTGTGGGCGGTATTACAGTGTTGCAGTAATTTTAAAAGTGAAGTGACACATTGCAATCATTATTAAATGATAATGCTACATACCTTGATAATAAACATTTGTGTTATCTAGAAAGACCTGTTGAGTGTTAATTTTATTTTGATAGTCATACATACATATTTTGAATATTTATAAAGTTGTTTTGATAATTTGGTTGGTAGTGCAAGGTAAGACATCAAATTGTCAGAGTACTTACTATATCTGCAATTTTTATTATATATATTACATAATGAAAATGAATGATTTACATTACATATTTAATCAATATTTTTCTTTTTCTAAATACATTATCTTTGTAAAAATGACTATATATCTATAAAAACCTACCTACTACAATCTCAGTTAGTAATTTGCGATTTTTAACCGACTTTAAAAAAAGGAGGGTCTCAATTCGGTTAGATTTTATTTGTTTGTTATCTCTTAACTCCGTCAGTTGTAAACTGATTTGTAAAAATCTTATTTATCTGAAAGGATATACTTACAGATTGGTCTCATAGAAATTTCATCAAAATCGGTTTAGTAGTTTAGTTTTTAGATTAAAATATCTGGGGTAGTCAGCGTTGAAGTTGGTTTTTATGTGGGATACATTTTTTAATTATTAAAACTATAGGTATATACCTTCACGGTTTTATACACTGTAGGCATAGATATATCTATTTATATTTATTTAATCATAAGATTTTATGAAAATGTTGTTAAATAAATATCTAGCTATGTAATTTTCAATATAGAAAATACGGTCATATCAATTAACTTATTACATTAGCTTCATTATTTCCGCAATACGTACTCGTTTAGTTGTGTACCTATGAATACATGCGAATGTTCCTAGAAAGAACTCTGTGATACTCAGTAGCATGAAGCATGGTAATTAATGAAATTTATTGTTAAATCTTTATTTACTTTTTAAATAAAAGGGTCTCGCCGTGTTTCCTTATGAAATCTGCACTGGCGTCTTTGTTGACACTGATGCCTTTAATATATTGCTAGTTGTTAGAAATAATTTATGACCAATTATTATAATAAAATAATTTCGGTCTTTTAAATGTTTTAAGATACTTTTATAGAAAGTCCTAAATTATATTGTAAGAGAAAATCTGTCGAAGGGAGCTCATTAGCTCGTATAACTGGTACAAGTCTCAATCAGTATCGGCTCACCATATTACGCCTACTTATATACAATTTTTTTTTAATATGTTCCACTCATCACACATCTTTGCAATTGTTATATATTACTGTTAAATATGTATTGAATACATGCATTTTTTTGGTCGGTGTACCTCAAAAAATAGCCACTAAAAATAACCCCTTTTTTTCAATATTTTTTTTTCCTTATAATTATTTGGAAATTTATAAAAAAAAGTAAAGTTAGTTAGGAGCTTTCATGTCGCTTTTGTTTTATTCAAATATCTATTATATTTTTATAGAAAAATAATTTAGGGTTGCAATCCTCATTTTCCATAAACGAATAGGTAACGTTAGGGATTTGATAATTGGTCAAAAAATATTTTTCAAAGACAGTTTCAAAGACAATAAGTTTTCAAAGACACCAGTGCAGATTTCATAAGGAAACACGGCGAGACCCATTAGAATGGTAAATAAGATGAACCTTTTAACAGAAAATACGAGTAGGTATTAATCATTATATATTAATCATCATAAATTAATAATTAAGTAATAAACTATGTTTTTATGCTACCATAACATGTAATTTTACTGTTATAAACGATCCTAACTTTTTATAATTTCTCAAACTTCAAAGTGGAACACAGTACATATAAGAGGTAGAGGTAAAGGTACATATAAGTTGAAGACATTTGTTTTAATTCACCATCTGGTAAATAATTAATAAAATCCTGTTTAACAGTACTTATTATATTTACTCGTGTATTTAGGTACATATTAAACAGTATGAATAACGGACGTGCACGGGTACCGAAATGCGCGCGATGCCGCAACCACGGTCTCATATCAAGCCTTCGGGGACATAAGAAGGCTTGCAGTTACAGATTGTGTCAGTGTCCAAAATGTGGCCTCATTAAGGAAAGGCAGCGCATTATGGCCGCTCAGGTATGTACCTGGTTTTTAATAGAAATTGAATTTTTTAGAAAGTTGATGGCTACGGCTAGAGGTGTAACTACTTATGTTTCGTAAGTATATATGTTTGCACCTACTAAGTTATATCTCCAATTATTGAAGGTGCTGATGGATGATAATGATAGTGAAAAGCACCAGGAATAAAATTAAAAATTAAGATAAATTTAGATTAAAAATAGAATTGAAATTAGAATCCTTACACTGCTACGCTAATGGTATCCTACTTGTTGCATTTTTTTATTTCAGTTTTAAAATTTTGAAAGGCAAACAACCTGACGACATACTTACCTGATGAAAACTAGTAATCGTTGTCTATAGACATGAATAGTTCTGTGAGATGGTACTCCTCAAGTACCTATTTCCATTCGTAATGACAAAATTTTTATGCTTCCATATCTTAATTAATTATTACTAACACATCACTAAAATATATATACTATATAATTCATATTAAAATGGAAATAGTTACAGCTTAGCGGACTCAAACTTTCTTTAATGGCTGATAAGGGAATGGTAAGTATGATAACCCCCTTTGCGCTAACGGTATATGCTGGCGGGTGTCATGGAGCGATGATAGGTGGGTGAGGATGAAAAGGCAGATAAATTAACCCATCATGATGAATTGATCTGAAATTAAGTAAGTACTATAGTTTCCAATTGCAACTGTGAGGAATTTCTGTCATGGAATATTGTTAGCAATGGGATTGCTAGTCCATATTACTAACAATTGTTTTCCCCAGAGAACAGAGATTTGTTTATATAGAGACACTTCTGTCCCACTCATATTTTTGCTACTTTTCCCATGACAACAACTTTTTGGCATTACTGTTATTGAGGATTAGGACGCCAAAAAATATTTCCTGTATGTAGGGTGTGTCCATGTGTGTAAATTGAAGTGTTTTGTGCGGAATATCTCTATGTCATGCTTAATGAGATGTTTTAATCAAGTGTCTAGCGTTCGCAAATTTCCAATGTATTCGTCTAAGTAGGTATAGATTTGTACTAAAATGTAGAAATTTCTATAGTTTAAAGTTTATTATTGATGCTATTTACCTATAAAGAATCATGATTCCTATCAAATTGTGGTTCTAGTCATTAAAATATCATTGAAGATTATACTCGTAAGAAGGTGAGGGCTGATTTTAAAAATATTTCCTTTATATATAGAAAATATATATAAAGGGATTAATTTTAAAATATTAATTTTTAAGTTGGGTTTTTTACAAACTTATGATTATAAGTAACATTGGATTATATTTTATAGCATATAATATTTTTAGAATGAAATATAAACAAAACTTTTATATTTCTTGTCTAATGGGGTGAAATTACAAAATTACCGTCCTTTTAAGCCTTTTCAGCCATTGAGAGTCAGGGTGAGACGCTCGCTATGGGTCTTGATATTGCAAAGGCTTTTGACCGGGTCTGGCGTCGGGGTCTTCTATCTAAACTGCCCTACTATGGACTTCTTGACAGCCTTTGTGAATGGGTTGCCAGTTTTTTTGTCCGGCGGATGCATAAAAATCGTTGTTAAAGGTTGCTGCTCCGAAAGCATGGACATTAACGCTGGTGTCCCGCAGGGCTCTGTGCTATCCCCGTTGTTTCTACTGCATATTAATGATATGTTGTCCTTAGGTGACATTCATTGTTATGCGGATGACAGCACTGGGGATGCCCATTATACGGGTCGTACCAATATCCCTCGTTCCATCGTGGAGGACAATCGTGAACAGCTTGTATCTAAAATCGAGAGAACGTTAACTAAAGTCTCCGATTGGGGACGACAAAACTTAGTCCACTTTAACCCCGCTAAGACACAAGCTTGCGCGTTTACCGCTAAAACAAACCCATTTGCTGTGGCTCCACAGTTCCAAGACACGTCTCTTAACATCTCTAAAAGCGGGGGGAAAGGGATTGTTAGTAATGGAGACTGAGAATCCCATAGCTAGCAATATACCCAACCAAGTCGACCTCCTCGCGGTTCTTCCTGGAAACTATCATGGTTAATTCCTGATGAATTCATGATGGGCTAACTGGCCTGTTTTCATTCTCATCTATCACCCTTCACTGGTGCTCCGCCAGCGTATCCCGTTAGTGCAGGCGGGGTTACCATACCATTTTCACCCATTAAAAAAAACATCTCTAAAAGCATTCAATAACTCATATCAAGGATTCTTGGTGTCGATATCTCTAGTGATGTATAATTCCGTGGCCACCTTGAAGATAAGGTGAAGCTGGCATTCAAAAAACTCGGTGTGCTCAACAGAGCAAAGCATTACTTCACGCCGGATTAGCAATTAAAGCCCTACAAATCGCAAACACGGCCCCACATGTAGCATTGCTGTCACTTATAGGCGGGAGCACCTAAATATCAGCTTGAACCCTTCGATTCGTTGCAACGACGAGCTATGAGAATTGTCGATGATCCCAGACTCACAATCGGTATCGAACCCTCAAGTCTTAAGAGAGATTTTGCATCACTCTGCGTGTTCTACTGCTTGTACAACGTATTGTGCTCAGAGGAATTGTTCAGTATGATGCCCACAGCCACTTTCTACCATCGTACGGCTCGCCATATACAGGGTGTTCATCCTCATGTCCTACAGCCTCAATGGTCGCGTACTGCGCGGTTTCAGAGATGTTTCCTCCCACGAACACTCAGGTTGTGGAATGAGCTCTCTGCCGAGGTTTTTCCAAGAACCTACAGAATGGGGTTCTTTAAAAGGGGGGTAAAGAGGTTTCTTCAGGGTCGGCAACTCACGCGTTATACCTCTGGTATTGCAGGTGTTTATAGGCTACGGTAATCACTTACTTGTATGCTTGTTTGTCACCTCAGTGGTATAAAAAAAAGAAGTGTCCTGAAGTTGATCCTACATATACATTTAAACAAGGTTCAGGATGTGAATTCATAGAAATTGTTGTTATCATATTGAAGAAGTTATGATATTTTCGAGTCAAAAACATTTGATTTCTCAATTATTTCATATTGCTTCGAATTTTTATAAGGGAAATGAAAAATCTAAAAATGGACATTATAGACCTACCGCATAATAGAGTGATTTAGATACCGGCGATAACTAATTCTAAAATAACATGCAATTTAGAAGCGTTAATGTGTTTTAATGTAGTGAAATCGAGAACAGCTAATGCGGCGTCTCAGTTTATTTAAACAAGTGGCACGTGTTTACCGTAGACGCCGGATGAAGCATCGATCGGTTTACACAGTAATGCATCGCTGTCGATGTCTCAGCACTTTTATCCTGAATTTTAAATGCATTATCAAATCATGTTCTTACATAGGTAATTATTGTAAAAGTCTATATGCTCTGTAGATTTTGTTAAGCGTAAATATGTATAATAAGCAAACGCTAGTCTCTGTGGTAAATAAATTAAATAGGTACCATACCTAGATTCATCTAAATACGTATCTATTTATATAAAAATAATTGGTTTAAAACATAGAATAGGTCTAAAAATTGAAAATTTGACGTGTATTTTATATGTCATCTTTCATGTAGGAAGCTATCGAATCTGTATTTTGCTACCAATTTTTAACCGATTTCAGAAAGAAGAAGGTTCTCAATTCGGTTGTATTTTGTTCGTTACCTCATAGCTTCGTTAGTTCTGAACCGATTTGTATTTTTATTTTAAAGATTATTCTTGGAGATTTGTTCCATAGAAATTTTATCAAAATCGGTTCAAGAGGTTAGTTTTTAGATCAAAATAACTGGTTTTCTCACAATTGCAACGTCGAAATATACTTTTTTATGGGAATATACAAATTGTTAACAACAAACACAATAAAGGTACAATATAATTCATGTGACGTAGTTTAACTATAGTTAGGCTGGTAATCTATTAACATAATACCAACAGTAGAGAAAACTTAGTATTATGCGATATGGTATAGATACGGTTGTTATTTATTGTGTACTCGGATTGAGTTTTGTTTATATTTCCAATGAAGCGACGATCTCGCCTGGGGACCTAATAGAGCCCAACGTGGTGGCCGACGGCTATGCAGGGGTGGCTGCTCAGCAAATACAGTTACATCCAATGTTTATCATTGATTTTCCGCTAAATTAATTTAACCACATTACTATTCCTTACATTTTATTCTCAATACTATATTATAGATTAGTTTTTTTAGGTGACGTTTTTAGTTATGTTTCATTTTATAATACTTTAAGTTTAACAAGATTCAGTTTTTGATTAAGATTTTTATTTGTTTTGATTATCACCATATTGCTCGAAAGGTAGCGCCTACCAATAATTTTATTAATACTTGCATATACATAAATAAGACACAGTTAATATGAATAATATGACTAATAGGTTTTTTTTTTTTTTTTTTTTTTTTTTTTTTTTTTTTATAGAACTTAGAATGGCAAACAAGCTGACGGCCCACCTGATGGAAAGTGGTAACCGTCGCCTATACACATGAGCAGTACCGTGGACATAACAGAGTATACTGTTTCGCCCATGATACCCCCCATGCGTTGCCATTCCTGAGGACTTAGGTGTTATTCCTCTGTATATTCACGCCATATCCCACCCTTCAAACCGAAACACAGCCATGCAAACACAACTGCTTCACGGTTGAAACACGAATGGGACAGAGGTAGCAATCGACTTTTGTACAAAGTCTCCCTCTGGTAGGTAGTTGTTGAATGTCAGTAACAACATGAGAGAACTAAGACATTTGATAAATAGGTGGCGCTTAAAAGACAACAAGCGGCTGAAGATAAAATTGCTTTACACTTGGCTTCTGTCGAAAGTGGGACTCCGTTAGAAGCTCTTCCTCCTGGTCGTATTTACGGAATGCGTGTAACCGCACCATGCCCTAGCCCTGGTCCTGAACCTGACTCAGCTGCTGATGATCAAACGGTATTTTATTTATATTTAGTATTTAGTTAATACCAGCTATATTCTATTACTTTGACTTCATATCTTAGGATAAAAAGGATCTTATGTATAAATTTAGGTCATAGTCAACATGTGAACTAAATACCATCTTAAGCATTTAAGCACAATAACAAAATCAAACATCTGTACATTTAAAACATCATGTCATCGTAAACGTTTTGTATAAATAAACGAACATGAATGATGACATTAATTAGTATAATAATCGATTGAATAATTAAGTAAAGATTCTTATTCCTATGTGATATTAAGATAATAATTTTTTTATTGTGAATTTGTCTTATTTCCTATACAGCCGATCCATATAGACAGCGAGACTAGCGACTCTCTACCGGATTGTTGTAGCACCTCTCCAGACTCAGCGGGAAATTCTTCTGCAACCGCACGAAGGTTATCTCATTTCTCAATATTCAGCTTGTTTGCGTTATCTGTTAACGTCTTAAAAGTTTAATCAATTCTTATGAAATTTGGTAACACTTACCTATTTTACCTTATATAGGATGAAGAAGAATTAGGTTGCTATTTATTTTGGCCAGTATATATCTCTACATGTATTTAAAATAATAAAATTTTCATCGTGGCTCCGATAAAACTGTTTATAACACTTCTTCTCCATCCAAAGGTTGCTTGGAAGGGGTCGCTTTTAGCGATAAGGCCGCCCATTATTTTCTCAGTGTGAACATTTCTTGTAATTGTTTGTATCTATTTATAATACGTTAGTATTGTAAGCTTTTGGAGGAAACAATAAAAAATATCTATCTATCTATCTATATACATATATTCTGGTAACTCGGACGAAGCTGCGGATAAAGCTAGTAGCGTAATAGTTGTAAATATTTACTTAAGTACATTAATTTAGTCCATAAATCAGACAATTATTTAATTGTATTGTGTCCATATCTGGAATTAAAGTATCGAAGTGATTTCTTAAATACTGCTCTGCGGGACGGTTATTTATAACCTAGTTTATTTTTAGCAAAGAAATAATAAATATATTATAGTATTTCGTCATGGTGGTATTACTATCTTAACTTATAAACGTCAATGACCAAGAATTAAAATCTCACCGACGCTAAAGATGTTCGTAATTCTTCAGTGATAGAAAATACCTTGGAATACATTCAAACTTGTTACGTGAAATTTTTCGAATATTATATGGATAAATAGTATGTATGTAGTAGTATAAAGTACTTTTTATTTTGAAATAGAGTTGGTGAAACTGATGAAATGGCAGAAGCTGAGGGGGCAGTTAGTACTGCCGGTCTTGAAATGTTAAGGAAATTGTTCCCGGGCAAGAAGCGGTCAGTCCTCGAATTGGTGTTGCGTCGCTGCAACCACGACTTACTTCGCGCTGTTGAACATTTTAACGCTACTCATGTAAGTAAATACTCGTACAAAAATATAATTTTGTATTTTGAAAAAAAATTTAACATTCGCCATTACTATATGTAAATTAGTTTGTCTTGGTAGACAAACAAATTTACATATAAAATGTTTTTTTTGTGAAAACATTTTTTGACGGAATTGATTTCTAATATAAGCTTTGAGACTGTTGTGCGATAAGTAGAAATTCTAATATGTTATAAATGAAAGCTAATGTTAGGTATTTAAAATTTCTCGTGATATGATATGCCTAATAAAATTGATAATTTGTGCCAATAATAAACTGAACATTATATTCCGGTCTTTGACTTCAAACATCAATCCATTGCCAAAAGTCAATTTATAATTGACTTTTGGCAATGGATTATAATATTGAATTTATAATTTTTAAAAAGCTAAATGAGCTTTTTATTCCCTGTGTGGATAATAAGGTAATGATTTTTTTAAGTAATTAATTAAAATTTTTTTTTATACTTGCCTTTAATGATATTAGGTGTTCTGTATAATGATAATAGACATAAACATTTACATGAACCTTTTCGTAGGCTCACCGGGATAAAGTTCCGACATCATTCGGAACAAGTTCGAGCTTCGACGCTTCAGTATCAAGTACCGAAGAGGTAGAATCTAGGTGGTCTGCATTTCGTCCTGTGGGACCGCGAGCTCCTCTACTACCTGCTCTAGTTATGGGGCGAGTATGCGGCTCGGAATGGCTCGTACCACTACCAGCACTGCCTGCTCTCTCCACGCCGCTACTATTACCACTTCAGCATCCACACCAGACGCCGGCACCGTGTAATCCTTGTACACCCGATTGCCGACAGTGTAATTCACATCACTGATTAAAAAATACAAAGGTAGAATTTTATGAGTTTATAGATACAAACATTTCTGTTCACCGTTACATTTATGTTATAATTATTTATCAATGACAACGCTAAAGAAAATTGTATCTAAATATTAAATTGCTTTGCATTCGTATCAATGCGGTATTGATTTTATGCTAATAAATTTTAGAGCTCAATTTATAGTGTTTTTTTATTATAGCCCTGCGTCGTAACCCAATGGTATACTATTCCAGTCTAAATAAAAAACGGTCGTAAGTTTGAATCTGAACGATACCGAAATCTTTTTGTTATTTTTAATTTCAAATTGAATCAACAAAAAAATTTATGATGAAGAAGAAGATCTCATAGGTGATAGAAAGCAATGATAAAACAAAATAAATCCGAAAGAGATATAGCGGTAGACACGTATTCTGCCACTTTGGATTCTAATTTGCTAAACTAAATGTGGACATATCATTCACGATAAAGGCGACAGTCGACACTTGCATTTGAATACCCATTAGAGGGGGAAGAAGGGATTGTTAGTAATGAGGACCAGTAACCCTATTGCTAACAATATGCCCTGTCAGGTCGACCTCCTCGCGGTCCCCATGGAAACCATGGTGTTCAACTATAAGTGAATTAATCACAATGGGCTGACTGACCTGCCTTTCCATGCTCACCTACATTCCTCGCTGGTGCCCCGCCAGCGTATATCGTTAACACAGGCGGGGTTGCCATACCGTTGTCATTTATTAAAAAAATACCCATTAAGAGTTATAATTGTGGGTATATAATTTCCTCTAAATATGGTATGCGTGGGGAAAGCAAGAAGTTACACATGTATAAATAAACTTATTTACATATTTATTATCTATTCTGTTTGTTGATGACATATTATATATAATACTTAGGTAGGCACGTACCTATATTTTATCTATAGTTATGTTAAAGCAAATCAATAAAGTGACAGGTTTGAAAAATAAACCTTAAATAAGTTAACCACACAAACATAAACAGGACCCCTACGCCTACAGCTATTATCACAGACAGTTACAAATCCGTGACAACACTCTAAATTAGGACCGACTGGACTAGATTGTCTTTTCCCAATTTCATTTTATTCCCTGTCCATTTATCTTATTAGATAAAATTTATAAGGTAAGGTAGGTAAGGTTGCTACATCATTGGAATGCTTATTTGTCATCCTAGTGTCTTAAGATCGAGTCCTAGTTTAAATACTGACCTAAACAACCCACAGGGCATATGTTAGGCACAAGGTTTTCACCAACATAACTATATTACACATGTAACTGATTTAAAAGCAATACATACCTATACAAATTAAAAAATATTTGTCACGAACTTGTCAATTAAGCATAACTCGTTAGATTAGATAGAGTATTGAGTGTCAAAAACGGGTCAACAGAGCAAGTAATCCTTAAGTCAAGTTTTAGCTAGCCAATTTGACGTTTAACTAAATTTTTGCTTATATTTTTTAAATCACATAATCGCGCTTTTTTAATGTGGTAAGTAATTGGATTATCAGATATAAATTAAAGTATTCAGCAAATATAAGTATTATTACGAATTGTTTATCTAGTTCTTTCAAATAATTTGAACGAACAATATAATTTTACATTTTATCAACTTGTTCTTAGTAATAAATGCATATTCATATGCTAACCTTATGCACGCACATATGAATAAAAATGTTGACTTGTTTTTAGTGAAGCATTTGTATGGAGACCCTAACTAAATAGTCTAAACTCGTTAAAAAACACTAAAAATAAAACGCGGTTAACTATAGTTGTCACTGTAAAAATATTAAACGCCAATAAACCAAAATATCCCATTGAAATGTGAGGATGTATCGTGTAATTACTAGTAACAGTCTTATTTTTGTTATTTTGACCAATTTATTATATATTGTCGTAAATTATGTCAAATTCATAGTTTACCATTTATTTAGATATTTCGATGTAATAGATTTTTTTATTATTTTTCTGTTATAACTTATACATTAGAGATAGTGAAAATATATAATTAGAGTAACGGCAAAAAATCGCGTTTACCAGTGTTATTATAACTGTCTAATGAACTACAAGTTGTACTGACTTGTCATGATTATTCTTTAATTTATTGTATAAGTTTCTACCTTATTTGCATGTACTTGTAAGTTGAATTACTGTTTCTTTAAACATACCTATTCCCGTTTCACAATCAGAATCTACTTGAAGTACCTAGGTTAATTTACCTCACATCAAAATGTTGTGCTTTTTGATACCGTTAATTATACTTTTTATTATTTTTGATATAAATTATTTTGTGCGTACTTATTTCACAGTGTTAAGTGGTAGAATATATCAAAAAACAGTTCCTTTAAATAATATCACGACCATTTATGGTAAGTGTAATTTGTAGTTTAAACATTATACTCGTATAAATGATGATTTATTTTATTTTTAAGCTACATCCGAAAAGGTGTTCACAATTCCTATTTCGGACCGGGAATGAATGGTGGGAATGGTGAACATTTAGTTTAAATTAAAAAGCGCTGTATTAAAAAGTGATGAGATACATCACTTAAACTACATGCGTAGTTGTTTGTTATGATTGTGGTGACCTTTAAATGTTACTTGTTATTATATTATATAAGTATAGTAATTAAATATTACTTGAAAAATAATAATTTTCGAGTTACTAGCCTCTTATAAATGTCGCTATCAGAAATGATTGTAAAAATGGCGACCGATTACTATTGAGGAAAAAAATAAAACTTTTTTTTATGCAACTTAGAATGATAATGAAATTGATATCAGACAACTGGCAACAATATATATAGTTTATAGAGATAAGTAGTACGGACAGCATAGAATGTATTACAATTATTAGAAATTATCATATACTATATGTTTGTCTACCTACTCGTATTGTAAAGTGATATCTGAATTTAATATTTAAATCATCAAAGTATAGGGTTCTTATTCTGCACGTTTCTTTGCAGGTTTTTGTAGTTTTCATGATTGTGATATAAGATTCCGGCATCTTCGTTTGGCTAGGATACTTCGCGAGATAGATTTTGCAAGATACCATTTTTATGATCGTACTAGAATATATCATCGCAGTAGGGCCCTTAAAATAAAATCTCTACAAGGTTGTACCCATACAATATGCATAAGGCCTGTACATTTGTTTTCATTTTATAAAATAAATACAAAGGTACGTAATATACTGTATATAAATGATAATATTATTAAATTAGTATTTTATTTTGTTGACAATGATGCCACTTTATAAAGCTGACGTCATATATACATGTATATAACCGTTACATTTTTAAATGATAATTAAGTGTATCTTAAAATAGTTTTGAGATATTTATGGTATATATACAGTGACAATATATAAATAGATATTTTATTATCTCACATATATGTAGGTATTTATTCTACACAAAAGATGTTGATTTTGTTTCAGCTTATTTACTGGGACAACCGATCATTATTTTTTGAACACGAATTGATAACAATACCCGACGGAAAAATACGATACTCAATAGTATCACGTCAATATGCTATTGGGAAGAACGGAGAATCTTGTGAATTGCTTCTCGAAAACCTGCCAGGATTTGATAAAAGACCGAACTGTCCAGACTACATTAACGTATGGCTTCATAGCATGAATATAACAAGCACTAAATTGAGAAAGAATATTGAAGAAGATAATAAGTAGATAGGTAATAGCATTATCTATGTGGAATAATAATATAAGCCCATATAAGTACATGTATAATTATTAACTTTAAGATAAACATATTATAAGAAATAAAAGTAATAATAATTTTATGCATACGGTACAACAAGTAAAATAATACATAAAAGTACATAAAATACATAATAAAGTACATAAAAGTAAAATTTGATTCACAACCCAGAATTAATGTCGTAGTATTGTAATGGAGTCCCAAAAATATACAAGTAGTTTCCTTTTGAAAGTCATTTAAAATTCAGTTAATTATTATTCCATGCTATTCGAAGTTGTATAAAGGTTAACTTTTAAACTTCAACTTGAATTTAGTTCCGAATAGAATGTGTGTATTGTGACAAACTTCAAGATGGTAAACCGGTTCAGTGACTCCAGCCTACTAACAGTGACGTTCATAATATTGTAATATTGTGGAAAAGGCCGTATCAGGTGTCAGTTACTAGCATTCACCTTAAATTTAATAATAAGTATATATACATTTATAAATATAGTAATATTATATTAAAGACATGTACTGTATTATTGCGACAATCGTAGCTATCGCCTATATATTATGGGATGTTAATTATTTCTTACGTATTGCCTTTACTATAGGAATTGGAAGATTGTTTTCGAAAAAGTGTGGTGTTAATGACACCACAACTATTTATGGTAAGTTCCCATTTTTTTATATATAAAATATCCATTATGCGCAAATGATTTTATAAGAAATAATATCAAATAGGGTATGTATGTAATATAGATTAGGAAAACAATGCAAATTTATCGTGAGAAAGTAATTAAACAAGATATTTTTGTTTCCTTTGCTATGGGGTCAAAGAATTGTGCTCAAAATTTCAAAACAGGACTAGCTACTAATTGAAGTAGGATTATAGTTATTGAGAGTAGTAATCATATTATTACGATAGAGTTTCTATTATCCATTACTGAATGGTTTTTATTCCAGTTTAGAAATTCAAAATATCAGAAATCATTACAATTAATAAAGCATTTGTAAACATTACAGAAAAAAACAGGCTATATAATGTATATGTAATATAGATTTTATAAATTTAGAAAAAAAAATACAGACATAATGTTATGACCATGTTATGACGTTCAGTTTTCAACCATACCTACTTAATGCAAAAATAACAATTATAATTATTAGCTGTCTATTTATTATAGGAAGCACAATAAATATATTTGCATATATTATTCAATATTAGTATCTGTTCAGAAAACAAAACGGTGGTGGCGACGGTGGTGGTATTGCTCGCAAGCTGTTTGATTAAATATAAATAATCAATTAGAATGTCATTGTTTTATTGAAGAGTTTTATAATAATTCTTGATATGACCATCAAGCATACCACATTAAATTATTTATTGTATTTTTTTTTGATGGGTGAAAATGGTATGGTAACCCCGCCTGCGCTAACGGGATACGCTGGCGGAGCACCAGTGAAGGGTGATAGATGAGAATGAGAACAGGCCATTTAGCCCATCATGATGAATTCATCGGGAATTAACCATGATAGTTTCCAGGGGGAACCGCGAGGAGGTCGACCTGGTTGGGTATATTGCTAGCAATGGGATTCTCAATCTCCATTACTAACAATCCCTTTCCCCCCTACTTATTGTATTAAAACTCATTAAACAGGTAATTATAGGCATAATTACTATTTAAATAGGTACCTAATAAGTAACAGTATTGTAAGTATTCGTATTTAGTGAAATGAATAGGTGAGTAATTAACATAACAAAATTATGACGCAAACAACAAGTAAAAGCGAACCATATCCCTATGTTATATATATATGTCTATGTTCAGTAGTGGACTATTAATGTCTGATATGATGATAATAATATACTTATGTATTATTAAAACTTTATATATGGTATAATGTAGTACCTAGGTACCTATATTATATCATATTATTGTATCAGTAGACGTCCTTACTAATTAAATGTGAAAGTGTTTTTGTTGTTTTTGGCACCTACAAAATTTGACGTACATGTAGTAGGTATTATTTATTTCTGATGTTTATTTTTTGTTCGCACTTATGTATTTATTCAGTAAATAAAATATTATATATTAGGAGGTACTTATTACTTAAATATTATGGTAAACTAATAAATAAATAATGTAATAAGTTATAAAAATTATGATACGTGAATTATAGTGTTACCATATAGGTAATACTGTAACTTAAGATCCTTAGGTATCATCCCTCACTAGTACGAGTACACCGCCAGCCTATAGCACAGCTAATAGCTGAAGCTGGGTTACCATTCCATTTTCTTCGTTTACGTGTGATCGAATAACAACATTCTAAGATCAATATACATATATAATAACTTTAGTCTAACCTTTAAAATTTATACGTGTTCAGGTTTTTGTACAACACAAGATGTGGACATATTCCTCAGGCATATGAATAATGCTCGATACGTACGAGAGCTGGACTTTGCGAGATTTCATTTTTATGACCGCACTGGTATCTATACAAATATAAAAGCAGTTGATGGACACGCACTTCAAGGAGCCTCCAGTATACGCTACAGGCGAACTATTCCAATTTTTACTGCGTATAAGGTGGAAACAAAGGTCAGTATGTATTTAAAATAAACTAACTACTGCAGATTTCATTATTCCGTAAACTCTTTAGATTTTTTTCTTTGTGGAACATATAAGAAGTTTTAATTTCCTATAATTACGTAAATTTGACTTATGAAAGTCTGATAAATCTAAATAGTGTCTGGCAATAAATTTTAAGTAAAATAATTGCGGATACATTATAATAACAACTTATTAATATTTTTATACATATTAAGAATTATTTGTAACAATATTTTATTTTTAATTAATTAAAATAACTGAATGGTAAAGATAAAATCCATTTGTCGTGGCCAACTCACTTCTATTACTTTAAAAAATGCTCCAAATAATAAGCATACTCGACATTTTAGTTGATTTTGTAATATTGGTAATACTAAATAAGCTGTTGATTCATCTGATACAAAATAGTGCCTTTTGCATAGACATGAATAGCAATTTTGGACTACAAATACATTATTCCACCTAGAAGATTCATTGGCCATTCTAAAACTTTGATTTTTACTGTCTAAGATGTAACCAACTTAATATTTTTAATTATTGTTTATATCGCGGCTTTGTTCATGGTCGTATCGTAATGTCAAATAGGCTATAAACTTCCTTAAGAAATAACAAATGCGAAAAGTATTTTTCAAATCCAGCTGGTAGTTTCTGAAATTAGCGCGTTCCAAAAACAATTCTTCTGCTTTATGTCTTAATATATAATAATATAATATAATATATATATATGAAATAATAACTAGACGATGTCTGTACATGCTTTTAAGAAAAATGAATATGAGGGGTCTCAGTAAAGGCAACAGAAGCTAAAATAATATTTTTTTAAACATTTAGTTTATATGTTTGTTCCAACATCACGCAAAATTAATGCAGCAAATTGGATGTAGTTTTCACAATTATATTACATTTGAAAAACTGGTGTATAAATAATCTTGATTTGCCGTCTAGAAGTTTATTTCATTAATTTTCTTACTTCCACGTTTATGAAGTAGCGGACAAAAATGTAGTATTAATATAGATTTATTAGTCAAATTATTATAGTCAAACATTAAATGCAAGTATTAACCTATAACTATTTAGGTAGGCATATAAAATATATTTATTTTTGTATATAATTTACATATAAATATTATATTTTTTAATTTACAGTTAGTTTACTGGGAAGATAAAACCTTGTTCATAGAACAAAAATTTATAACGCTAAGCGACGGCTTTGTGCGTGCCGTTGTACTCTCAAGACAAAATCTTGTTAACGTTGACGCAGCGACACTTTTCAAAGGTATACCAGGCGCTGATAGAAAACCAGAATGTCCCGAAGAAATTAAACATTGGCTCCAAGCTATTGAGGTCTCGAGTGCTAAACTTAGGAAGAAAGATTAATAATATTTTGTAATTAACATTATCATGGTAAAAATAATATAAATTATTTTTGTACTTATTTTTTAAATAAAAGGTTGTGGTTAATCATTAGTCATATTTTGTTTTAAAAGACCTAATTAAAAATCTTTTGTAAACACATCTGTTTGAAACGTACCAAGTGATATTAGATCTCATATTACGCTTCGCAGCAGTACTCTCCCTTGTCACTGCTACGGCTAATGTTACTGTTTATACAACCTGCACATTATGGGTAGAGTTTTTAAAAGCTACAATCGAATGTGTATCTTATTTCTATTTACTATAAAATGAAAAATGTTTTAAAATTTATTTCATTATTAAAATATACCTACACGTGTCAAAAAATACTTGTGGTAGAGTGTGCAATTCTTTATTCAAACTGAAATGCAGCAATGCAAGACCAACTGTTCGATGGCGTAAACAAGTGGGACAAAGATAGTAGTTTTATTTTGGTAATGGCAAGGGCTATAACACATCTTTAGACCATTGTGTTATGGCATATCCTTACGTTATATAGATAAAGTATCTCCATACAAATGCTTCGGGAAAAGCGGGTCTACTTTTTCATATAATTTTGCGTGATAAATAGTTATCAATGTTTCCTGTATAACTTCTATATTTATTTTCTTTTATAATTCTTGCATCTTTTTAATGCGTAAAAACTTAAAGTGCGTAAGTATATAGAACACATAAAAAAACGAGTCAAGTAATTAGCTGACAAAAATTCGACTCGTTTTTGAGACTTGATGCTCTATTTATATAATCTAAGGGTATTACCTATAGGCCGACGTATAATTAATTGGGTATTCATATTTGACGTCATGGTAGTGTTACGGATAGTTATGATGCTAAAAGCTAAAGTAAATGTGTAATTTTTTTAGTATACGACAAATAATAGTAAATAAATAAATAATGCTATCTAATAAATGGGAAACTGAAATTTAGATATCGAATATAGATAAAATATTAAAATTTTAATTTTGTGTTGAGGCTCTCAAATACTGTAAAGCTTTCTATTAGTTTTTAGATTTATTTAATATTATAACATGACACATTAATAACCACAGAGTTGAAGAATTATAGATAAATCATTAACTAAATTAATATCGTTTAAATTACACCGGTGCCGTGTGGGCGGCGAGAAGTCGGAATGCGTGTGAAGTAGCTAGAGATTTTTTCAGCGCTCCTTTATTAACCGTCTGTGAGGAAGCCCGGCGACCACACACAACATTCAAATGTAGATATAACTAAACAGTCTTGATATATTATACGTTTTTAATGTTTGACTTTTACATTAGGCTTTTTTGCCATAATTCTATACACGTTTACGGAACTGTCATAAAGCATAATACATATTATATCACGTTTAGTTAAAAATAGAAACAGATGTCGTATGATGTATGTATGTGTATATTATACCATATATTTCGGTCATTATTATATCATTACCACATTCATTAACAAAATTTCATAAAATATTTTTTATTTTTGTGCCTAAGTAAAATCTATTTGTGGTGGAAAGAATTGTAACAACCATTTTCCACACAAATATGTAAATTTAGCAACGCTAAAAACAACAGTGATTCTAATTAATATTGACTCAATGACTAGGATAGAACTCAATGTTAGGTTTAAACATGCCAAATTACCACGACATATTTCATAAATCAGATTTTAAATATTTAGGTATCTGTTTGAATTTACAATGTGGAATGAAATCATCTATCAAAAGATTATGCGCCGCAGTGATCAGCATTTTACTCAAAAAAGACCGATGGCTTTATTCGTAACAAAATTAAGTTGGGAGTTAACTCTAACGACTGTAAAAGATATTATATAACATACTGATAAAAAATAGAATAGCGAATTGAGAAATTTGGAGGTCGCTTAACTAGTTTTAGGAACGTTTTATTTTTGTTTAACTAACTGAAAAACTCATGAAACTTTTTGAAACATGTGTGTCTTGTCATTTCACATTTTATATAAAAAATAAATAAATAAATTTTAATAGTAATATATAGCATCTAAGAAGAGATTGCCTTCATTACTGTCATGGTCATAAAATACTTCTTGTTAATCACTTATACGTATAAGTGACATGCATAAATCTATATCTATATGTAAGATTTTATTTTTTTTTTATGTTTTTTGCTTAGGTTATTTGTTTATAATGTAGGTATAAACTTCTAAACCAGTTTTAAAAATTATTTTACCTATAGAAAGCTATCAGCAAATAACATAAGCTAACAATTACGCTAAAAAAATTAGGGACTCCTTACGATAATGTAACCCAAAGTATCAATTATTTGTTTATTAAAGCTAATATAAAATACTACCTTATCTTTCTATATATCCGCGCAAAGCTGGGTCGGAACCTTACCCATTTTAATGGTAACAAATATGGAGATTAAATTTCAATATATTTTTTTTTAAATATTAACTTATAAAAATAATTTATAAATGGACAATTAAAAAATATTTTAATTAATTTAAATGCTAATACATTGTTTCATTTTACTCTGTTATTAAAAATACAAATGAATTATGTTTAAAAGTAAAAATTTGGAATGAACAAAAACTGTTGCAAAGTTGAAACTGTATATAAATAATAATATAATACTCAGGAAACATTTATAATATTATGTATGTAAGTATTAATTTATATCGATACTCAAGTATCAAGATTACAACGGAAAGTAGAAATTGTGGTGGCGCTAACCGCGTGTTTCTTGTCGTGCAACAATAACAAAATATCCATTAACTGTAGTGTTTTCTGTTCTTCTAACGTACCGGCGAAAGCATGGATAAAAAGTAAACATTTATAAATGTTAACTTCGATATGACACAAATCTATGGTTAAATATATACACGAAAGACAAAATTTAAAATCGATCTAAAGAAAGTCTGGGTGAAATAAGTGTATTGATTTCACAACAGTCAATAATGCCTGCAATTATCAATCATAAAATATCTTTGAAATACTTCATGTATAAACCGATTATCCTTCAATTGACGAGCAACTTTTTGAATACGTAATGTTAGTGTAATTTATCAGTTAACATAATATTTAAATGATCTTTATGCATTTACGAGTATCAAACATGAAATATCATAAAATTACCTTAGTAAACATTTTTATAAAATTACATGTCTTTTCAAAATTTGTTTATTCGGTATTAGGAATTATTATAATTACACCAAAGTTGTTTACACATGAGTGTATGAAGAACAAGTCGTGACTGAGGGATTATTTTATAAGTTAATACTGACCGATTAGCTGTCTTCACGTATAATACATATTTATCACAAAGTTTGAAAGTTTACTTATACCGTTTTTTTTTGCATCTGCTGATAAAAACATGATATTACATGCGGAAATATTTTTATTTCCAATCGAAATTTTGTTGCAAACAATTATTAATGAATATCTGAATAAATCGTATTGTTTAACTTTGGTCACTGAAACACCTTTTGATATTGTTATTCCTATAAGTTTTACTTACATTATTCCGTATGAAACTGGAAATCTGACGAATCAAATTCTGGAGGTATCAGAAATGGGCTGTTCAGATTATATAGTAAAGATGCGAGAACCAAAAAAATTCATGGTGTCATTTGATGAAGTAAATCATTTAGGAAACACAAGAAGGAGTGATAGAAAAGTAATATTTTTGCCTTACGATGAAAATCAAATTGGTTTACAAAATCTATTAGATATTTTAAAAATGAAACCAACAAAATTCCTTGCGAATTTACTATTGGTTCTTCCTATTTCAAGGAACATATCAGGTTGTATATTATATGATTTGGTATCACATAGATTCGTCGGGCCTGATGAAAAATCTGCCCAACCATTATATATAGATCGCTGGAACTCTTGCACAAGGAAATTTGAAAATAACTCTAATTTGTTTCCTCATGATATGACTAATTTATATGGTAAAACATTAAAAGTGGCTGGTTTTACCTATAAACCCTACGTTCTATTAGATTTAGACCCTACGGTGGAACCACGAGGCCGTGATGGTACGGAAACCAGGATTATAGAAGAATTTTGCAGGTATATAAGTGCAACTAATAATCATAATCGCTACATACTCGTAGTGTAAAACAAAGACGCTTTCCGTCTGTCTTTTCCAATGTATGCTTAAATCTTTCTAATCTATGCAAATGATTTAGATACGTTTTTTTAAATAGATAGAGTGATTCAAGAAGAAGGTTTATATGTATAATACATGCATAATATAGTAAAAAAACACTGACAGTTTTAGATGTTTATGATGTGATGATGTAAATAAACATATTTTTTGCGCTTATATTGCAAACATTGGCTGAACCCTACGAGATAGATCAAAATAATGTACTACAGTATTATACACCTTAAGAAGGCCTACAAAAAAGTTCGCGATGGTATATGTCTATTTCTTAGGGATAACCTACAATAACCATTTTTATCCTTTACTTTTTACATGAAATAATGGCTTATTTACGAAGCGATTTTAAGCAATACAGCATTAATCCTTATCCGATTAAGTACCTTAAATAAATTTTGCATTTAATATAAATCAATATGGCCCTTTACAGCTTGTAATTTAAATAAATATTTTCGAAGATATTACAGATGTAAAATGCAAGAACATAATGGTTGCATTGCACCCGTGCGAAGACGGGGCGGGTCGCTAGTATTATATAGAAAAAAAAAATTAAAAAGATGCGTAAGTGTATTGTTAATACGAAATTTAAATTCCGTTTCTTTGTCTTTAGATGGCTTAACTGCACAATTGAATTGGTAAGAGATGATGAGCACCAGTGGGGAGAAATATACGAAAATAATACTGGAGTTGGTGTGATTGGAAGTCTTATCGAAGACCGCGCAGATGTTGGAATTAGTTCGTAAATACTTGTATAATACATATTCTACTGTTTACTGTTGCTTACACAGTACCATCTATAGATTTTTAAACCATTATGTTTATTTATGTGATATTCTATTTATACTTATAGAATTATGTACACTTATTTAATTTTGTTTTTAGCTGCCATGTATTCATGGTATGACGAATACGTTGTATTAGATTTTTCCACTCCATACATTAGAACGGCAGTAACTTGTGTTGCGCCTTCCCCCAGGTTTGTAATTTTACTCTGTTATACATACTTTAAAAAAATCGTTTTTAATTATTTTTCGCCTACAATAAGTTTTTGTTTACCAGTGATTATTATTATATATTGAAAGTGTTTACTTTCTATTAGTTCTGCTTTTTACTGTAATATGTAATTATAACCAGGATTCTAGCCAGTTGGGAAATGCCGCTATTGCCCTTCACTTTATACATGTGGCTGGCGCTTTTGTTTACTTTAATCTACGCATCTATTGCTCTAACAATTGCACAGGGATGTTCTTCAGACAGAGTCTTATTAACTACATTTGGGATGATGATAACACAGGTGGGTTTTCAACACTTTTTCACAATTATTTTGAAGTCATTTATACGTATGTATTCAATACTTTACTTCAAATTTCGGAATTCATAATTCGTTATAACAAGTTAAATAATCGTAGTATACCTATTTGAGATTAATTGATTAAAACTTATGTAAAGTTTGAGTCACCTTCATCAATTCTAATCTGTTATGTCCATGGTACTGCTCATGTCTATAGGCGACGGTTACCACTTTCCATCAGGTGGAACAAAACAATCAATAAGGTTGAATCTTGTGCAAGTCCCATACTAATTTTATAAGGATTGAAGTTGGTTTATATATCGGATAAAATATTTTATTATCTAAAGGAGGGAGCTTTAAAATTTATTCTGGTTTTGGTATTCTAGGCGTGCCCTAAATGTTTGTCGCCTGGTTCCTCATGACATGAGCTATCATAGCTTGAGGGACAGATGATTGATGTGATTGTGTGGTACTTATTCCTTTTTATGTTTTTCATTTGTTTATGAACCAATATCCCTAAATCATTGTTTTCTTCAAGACTCAGTACTCTGCTGGTTCAACATGGCGTATTCGAAGCATCACTGGTTGGCTCTTGATATCTGGTTTGGTGTTAGACAATGCATATGGCGGTGGACTCGCTTCGGTATTCACAGTACCCAAGTACGAGCCGTCTGTTGACACTGTACAAGATTTAGTGGACAGACAGTTGGAATGGGGTGCGACGCATGATGCTTGGATATTTTCAATTTCACATTCTCAAGAGGTAAAAATATTTATATATAATTAAGAATTCCTATTATAAAATTTCTTTTATATTAAAATAAGACCAGACGTATTATATACCTACATAATAAGTACCGCGGTGCAGAGACTAATTTACCATATCAAATAAAAAAAAAAAACAACTGCTACAATTCGAATACAAATTTTTCATACGTTGTGTGTTCTAAGCTTCTTTTTAGGGTTCCGTATCAAAAACCTTTATTGTGCGGCTTTGTCCGTTCGTCCATCTTTCATATTATAAATCTCAGCAATTACTAATGCTGTCGATTTAAATTTTAGATTAAATTTAGGTACATATCATTGATCTGCGTATATTGCAATGGAAATAATTAGTGAAATATCTTTATTTTCTTTGCTAGGTGTTCAAAACTGATACTCAAAATTTTTCAAAACTGACCTACTAGCCCAAGTGGAATGTCATATGAAAGCGCCTCATTTGTACATTTTAAAACCGATTTTTATTTGTTTTTATGTTTCTTAGTTTTTAGTCATGATCGAAAATGTGAGAAAAATACTTTACCCCGTAGTTTCTGAAGCGAAAAATGTTTGTGACTAGCACCGTTTTTGAGAAATTATTAATGAATCTCCAAAAAGAAACTTAGTTATGCGGTCCAATTTTTAATTCTAATTATGGCTCAAAACAAGAATTTAGGAATTGTAATATGATAACCAGAGGGTGACTTTGTACAAAAGTCGTTTGTTTGAGTACCTCTGTCTTATTCGTGTTTTTACCGTGAAGCAGTTGTATTTACGTGGCTGTTTTGATTTGAAGGGTGGGATATGGCAGTGAATTCAGAGGAATAATACTTTAGTCCTCAGGTATGGCAACAGTATACTTTGTTATGCCCATGATACTGCTCATGTTAATAGGCGACAGTTGCTACTTTCCATCAGGTAGGCCGTCAGCTTGTTTGCCATTCTAAGTTTCATAAAAAAAAATAACCATTTCGTATAAAAAATATAGGCAATAAAGGCCATTTTATGGTATATATATTTATGTACGGAATCTTCGGCGTGTGAATTCATATTACACTTGAGTGGTTTTTTAACTACAGATAACTTACGGCTGCTGAGTAGCGCTAAAGTACGTTTCATCTCTTAGTACTTCTTAAGCAAGATACTTGTTGTAAAATATATGTAAAATGTAAAAATAGGTATTTTATTTTTACCTTGGATATTATGTTATGTTTTATTTCTTTCCAGCCTTTGGTAAAACAGTTGATTAGTTTATTCAGAGTGAAACCAGCTGCAGAACTACGACAAAAAAGTCTTACTAGAAATATTGCCCTTTCTATTGAACGATTGCCTGCAGGTAGTTCCTTAGTATTTTATTTTCAATTACTGTAAAAAACATCTATCCTATACCTATCTGATATTTTCGAAGAATAAAAAAAATATATTTTTTGTAGAATTAGTAAAGAAAAAATATACTTACGAGCTATAATCTTTAATGGGATAGTCAGAAGTAAATTTTTAACTATTGTTGCCGTTGTGCCGAAGGTAAATGTAAAATTCGACATGCTCACATTTCATTCACCATATTAGAATCCAACCTGGTAGAGAATGAATCTACTACCGTCACTCGTATTATTTTGATTTGTTATCGAAATTTTATTATCTGATATTTTCGAAGAATAAAAAAAATATATTTTTTGTAGAATTAGTAAAGAAAAAATATACTTACGAGCTATAATCTTTAATGGGATAGTCAGAAGTAAATTTTTAACTATTGTTGCCGTTGTGCCGAAGGTAAATGTAAAATTCGACATGCTCACATTTCATTCACCATATTAGAATCCAACCTGGTAGAGAATGAATCTACTACCGTCACTCGTATTATTTTGATTTGTTATCGAAATTTTATTATCGGTGAATTAAAAATTTCATTAAATTGTAATTAATACAAAATTATCGACTTTACTCTGTATTGTACTCTATTGGAAAGTTTTAGTATTACTTGGTTATATATTTTTGCACAGGTTACTTTGCAGTTGGTGATTATATAACAAAAGAAGCCATGTTAGATTTGACAGTAATGCAGGAAGATTTCTACTATGAACAGTGTGTGGCTATGTTGAGGAAGAGCTCTCCATATACGAAGAAATTAAATCAATTAGTGGGACGACTACATGAATCAGGTCTTATGATAGCTTGGGAGACACAGGTGAGAATCAGCAGAGTAGACATAAAACAATTATAGAATAAACGCAGGTTATATTTGGGAAATTATTAGGTGATTGCCCTATAAAATAGCACTAAAATCATAGAAAAAATAGGTCATGTTTAAAGGTAAGACTATGTTTGCTATCCCCATTCAGCAATAGTTTTGTTCATGATAAATGCTACTGGATATATCAAATAATGCTATCTAGTTCCGAATCAAGCAGTGCTTGTATTATGGGTATAACTGAAAAAAATAAGTATAGTCTAAATGATTTTGTAAGAATAATTATTATAGTCAGATTTTACTTAGACTATATACAATCTGAGATACTAAATACAAGTGTTTATCTTGTATCGAACCAATAGTACTTTATACTACTCGTATATAACAATTGAAAGATGATGCTAGTCTAAATAAATCGGTAAGCCACCAAGATCGTAAATTTAGTGTTTGGGTTACAGACAATCGCTAGATTGTATATTTTTTCACAATTTTGAGTGAAATTTTCCTATTCGCAAAATTGTAGAAAAATTGTAAAAAAAGTACTTTTTTTTTCGTCGTGCATTTTGTGACACATGATAAATTTACTGAAAAACGATACAATTTTGTGATAGGGTAAAAATACTGAAAATCATATCTATAAGGAGAAAAAAATAATTAACGTTTAGATAAAATAAAAATTCGCATTTGGCAATTTTGATAACAGGTGTCCTTAAAATATTTAAACTTCGAAGTGCAACTAGAAGTACGACTGTCACGTTCTAAAAGAGATATAGAAATTGTGGAGCAACTGAGTTTACGTCATGTAGTGGTAAGTATAATAAATTTCACAAAATAATATAAACATTTTTACTCCATACCTATATCCTATATCACCAGAGGGAGACTTTGTACAAAAGTCGATTGCTTGGGTACCTCTGTCCTATTCGTGTTTCAATCGTGAAGCAGTTGTGTTTGAATGGGTGTGTTTCGGTTTGAAGAGTGGGATATGGCGTGAATTTACAGGGTACAGAGGAATAACACCTGAGTCCTCAGGAATGGCAACATGGCATGGGGGTATCATGGGCGAAACAGTATACTCTGTTATGTCCATGGTACTACCCATGTCTATAGGCGACGGTTATCACTTTCCATCAGGTGGGCCGTCAGCTTGTTTGTCAATCTAAGTTGTGTAAAAAAAAAATCCTACTGTAACCATGCCATGTAACGTTTTGTGATTTTATTTTGAATAGTGACCGTGATTCGCCTATTTACTTTTACGCAACAGCTTTGCCAATTCTTAGTTAAATTAATTAATTCTGAGTTATTTTTAATTCTTTTAGCAGTTAATTAGGTTTTTTTCCTAATTGTTTGTTTCATAATAATTTTGACATGAAATAATTTATATTTTTTTTGTGAACTAAAATCTTAACTAATTTGGGTAAACAATTTTGGTATTTACCTAGGTATGTTTTACTTACGTCACGCATAAAATATACGTCTGTTATGTCCATGGTACTGCTCATGTCTATAGGCGACATTACCACTTTCCATCATGTGGGCCGTAAGCTTGTTTGCCATTCTAAGTTGTATAAAAAAATACGTCTAAATAAGTATTTAAAATATTGTTTAGAATAATAAGAATTTTGTGATATGTTTTGTTATAATATTATTATTTGTCTGTTTTATTTTTAAATAAGTTATTAAAAAAAGGTGCCAAGATTGTTTACCAAAGAGCTAAATACCTACAACTTCTGTAATATGTTTACATATTTCAATTAAGTGGGTACTTATTTATTTACATTAACTTTTCCAGGGAGTCTTCATCATATATGTGACGGGAGTAATTCTCTCTATTCTAATTTGTATAATGGAAATATTAGTTAAAAGGAAACAAACTATACAAGAATAAAATGTGAAGATAAAGGGCGCTAATACCGCAGACACATTATAATACATAGTTCCGCAAGTTTACTGTGGCGAATGAAAGCATAAGTGCATGTCAGATAATGATAGTGGATGTAAGATTGGATCATGTAGTTAATCAATATTTTTTTCATTATTTAATGAGAGATATATAAAGCATACGACAAGTAATAGATACGTATTCATTATATAAAGTATGCAAAAAAACGGAGAACAAAGACAAAAAATATCTATTGTTACTGCTACCTAGGTTTTATTTTTAAAACAATGTAGTAATAACGTAATCGATTAAAGCTCGCCTTGTTATACATTGTGGGAGTGCTAATACCAAAATTGTTGTCAGGAAGTGATTTACGACCGTGGCAAAAGTACCATGAAAGCAGGATTAATGCAATTTATTTCCTTAAAAGATAAAGTAAGGAACAGTATGATTGTTAAATATTGATATCTAGAACGCACCTCATATATTGTGTCATACGATGGTGGCGCTAATGTAGATTTTGTATTTCCTGTCTTTATCTTGCTCTAATGTGTATTGTACAAGCAGCTACAATTAAACGTTTCTTCTAATTAATTTTTATTTTCATTAGTATACTGAAATCTACTGTCAATCCGCAAAAACTTAACAGTGATTATAGAGCAATAGATTATTTTCTATTTACGCAAAAATAGAATGTCTTTTGTAATATGTATTGGTAAAATTTTATGCTACAAAAACCGGTTTTAGTCGTAAGTAATTTTTAATGTAACACACAGATTAGAAAGACTACACTACTACCTAGACTGGTAGCCTTGCGTAGACTAGTTATTTATTATTATAAGTAATTATATTTATTATTATATAATAAATAAAATTTTAAGAATGTTATCCTTTGTTTTATTATTACTAAAAAATATTAATCGAAACGTGCAATTTGACATAAAATTTATATATTTCTTTTATCACATGATTCGCGTTCCAGTAAGAAATATTTACATTTTAGTAATATTAAAAAATTAACTATAGTATTATTATAATCCTATTCGTTTCCATTTTGAACATCAGACTGGCTAATATAACAGGAAAAGGAAGATTTTTTTTGTATGGTTGTATGGTGAGATATTTCTGATCAAATCGGTTTGTGTAAATTGTATGAGTGCGGTCTCTTTTCATTTGGTTATAAACTTTTTGTAGGCTAGCACCAGTCATATACAAAATGTAAAAAATTAAGATTGACAGCAAATATTTGACATAGAGTAAGGATAGTACCAACGATCCCTAAAAACAATGCGGTCCTAATAGATAGAACATGCAACGAGAGTATTAGTTAAAAAGAGAAACCGTTATAAAGACGTGTGAGTAAAACGTGTGAGTAAAATCAGTAATAATTTTTGTCTTGTTTGTATAGGAAAGAGGCTAAGTACAAGGAATTACATAGAAGGAATGATAAAATAAAACCGTACATTTATGGTTGCCTCCTTTCTTCTTATGCAAATATAATTAGTAAAAAGAGGACGAAAGATACACCATCAATTGCTATTTTTATCAATTGATAGCAGGCTAGTGTATAAAAAACGTTTATGTCAAATTTTTGTCAGTGATAAACTTTACATTACTGGATTATATATTCGACATAGTTTATGTAGAAAGTATGCAAGCAGTGGTGTCTGAATTTGGTAGGGTTATACGGTCAATAAAACCAAGTGATATAACATAATGAATTTGACTTCTACGGATTAGTTGCGTTTTTATCTATCCCACTCTAATGCATTGGTAATGTCATAAATACAACGAGCACCACACTATGTGAATTATGCATTCCAACTATTCTATTCCAAAATCTTTGGTACAGAGAAACACAGGTGCAATAATTTCTATTCTAATAAGTCTTATACCATGAAGAGATTTTTAGTTTTACGTACGGTTAATGCTTTCACGCTGCATAATATTATTGAAATAATGAGTAAAGTTATATAGAATAATTAAAACAGTACATATAATATAATTTTATCAAGATATCATAACACAAACCATCAGTTATCCTTATTACACACATCTATATTTTTAACAAAATACCTTGTTTTTTTAATCGTATAAATTACTTTAAAATATTCCTGACATCTTTTTCTATTCATCTTTACTCGTTTCAATTGACCCCAGGTGCCGGCTGTATATGAAAGGCATATGTTTTAATTATTTTTTGAACAACTAATGCTAAAAACATATAAAAGCTATGCGAATCAATTCTATGAGGTGGCAGAGATATAAAATTGGCAAACTACAAAAATTAAATATGTTTGATTTTATGTTGATATTCCCCCCATTTTATAATATCTATGATTAGGGTATTTATTATATTAGGCAACACTAGTAAAAAAAAAAACTCTGTCTCTGTTATTGGCATTGGCGCTTTGATGCGCTTATTGGTTGGTAGTTTTTGTCTTTGCTCACCATTCATACAACGCATCGCGGGAAAAATCGATCGATACTTTGATTGCGAATACGTGCTATTAGATTTTCTATTCTAATTTTTCTTTAATTGTAAAACCAGTTATGCTTATTTAAATATAAATTTGTCTGCTAAAAGTGCCAGAAATTAGAATATGGGTTCCTTCATAATTTTTTGGTTTTCCGTAATTTTAACGACCTCAGCTGAATTTGTTTGGAGGCACCATAATAATGAAGAATTAATACAAGTATTGGAAGAAGTTAATGAAAAATGCCCGAATATTACAAGAGTATACTCTTTGTCTGAACCTTCAGTCCGTAACGTTCCTTTGTACGTCATAGAATTCTCCGATAATCCAGGATTTCATCAAGCATGTGAGTAATATGAATACCCTCAAATAACATATAATAGGTATAATGTTGTAATAATTACATACCTTTTTAAATTCATTACTTACTGTAATATGTATATTTCAGATAAACCTGAAGTAAAATATATTGGAAATATTCATGGAAATGAAGTATTAGGTCGAGAATTGTTGTTAGGATTGGCAGATTACCTATGTGAACAATATTTGCGAGATGAACGCAGTATCAGAGCTCTTATACATAGCACTCGTATCCATTTATTACCAGCAATGAATCCTGATGGCTGGCAATTATCAACAGATACGGTATGTTTACACTTTAGTTACTGTAGTTATTACTCAAGCAACATGCTGACATAAGTGACTAAAAAGGACATAATGTCTATGTCAAGTTAGATAGCACCTTCATACATTTTTTTAATGGCTAAGAATAGAATGGTAACCCTGTGATGAATGGCGCAAGAATTAAGTATTGGTTTCCAGCAGGAACCACATGCAGGTTGATCGAATAGGGTGTACATTTAGCAATGGGGCTGTTAGACTGAATTACTAATAATCCCTCTTTATGGAGTTGTAAATGATACCATACAATTTAAGTAACTGTATAGTTTTTGTTAAGGAAATTTTTTTATGTTTTAGGGTGGACAAGACTATCTTATTGGTCGTAATAATAACCATTCTGTTGATTTAAACAGAAATTTTCCTGATTTGGATGCAATAACGTTTGAGTTTGAAAGACAAGGTGTAAATCATAATAACCATTTGTTAAAGGATTTGGCACGGCTTGCTGAACCAGTAAGTTCTCTGATATTATTAACTTAATATGTAATGGTAGTCGTGCATAGGATATTTAATTTAATATTATGAATTGAGTTTGACATATATTTTAATTTATATTTATGATAATGGTCTTGATTTTACTAATAATTTAAATAATACCAGTTCTGTTTAGTAGTTTGTGTTCACACAAATTAATAATTCTGAAATCAACATTTGTTTGAATCTGCAACATTTGTTGTCCAATGTTTCTTGCCTATATTTCTTGGTTATTCTCCTGTCCTGAATGGGCTTAATAAAAAAATCTTTTTTAATAAAGTTTACTACTTCAATCAAAATTATTATATTATATTACTGAATTAATTCCATTATTTTGGATCGCTAAAGTCTGATTCTTTTGACTCAGTTAATTGTAACTTCCATAAAGTCCATCCATTTTTCTTTAGTTAAATTACAATACTTAATTTAAAATCTATATTAGTTAGAACCTGAAACTCGTGCAGTAATGAGATGGATAATGTCAATACCATTTGTACTGAGTGCTGCAATGCATGGTGGAGATCTTGTTGCTAACTACCCTTATGATGCAAGTAGAAGTGGAGCACCAGTGTCTGAGTATTCAGCAAGTCCTGATGATGATACCTTTAGGTATGTATTATGATATTGAAAACTTACTTTCCACATTTATAGTACTAATAGAAGTATTAAAATAAGTGTTTATATATATATATATATATATATATATATATATATATATATATATATATATATATATATATATATATATATATATATATATTATAGTAATGAAAATAGGTAAAACATATTATTTATTATTTACATAATATTTTCAATTAAAAAATATTTCGATCATTATTTGTGCCGGGAAATAATTTTGCCGTTTATAAAAAAGTTAACATAAGAATTTATAATTAAATTACGGGTGATAAAAAATGGTTTTTACTTTTTTTTATACTTTTTCTAGCTGTTGCCCGCGATTTCATCCGCACAATTACCTAAATACCTTTAGGTATATACTTTTCAAAAATCGTGAGTTGATATTTAAATAAAATCTACCCACCTTTTTCTATTAAATACGAAATGTAAAGAGTAATATTTTCGGTAGGACCATTTAATGTCAATTCTTGTTCAGGCTTTAATTAAATTAATTAAAGCTTTCATTTTGAAATCCAAACAGCATACTAATATAAGACTGGCTATTTGAACATGCTCCTAATAGAAATGAGCTTTGAATTTAATAACTCTTATTTAAATAATATTTTATTTAACTGTATATTTGTTTGTGTACTCTAAATATTAATAGTTGTAGCACTTTAGCTACCCGGTAACAACATGCTTTCTAACTGCATTGGGTTGACTGGAAGAAATCTTTGTCAGAGATAAGTCCACCCTTGCTCACAATATTTATAAATGCATTAACAATGTATATGACAAGTGCAATAAAGAATATATATAACCAACCACCCGTCTTTTTGTGTTCTGTTAATGTTTATTTCATAAAATAAATATTGTGGAATAAATATAATAGTATGCGGTAGTACAAAAAATTGGTATACTTGCAAACATTTGAAATTGATCAAATATACATGTGAACTTATTTAATTACTTAAGATGTTTTTCAGTTGTAATTTTTTTTTTAATTAAGCAGATTTTTTAGCAATTAAGAGTTTATATTCCGCCAAAAGTATAGGTACGAGGGAAGGTCAAAAAGTTCGCGGAATGAGGGAGAAGGCGGTTGACATAAAAAAAAAACTATTTTTTCTTTTCAATATATTCACTTTTAACCTTAATACATTTTTCGTATCTCTAAAATAATTTGTTTATACCTTCGAAAAAAGGTTTAAATTTGCTGTCAAAATGCAGACTTGATTTCTTCATCGTCGCCAATTTTTTTTCCCCACAGCTTCTTTTTGGGAATAAATAATAGTCACTGGAGGCCAAGTCTGGACTGTGAGATGGGTGGTCTAATTTTTCAAACCCGCATCGGTGGATGGTAGCCGTCGCAACATGGCACGTGTGGACGGGAGCGTTGTCGTGCAAAAGGAGCACACCTTTTGACAGCTTTCCTCTTCTTTTTTTCTTGATAGCTTCTTTCAATATATGTAGTTAAGAAGCGTAGTACTGTCTTGTTATAGTTACATCACGATCTTTACAATCAATCAGTAAAATACCTTCTGATACAGAAGGTAGTCGTCATGATCTTTTCGGCCGATTGTGACACTTTAAACTTCTCCGGAGGAGTTGTGCCTTTTTTATACCACTGGTCTGATGATGATGACCCGATTTTTTTTTATACAACTTATAATGACAAACAAGCTGACGGCCCACCTGATGGAAAGTGGTAACCGTCACCTATGAGCAGTACCATGGACATGACAGAGTATACTTTCACCCATGATACCCCCCATACGTTGCCATTCCTGAGGACTTCGATGTTATTCCTCTGTACCCTATAACTTCACGCCATATCCCACCTTTCAAACCGAAACACAGCCATGCAAACACAACTGCTTCACGGTAGAAACACGAAAGGGACAGAGGTACTCAAGCAATCGGCTTTTGTACAAAGTCTCTCTCTGGTTCAAACTTGGTATATATACTCTTAATGAGGTGCTTAATAAGTGACTACCGGGACGAGTAAACCAACCTCCACCAACCCTTCCATTCCGTGAACTTTTTGACCTCCCTCGTATTATTTGTAAAAGATGTTTACTAATATTACTTATATGTAACTTGTTAAATAAGTGTTAATAAAAAAAAACCTGTATGTGTGAAATGTATTCCTAATGCATAGATATTTCCAAGGTCTAAGTTGTCACGTCTTCGAATCCTATAAATTTATTTCTATTTTTACCTTTCAAACTAAAACACTGTCATGTAAGCACAGCTGCTTGATGGCAGAAACATTAGTAGGATGCATTAGTAGGACTCATGCCATCTGTATTAGTAATTTACTACAGATTCTTTCGGGCAATTGAGATAAGGGTAAAACTTGATGATTATCGTTCATGGATAAGACCAGATCTAAGAGAGAGTTTCGATCTACTACTACCAATTACACGGGTTTAATATCTTTACAATGATAGTTACGTTTAAGAATCTAAAAGCACTTAATTTTTGAGCAATTAAAGATTTTGTTGTATATGAGATCCCTAAAATATAATGTTAATCGAGTTTGACAAGATGAAGATTGGCCCATTATGTCGAATTAACAAGAAATCCAAACCATCATGGTTTCCATGGGGATCGGTCTCGCAGTTAATCTAGCAATAGTAGGCCGCTAGTTTATTAACAATACTTTTTCCTCTGAAAAACACAGAAGTGATTATACACCACTTTGACTATACTTTGAATTATTTTATTTAGGGAACTGGCCTTGGCATATGCGTTCGCGCACGCTGATATGGCGTCGGTGAATAGAAGAGGTTGTCATTCTACAAGTTCGGAAGGACAAGCTTATAACTTCGGAAAACAAGGTGGTGTGACCAATGGAGCGGCTTGGTACAGCTTGAAAGGAGGTAAATGCTTATTTTGTTTCTATTTTGTGCTTATACTATAGGTATGCCTGTTCTTGACTTTATTGTTTCATGAAACTTCCCATAATAAAATGACAATCTTCTGGTTTTTTTTTTCTAATTCAGTTTGAATTTGAATAGGTCATTGAATTATTCTTACTATTAATAGATTCTAAGCCTGTTCTAAGCCTTCGTGTCAATGGCATAATCATCAGTTATGATTTCTGACAAAAGTACTAGTAAAGTCTATGGAAAAAATTCTTCAGAGTAGGCAGTTATCAAGGCTTGCATAAATTTCACTATTCATTTGTATAACAATTAACCTAAAGGTTAAAGTTAGTATACCAGAGGAACTTAACACTTAAGCTTATACTTGTTTTACTTACATACGTATGTACACAAAACGGTTTAATTGTACGTTATAGAAATAGCTATATAGTATATCTTTATAGGTGCGTATATTGGTTGATGCCGGATCTGAATATAGTCACGTTAAAAAATTGTTCTACATATTTTTTGTTCTTATTGTGACAGTCTTTTTTGTTATTCTAGTAGGTATCTAACATATTATTCTGTATGTCTAAGTGTCCTTAATTTGTTGTATCTTCAGTGATTATAAGTATCCTGTTTGGAAATCGATAATATCGCTTTAATCTTTTTTTTTTTTTTTTTTTTTTTTTTTTTTTACTTTATTATACACATTAGTTATAAAAATATGACAGAGGTAAACAAAAGTACAAAGGCGAGCTTAACTCTGATAGAATTTTCTTCCAGCAAACCCAAAGTGGAAAGGAGCGTCAATGTCAGCGGATACAGCAGTGTACAATATTTAAATAGCCAAAATTAAATTAATTAGATTATATTATATAGTACAAATACACACATACATATACATAAATATATACCTATATCTATGTATAAACCTACATATACATACAATATACCTACACATATATATAAATAAATATATGTTCATAGAGATAGAAGATGCTCTTTAAGTCTACTCTTAAAAATATTTAGGGATTGACTCTCACGGATAGATATGGGAAGAGAATTCCACAATCTAGCAGCATGGACGGTAAAAGATCCACTATAGCGCGTAGATGAGTGTGAAGGGAGTTTGAGGATAAGAGATTTAATTTAGATAAGACAAATTAAAAAAACGGCAATTAATATATTAGGTACAGGCAATAATAAGTGTAAATTTTAGTTAAATTTTGTAGGTAATTAAGTAATTTACATAAGTATATATTGTTAACGACCTCCGTGGTACAGTGTTAGGCTTTTACTATATTTCTTTGCGTGAATAGTCCGAGGTTCTATTCTTTTCTAAATTGACGCGGTTGAGTGTGTTCTTGATTGTGTCCCTAAAAATTTACCCTATGTCTGGTTTGATGAGTAGGCAATTTGATTGTGTCGCGATTTCAATATAATTATTATATTCATAATAATTTCTTTCCTTTTAAAGAAAACATAATATATTAATCCCCGGCAGAAACATGGTCCTTTTAATATATTTTATTATTAGGTAACAACTTTTAAAAAATACCTTAGTATAGATATCATATAAATTGTTTATATACTTGTGATATTTCAAACACATTACCTACTTCGTTATTGTAGAGAACTTAATGGATTAATATTTTTTATCAAGTCTTATGGGTATTTTTATAGGCTGTATGAAATATTGTAAAATAATGTTTTTTAAAGTCCTAGAAATGAAATTATTAAATTACCACATGACATTTACAATTACGTAGCTGCGTAGTATGTCTATAAGTTAAGGAAATACTCGAAGCAGGAAGCGCAAGGAGTAAGTGATTTGCCTTCCATTGTGCTCTGGCATTTATGTTAAAGTTATGACCGTGAGCGTGAACAGGCTTATAGCATTCTAATTATAGCATCATTTGTCCACTGCTCTTATTCGATATTTTTGTCCAGTTAATAGTCTGAGCCACTTCATTGACTAATGGAATGTAGCATATGGTTGTGTGTATACTTATTGGCGTAGTAGGTTTAAGTTTAAATAATAAAGCAAAATATCGATTTTAAAGTTTACTACGCCGACTAAAAACTAATTCATTAATTGTGAGTTCGAATTAGACTGAGATGCACTCAACTTAAATTTCAGACTTTACAGGGATGGTAAATAAATATACTTGATAAATCTAATAATTTCTATTTGCCACGTTCAACGTTTAATTGGTCAAGCTCATTTAAATAGGCTCTATTGTAAATGTACCGTAATTCATTACGATACCAAATGAATTTACTGGAGTGATTTAATAAGAAAGTTTTTAATCACCGTAAATGCTCATGATACCGAGGATTCATGGACGTTACGATATTATCAAAAATTAAATGAGTCTTGAGATTTTTCATAAAATTACATATATTTTGTTGACGGTCTGGGATTCTAGTTGTAATTTTTGTTGTAATTTTCAGTATAATTTTTTTTTATTTTATAGGAATGCAAGATTTTAATTATTTAGCAACGAATGCTTTTGAAATAACATTGGAATTGGGCTGTGAGAAGTACCCGCCAGAAAGGGATCTGGCAAGGGAGTGGGAAAGAAACCGAGATGCATTGCTAACTTACTTGTGGAAGGCGCATATTGGAGTAAAAGGGATTGTGAGCGACGATACTGGATTCATTCAAAACGCCATCATATCCGTAGTGAATATAACCGGACATATTCCGCGACCGATCCGACACGATGTTACTACAGGTTGGCATTTATATCAATATCATGAATATTAAGCAAGCCACATATGAGCGTGTTTTTTTAATATTTCATACATAATTTATGCTAGATTACAATAAATGGTTAGTTAATATGTCCAGGATTCGGTTCACGACGATGGATTTTTTAATGACACAACATAAGTAAGATATGAAATACGACTTTGAGTTATTAGTACTTAGTTGTTTAACCATGTTATGGTTACCTTTCAATAATATTATATAAAAAAGTTTAATCATTCTGTCGTAAAAATATTTTATCCATTAATTTAATATACATAACCGATAGTTTTACGCAGATATAATTACATTCCTTTTACTATAACTAGCGGTTTTGTGTAAGGAAATTATTAATATCATATGACAGTGGATCCAAAGATAAATATTTCCTAATGGTTGAACAAACGATAAATTTCAAAATAATAAGAATACTACTTATGCTAGTTTTCTGTATTTTCGCATAAATAGCAACACTTTTTTTAAGTGAGTAAAATCATTACATTTATTACCCCTCACACCAAGTCGTTGTTTTTGTGATTCGCATCAATAATGTTAATACGAATTGATTCTCGTGTATATTGGTAATATAAAAAAATATATACCGGCCTTCTTTGCAACTAAAATCCGTGGAAAAATTATTTCAAATGGATAATGTCGCTTAAGTGTTCATTTATTGGTTCTCCCATTCATTCATAAAGAATAATAAAAACAACGAGGCGCATCCTGGAGTGCAATTATTTAGAATTATATGCATTTTAAATATACATACGTCTTAAGCCTGCATTTGAGATCCTCGCTTAACTCAATGAGCGGTCGTTTTACATTTCTTTTATACTAACGACTTGCCCCGGCTTCGCACGGGTGGTAGAGCCATATATGTTTACATTTTTTGCATCAGTTTGTTGCGTCGAGTATAAATTAAATTTTACGATTTTATGGCGTAAAGTGCTATTATATTATATATAAAATACTTAAGGTAATTAACGTATTGATTTTAATAATGATTAATATTATATCTCTCTAAATAGTTTTTGTAATAACTATTCTATTTTATAGAGAAGGAAAGATTGTGTAAGAGTTTTGTTATAAGTGAAACTAGAAGTACATGATTTTAGTTTAGGCTTCTGATTACACTTCTGATTATTTTAAGCGTTTTTGAAAACTTCAACCCTAAAGGGATGAAATAAGGAATGAAAGTTTGTATAAATAGTCTATTACTTTTCAAGTTAGAAATATAAAAGTTTACTTTTAAGGTATTTGATTTTAACAAAACTTTTTCTACCAGATTTTGGAAATTCTACCCCTAAGGGAATAAGATAGGGGTGATTTAATTTATGTGAAAATTTGTGTGTAAATTAAGTTAGGAGGAGTTTCAAAATCAGTCTTTTGCTAAGAAATAAAGTGTTTTATCATTTTTGAAAACTAAATACCACACGAGAGCGAAGCTGCGAGCAAAAATTAGTAATGTAATATATGTCCATGGCAGGTGTGTATGGCGATTATTATCGACTGTTGACACCGGGCCACTACGAACTGACGGCGAGCCACCCCGGCTACTTCCCCGTGTCGCGCGTCATTACAGTTCCACACTTTCAGAATACAGCTACAGTACTCAACTTTAGATTAGAGGTAAGGATATTTAATAAATTATCTCAATACAATGTATAAATTTCTGCGTAAAAAAGTTAGAAGTTAGTTTATATTAATCATCAACATCATCATTTCAGCCATTATCCGTCCACTGCTGGACATAGGCCTCCCCCAGACTTATACTAATAATACGTTCTAATTCCTATAGTTGTAACACAGTTGTAACGTGTTTTACATTTATATCGATTATATATGTGATTTTATTGCACCAATGTTTGTGTAACGTAACTTTACCTAATGCAAATTCGCTCTCTCTGTCCTTTGGCTACCTAATATTGAATACAAAAAACGTTTGGTCGCAATCATCTGTGTTAAAATTAACATAATGTTACTTGACTGTAACTTTGACCCTATATCTTGCATAATACTGTTATCTACTTATCTACTTACTACTATTTACTATAAGACATAGACTTTAACGCAAAAAGCACAATGAAATCACAAACCAATTTAACTTTTTTTCTTTCTTCTATATATTTACATTCGTTTTTTTTTGCCACCAAGCAGCTATGTTTGTTTTGTTTTGAAGGATGTGATATAGTAGTTAAATGCCTGGATGTACGAGGGGCACTATTATCGTAAGTGTCTATAGCGTTTGTTTAAGCCATTAGTATAAAATTAACTTATAAAGATCAAGATCAACTTCAATGTCGTAAATACATATATACCTATCAGTAAGTTAGGTAACGACCGCTACTTCGTCTACGATAATTTTTGTAGACGTCACAAGTTCTTGCTTCTTAAATAGCTTTAGATTTATATTATTTTTATTTCATTAACAACAATATATCAATGGAAAAATGGATACCATAACCGTAATAGTTATGTAATAGATAGAACGTAATAGTTACATTAATGAAAGAAAAAAAAAACATATCTTTTTTTGCTTTCACAATATTGGATATTAAGCTATTAATTTAAACATCAGTTTCAATAAAATGTCTTCAAAAATTTGGATATAAGAATATAAAATCCATGGTGCTGTTCATGTCTCTATATTTTTTATGGTTTTAACCGCACATAGGTGCGGTTACAACAGAAAAACCGTCAGTTTATTTGCCATTTTAATGGTTGCTACGGCACGATGGCAAATCGGTTTTTAATATTAGAATTTTCGTAGTAGGTAATAAATATGAGAGATTTTTAAAGACGATTTATTTGTACTCTATAGTTACGAAATGACGCTCCAATTCATCAAAATTCAGATTGATACGTGCAGTTTCGTTTTAAAAATATGCACGACCCTGTGCAAACTGTTGAGATTGTACTCTTAGAATATTTTAATAGTTAATGGACGGATAAAAACATGTTTGTGACAAGCAGGTCAAGCTTGTATAATTTGCACAGTGATGGGTCTGTATTCTATTTAATATCAAAACAATTAATCGTTCTGTGTGAATACTATGACGTCACTCATGATTCGTGTGTCTGATAACTTTAGCTTATCATTGACGTAAAACGCCCACGAACTTTCGCTTACACGTTGGCGGAGGGTTTAATTTATTTATGGCTGCGTACCTACTACGAATGAATTGCGACATTGATTATATTTTATTCCTAGATGTCTAGCTGTGTAAGTCGTCAGCAATATTTCTCAATTATGAAAAAAATTAATATAACGCAATAGAAACGATACAGTTACCAAGGTATCATCAGAATCGGTTCACAATTAACAAAACCATCGCATTTATGTACGCGATATATACACAAATTAATAAAAAACAAGTACAGTAAACAGAATCATATTTATAGTTGGTTAAAAAATGAATAAAATATTTTTGTTCGCATTACAATTTTAGTTAAGTATATTATGCATATTTTTAACATTTTTAATAGTGTTCCTCATATATTGCGGTGTTTTACACACACTATTTAAACATGTATGACGTTTAAATAGGTAATATGTACTTGTATGTTTTATGATGATAGAATAATTATACTAGTTTATAAAAATAAATGACTTTTTCGAATTTATTAAGAAAAATTATATAGATACATAATATTAAACGTAAAATGCCTAAATTAAATTAAAATATTTATGAAGGTCGCATGTCTACTCGACATTGATCTTGTTTTACAATTGTCAATTTTATTGTCCTATATCCTCCTTTTTATGCCCAGCAGTGCGACGTTAATGGATTTTTAAGGTATGGTAATTTTGTCTTAACCTTTAACATAATGTAATGATTTCAGCCTACATCAAGTTGGTTTGACGACGTGACGAACTTTGGCCAGTACCCGCATGGAGTGCTCAGTCAAGAACGTCGCATCTACAAAAGGTCGCTCTATAAACAGGTTATAAATACTATGTTAGAAAAGAAAGAATCCGGTACGCAATAAATATTTATTCTCACTCACATATTCCGTTAGCTAAATGTTAGTTATGCTACTGAGGTTTACCTATCGATAATTTGATATATAAATTTCCTCTTGAAGCGAATCGCATTTATCACGCGTATAATAGTAATATCATTCCATTATAACCATATACAGTGCTATATAATAAGAAATTCATGAGAAATTAAACAAATTCGTAAATGTATGTACTCGTAAACAGTGAAATTGAGGACGATTAATACTATTTTTTTTAAAATATTAATTGGATAAGTTTTTAAAAATACAAGAATACAATAGGTTTTTACCTTTATTAAAATTGTAGTTGTCAGTTTAGAGATCAGGTTTATATGATAAGGACATTATAGAATATAGTACCAGAACCAGAGTTAGCAAAACTTTCTTAGATTATTTATCTTCATCAGTCACATGAAATCGGTCTCAATATTTTAAATAATTAATAAAATAACAACTGATCCAGATTTGTTGATAAAGAAAACTTATAATTTTATAATTGTGTTTATTGTTGTACTATTATTACATTTTCTAGTCCAACTTTACCTTTTTATAAAATAGACTGCACTATCTGTATATATCTAGTAGTGTGTAGTCGTTTATATTAAATAATATTTTATCTATTTTAAGATCATAATTCTCAGATCTAGTTGAATGTTTCATTAACTAATTTCTCAAGACTATTTAGATTAAAATATTAATCTGCGCGGGTAATTTATTTGAGGCAATTTCTGGACCCGCCTAAATAGACCAATTATTTGATGATTACTTGAATGTTATTATAGTTTGTGAAGAGAGTATTAAATTGAATATGTAGAGGCAGTGCCCTTAAATTTAGTGAAATTATAATTTTGTTATAGATATCGATGTAAAAGTATATATTAAAATAAGTAATGCCAATATTAATGTCTACTGTAATTATTGAGTGTTTAACACTTAAATAATAAAGGATTGTGGTTTGTGTGCACTAACTTGATTTTTATTTTAAAAATATACACCTAATGAAAATATAAACTTTTTTTTTATCGAAAAATATCTTTGAATTGGAAAAATGAAAAACAATTTATAAGATAAAAATTAGAATAAGATTTTCATCAGTAAATAAATTATCTGTAGAATATAAGGTACATATATTATTTGCTAAAACAATTACGAAAATATGTAAAAGTTCAGTGTGGTATCGAATGTAGCTAGTACTGTTTTAGAGGGTCTGTTATAATATATACGTCGTTTACTGTATAAACGTGGAAAATACCATGGACATCAGATGATATATTCTACATAGTGCTATTCATGTAGACGATGATGCTGCGCTTCTTTTATCAGAGATTAGCTTCGGACGTACTTCAAGGAATCAGCCTCATTACAGATCATGAAGTAAATTAATACTAGTAAGCACCCATTGTGCTATTAGTAAATATGTTTATATATTTACAATATATATTTACGAGTGGTGTGGTGATCGAATATTGGTGTGTAATAGCTAGAGGCGTATTGTACTACTGTTTACTTCAACTTGGGGTGTAGTCCGGTGTCGTTGTCATTATCTTGCTTATATTTAAAAAATATAGTGTTCTGCATAACGTTCTAAAATAATTTTTAAACATAATATATATATCACACTTTTTCCTAATTGATATAAAATCTTATGTTTCTATACAATAATTTTATTTTAGGTTTTAATTCAAGCATAGGGATTGAAAAATAATACAATTAATGTGTTAAATAGTTTATTGATATCAGTCACACGTTGCTATTGGACGTATTTAATATAAATGTCTATAAAACATGTAGGCTCATTTATTATTCTGTATTTAGGTATACTTCGTTTCAATAAATATCAAAATTTCATATCAATTTTATATTATATAAGTTTGCTGTGGACACATGTTTTAACTGATGACTTTAATACATAATTTAATATTTTAATATTACACACACATAAACTGTCTAGTTAAATTCACAGAACCTAAAATATAATATTAGCGATTAAGCTAAAAAACCTGTTACGTTAAAATCTACTTAATATGTAAGGTACTTAAATTATTTCACAGTTATGATGTGGTATAAGTATTTTATACTTATTAAAAATAGGTAGTCGTCAAAAGTTCCATGTGATCAAAACCAGTTAATTAAAGAGATGTATAAAATATTCTACGATAAAAATATGTATAGACAGTTGTATCACAATTGGATATATTTATTATACTTAATTAAAATGATCAAAGGAACTTTTGCAACAAATACATAGTTAATAAGCATGTCATGGTCAGTTCAGAAATCGTGAAATATAATATCAAGTTAGTATATTTTTACTGTGTTTCTCAATTTAGATTTATGGCCTGTACCTACCGGAATTGAAGAAATGTGAAATATTTTATCCAGCATAGTCAAATATCAAAATATAAATCAATGAAATTTGAAAGAAATAATTTTGGTACATCTACTTGGATAGCATTGGCATTAACTAAAATTGTACTCGTACTAATATGTTTATATAGACAGTGAGATTGATATTATTAACATTCTTTTAAGTCACTAATGAACATTTTTTATAAAAAAAATATGGGGTAAGAAGTGAATGAATTAAAGCTTTTTAACTAAAATACTTTCAAATTAATATTTTCAAGTTTTCTTTGGAAAAAAATGTTCAGGTTCATCAGTAAAAATGACGATTTTATCCTATGTAATTAATTACATGTAAATCGACCACTGATATGTCTTATATGAATTTTATAAACGCAATATGGATAAATTCTGAACTGATCACTAACAAGCAGATATTAACCAGCCGTCTTAGCATTTTTATAATTTATGGTAGTTTTATCTGAATTATATCGCACGTAGGTAAATATTTAATTGTTTTATTATTATTTCTCACATAATGTGAAACACATTGCAAGTAAGCGAATACATGCACACTTGGCAATTACATAATACATAATATGCCTTACATTTATAAATATGCTCGTAAGGCTAACGATTCTCGTCTATCAAAAGTGCTGTTTTACTTACGTAATTTTAATATTTAATATCTTGTTTTCTTTTTAAAGTTACTTTTTATATAATTATAAACATTATATATTTCTTTCTGTAATTATAAATATGTCCTGTGATGAAATTACAATCATCGAATCATTGTTTTTCATATTATATACACCAGCGGATTACAGTTTACGTAGTATAGATTACTACTTGCTTGTAAACCGTTTACATCTATTAAATAGCTGGACATATAAACTTTTTGGAGATTAGGGTTTTTTTTCACTTCTAACTTTAATTTTTCTATATATATCTACATATTTATAATTACATAGTAAGTATATGTATTGCTTATATACGTATTGGTGTTAAATTTTTGTTTTAATAAAAAAAAATATATATATAATTTAACTAACGACACAAAATACTATTCATATGTCTTATCTTATATTTTAACCCCTTCGTTGGTAGATCTATTTAGTATTTATACAGGCCCTTTATCAGTAGGTAATATATAAGATTGAACTATTAAGTACTTATATCTAAATTTAATATATACGAATACTAGAAATTGGACGGTTTCGTTGCAATAGTCAGGTATTTGTATACAAATATTATCTAAAATGGCGTTGAAGCCACTAAGGTACGTTGAATCATAATGGCACTTCTTAAATTCATTATAATATGCATTTATGTTCCGGTGCTTGCACCTATTAATATATTATAATGTAATACATTTAATTACTTTAGAGCACCATTCGGTTGTCATTTGTGTTCATATAAAGGTTATTTATTATTCAATATTAGATGTACAAATTCTGTGATGTCAAAAAGTATCTACCGTCTTATTTACATAAACTAACGTAATTTTATCAGGCATCAAATATTCATTATTATTTCTTCATTTGTGATTATAATTAATTTCATATATTGTAGTGTCCCACATTCAAAGTACCATAACTGTTACCTGTTGCTTAATGCCTGTTTCGATGCATACCTGAGTGACGACTGCCAGGCCTTGATTGCACTATCGCGTAGTGATCGCTGTTGTCTGATACGGATCTGGCAATACATATAAAATATAAATAATATATAGGTATGTATATAGATATTTTTAAATGTTGCAGCGTAGTAAATGAATTAAGAGGATTGATCAAAAAAATTTCAGAACAATTTTGGAAACGATTCCGAATTTAATCTCGTTATCCATGTAGTATGAAAAATATTTATAATAATTAGTGTATGTTTTCAATGATAGTCACTAATTTAGATTCATAGATATCCTTCTGTTATATAGAAAGACCCATACCTTAGACGACTCAACAGTACTCCTCACGCTTAATAGTAATATGTTAACGGGGTGCTAAGATGTTATTGAAGTAAATCTCCAATTAATACCTAATACTGCAGGTACTCCACGTGGAAACCATTGTGCTGAATTCCAGGTGTATTCATCACGATGGGCTAACTGAACGGACCTGTATTTTCAATCTCACTTATCATCCCTCACTAGTACCCTGACAATGTATACCGTTAACGCAGGGGTGGAGGGGTTACTATTCCATTACCATCCATAAAAAAATACTACAGGTTTAATATATTTATTATTCTTCATATTATATAATTATTATTCTTTTTTTTTTTCAAGTGAAAAAATGTAGTGTAGTTTAATACCATCTAAGTAAAAATGGTTCATAAAATTTGTTTGATCCTCCTTTTGATGAAGAAAGCGTAGTTAACCAATTTTCACAATATGTTTCATGAGCATTTTTCTTAGTTGTTTCTTTGGATAAAAGCAAAATTATTGGTAGGTATGCAAAAGCACATGTAAACCTCATTTACTAAAGGTAAAGGGACTATCAGTGCATAAGAGCAAAGATAGAATAATTAATTATCAAACATATTTACAGGTGTAATACTTATTGTGGAAAAAAATATATCAAGAACTTTAGGTACCTATATAGCTGCGTTACTATAGGTATAGATAGGTATTTAAGAATTAGAACTGTTCGTGAAAAAAATACTGCAGTTTTTTTTTGTAGACACATAAATATATTTTGTTAGTACATAGTATGTACTTAACATGAAATATTATTTCGAATTCTCTTCGATTAAATATGCAAATATACAATTTATTTTGTAGGGTTTGCCTTAAGTAGGACTAAATATATAATATTTTCATCGCTAAGTTTTTTCATGGGGATATTATGCAGCATTAGTTTTTAAAAGTTTGATACACTGTTAATTTAATAGTTGGGTGTCTTGTTCTCGTCATTTGATACGGACGACGGCATACCCGCAATGTGGGGAAAAAAGGGCGACTTTATATATGAATAGGGTAATAGATCAAAGTAGAATCTAAGATAATAATGGCAGTATGCATCCTGATGAGAAAGCCCTATTTCTACTATTGGAGACTAAATGCAAGGACAATAGGAGCTCCAAGCAAATGGCTTTATTGGAAAACAAAATTATGTAGGTTATTATTTACAGAATATATAGGTATAATAATATGAGTTATGAAGTATTTGTATATTTATTAATTATTTACAGATTATGATGCAATGAAGATGTTATTGATACTTAATATTGATGATGATATATACAGATGTGTGTTTATTTACCGATGAGTGTGCAACGGCGCAACGAGGGCCCCGTAGAGTATGATTGATAACGGAATATATTGGCATAGTATGTAAAATAAAAATATATAAATTACATATAGGACACCCGAGAGAATATCTGCTTGCAAATCAGAATAAAACCCCTTGGTGGTAACGTCCTTAGTATACGATATATTATAATTGTACTTTTTCAAAGGTTTTGTCCTGTGAATACCTATGAAAATGGTGCAAAGAATTCTCATTTACAAAGATGAAATGATTGATGGTAACACTCGTTACCATTATTTATTAGTACCAGAAATAAACAAAATAACGTTAGGATATTAAGTTTTTTTACTATTTGTTTTAATAATAGCTGAATAATGTAGTCTCTTGTTGTACAAAGGGACAGTAGATAGTTAATTTTAATAGCCACAGCGAGGTAGGCTCTACAATTAATTGCTCTAATATTATTTAATATATTATTTACAGAGATATTGTTCTAACTGAGCGATTTAGAAAATCCACAAATAATATTTATGTACAAATATATCGTGTACAAACCAATAAAGTAAGCAGCGTATTCTGTGTGTGTAATGGGTACCAATACACACGTATGTTGATTAGTATAGGGTTATGTATGGTGTATGAATGTTACCTCGCCGAATGTATAGTTGATGACGGATACCTGCCGCCGTACTGGCTGCCGTGCCAGCTGCGGTACGGGTCGTAGTCCTCCACCACCGACGGGTCTTTCTCGATCACCTGCCAGTATGCGTTATCTTATCACCAGGACTATGTACTAAGTCGTCTGCATGGGTATTACTGTTGCACCTACGTTTCTGCTGTCAAGCAGCTGTGCTAGCACATCTGGGTTTGGTTTGAGAGGTGAGATATAACAGTGAAATAACTAGATACGAAGGCATAACATTCCACTCCTCAGGAATGGTAATACATGAGTATAATTAGCACTGACGCTCATTTAATGATATTTAAATAGATGTCTTAGTATTTATGAGTTCTTGTTTCCAGTTGTACAATTAATAATCGAGGTGCTTTGAAAATTCGTACAAGTTATCCTAATAGTGAGGAACTAAACGACAGGTTTTAGGGCAAATAAAAGTTATTTATTTTATTACAGATAAGCATTGTCTATAATTAGTAGAATTTCGCTTGCCTATTTAGACTGAAACTCAAAATGAATCAGTTCTAAAAGATGGTTTTCTTTATTTCTTTGCTCTGTGCTCTTTGTTATGTTGGTATTGCTTATATGCTAAATACATAATAGAAACTCACGTCAGTTCTCGCACACGAACAAGTCATGGCGGTACAGAGGAAGCAGTTGATAAGCAGCATCACAAGAAACATGACGCCGAGAGCGATGGCCAAGTAAAGCAGCCACAATGGCCGCACGCCTGTCTCCGAGCACATTACCACTGTGAATATGTGAAGTAATGCTTTATATATACCCTTTAATAATAGGAAAATTAGTATTTTTTATTAAAGAAGACCTTAAAACTTTTTTGTCGATTGGAAAAATGAAGAACAATATTGCAATTTATTTAAAAACACTATTATTTTTTTCTCAATTAACAAGTTGACAATGAAATGTTAGCTCCCCAGAGATTAATAAGCCTATTCTAGGATGTTTTAATAAATGTATGTCTGGTATCCATTTATTGAATAGATCTGAATATACGTATACGCTAGATATACTAAATATAGCTATATATAGATATATATATATATATATATATACCAGAAAAATTTTGAGTATCCTTTTTCCTTTCTTGGAGTTTGGGGAAGATTGCTAATAATGGATGCTTGAGACCCTATTGCTAGCAATATATTTGTAGTTTATATTATTCTTTGTGTATACATAACTTATGTGTTTATACAATATATGCAGATCGTATGACTGCCTATTTTTATTTTTAAAATAACACAATTAACATGGAAAGGTTTTGCTGGAAGAAATCTCTTATTAGAGATAAGCTCGCCTTTGTACATTATGTTTATAATGAATTGTAATTAACAGTAAGTCTTGTGTACAATAAAGAATAAAGAATATTTTATCAGGTCTCCACGCGGTACGACGCGTCTCTACGCGGTACGACGCGTGAGTTGCTATTCCCTTATAAAAAAAAAAAACTGGGTAAAAAATAAAATTGACGAATCGATTGTAGTCTTTCAGTTTGTTTATCTTGTTATTTTTCTCACAAGTAAATATTTCTGACAACCTTGAGTGCAGATTATGATTGTCCAACTCCTGAATATTTTATACTTATACTTTGTTTTACATAACTTAATGTTTATACTAGGTTTTTAGTTCCGTGTTTTATCTCTCGATATATATATATATATATATATATATATATATATATATATATATAAATATATATATATATATAAATGATTGAATATTTGTTTTTGAGCAATAGAGTTAGTAGTACAATAAAATCTGCAATCCATACCAGCGTTATCATTAGGATCCAAAACGAATACACCAGTGGAGGCTGTCACAGTGCCTTCTTCATCTCCCGGATCTGAACGGTTGTCTGACGTGCAGTCTATTGTATTGCAACTTCCTAAAATTTAAATTGTATATATATAGTTTTATGTATGTGTAGCTATTATCCATAACTGTTTTCAATATTACATATTTTGAGTAAAATGTTCATAAATAAAGAAAATAAATTCTTATATTCCTTTTTATTTTGAACAAAATTTATTATTAAGTGCAGCGATGTCATCGTTTATTTTCAATTAATTTTTATACTTTGACTTTATACAGCTAATTCGTCTATCATTATGAAATTGACACTTTAGCCGAATTATTATTTCATGGATGAGTCCCGAAATGGTTAATGTTTAAAATACTGTTTAAATTCTAATTATTTCTGAAATAATCGAGTTGAAACTTTTCATTTTTTTCATGACGATATGAATGAATATTTGTTAAATATAACAAGATCTATTTATAAAAGAATCAAAAAGTTATTAATTAGATATAAATGTTTCAAAATACCTGAACAGACAGCGATATCACACTGAAAGTTAACCTGTGACGAGTCAGGAAATCGGAACATCGACGCTATGACGAGCTCCGCTACGCCGTTTTCAGACTTCGTAACGATTGTGTCGTGTTTCAGCGGACATCTAATGAGGTAAGAACATCTATTGTTATAATAGGCATTTAATTACTATTGCATTAAGATATCATATAATTTTACCATCACGATATAATAGGAAAGAAAAATTTAAGCATTTTTTGTATTATTGCATATTTCGACAATATTGTAACATTGTGTTCGGCCACGATATCATCTCAAAAATTTAAAAACATATAATTATACATATTTTTCTATCCATACAAATATATATATTTCACTCTCCTACTATATCGTAAGGGGATATATCGGAACTGATTTTTGTAAGGTGATTTAACAGATCTATTATTTTATCAATGTACTCTATTACGTCAACCTCCTCGTAGTTCCGTCTCGAAGCCCTCGTGGTTATTTCTCGTGAAATTTTTCACAATAGGCTAACTATCTTGCTTTCATATTCCCCTATAATATCTCAGATGCTCCGCCACCATATACTGATAGCGCAGGTGGGGTTACCATTATATTTTTTTATTCACCGATTAAAAAAAACTATATCGTGACAATAAAACTGTACCTACTCGTATTGTACCATGTTATGGTAAAATTGTAATTAAATAAGAGAGACAACAACTTTCTAAGAACTTACCCTCTATTGTCCAAAAGCTCTACAGTATTGTTACGCATATTGAATGCAAAACATTTTTTTAATCTGATTCCGTGAGTACCTGTAATATTATAATATAAAGAATTAGTTATATAAACAGCTAATTACATATTTTGTGGATCTACTACTTGTAACAAAGCTGGTGAATATTTTAATAAAATATCTTCGTATTCCATAATAATCTAATTTGTGACCGACTGTATCTATTATATCAATTAAAATTATAAAGAACGTTCGACATACTATTTATTGATGTTACAAATGGATAAAAAGAAATATACAGTACCGTCTGATTTGCTTAGTTCAGCGCGAAGCGTGTATGGAAGTCCAAAAGCAGCGTTCAAAACTTTTACCCCCTGTGGGTTTAACATTCTTAAAGACACGAGGGATGTTTCGTTTCTGCAAAAGAGACAATGTGCTAGTTATTTTAATGTGTTTTATGTTGGTTTGAGAAACGTTATAAATTGCATTTGACCCTTATTAGTGATTTATCTTGTTATATTTTGTTAAGAGAGGGATTGGCTGAAAACCGTCACTGTATACATTGCATCGGGATACTCACAGCACCAGCTGACTTACTTTTGCCTAATAAGAGACACGTTTTCTATATAATATTATTGTATTCTCTACTTTATTCTATCTTCTTATGGGCGCTAGATTTCTCCAAGGTAATTAAAAATATATTTAGCCTGTGATATGGAAATTAGAAAAAAATAAAGTGAAAAATAAAAGAATATAAGTTCTCTTATTATATCTATTGAATTTAAGATTAATGAACATCAACGACTATCATCATCATTATTATGTATGTAGAGGGCAGTAAAACCAAGATGTAATTAAGCTGTAGACCTACTACTATGTACCTATACTACTAAATGTGATAAATATAACAGAATATAGAGACATACTATAAAATATAAGTACACTACAATACCTCGAATTTCTGAATCCCGCTTTACCGCACGTAATGACATAGAACTTGTCATCAGCCAACTCCAGAGTCCGATGCACGCGGACTGCGAGAGGGAGGGATCGTTCATCTGTACGCTGAAATAGCATGTAAACATAAAACATGATATTACCATTTTGACTTTGTAGACTTTTGCTATATAATTTATACTGTCTACAAAATATTCCACTGATTTTTTCGCTAATTTGCGTGTTCAGTTGAATAATCTTATTTTAATCCAAACTAAACAAAGCTTGTAGTCAGTATATGTTAATAATTCTATGGTTTGTTCTATATATAGGAAATAGGCTTCTTATAAACATACATTATTACTTTGTTGTAAATAAATAGGTACATGTAATATTTAAAAAACACCCACTCCTATGTAAACAGATGGACATAAATACAAATATATATATTCTATGGTGTTACACCACTATACTGTGGCCTATATTAATAACCCTGAAGAATAACTAGGTATATAATTTCAATATTTCTTTATCTAAAGCGCCAAAGAAATGTTGAAATTTGTTATCCTGATAATTATTATGACCATGATGATTAATTATACTTATAATGTTGAAATTTCGTTATAAATAAGCTATTAGAAATAATCTGATTATATAACGGATGCCACATAGGTAATTACTTCAGTTAAAATTTCCGATACGAAGACTTATCTTAATAAAAATGACCTCAGTAGGGTCGGTAACTGTAATTGATTTCATTATTGTGAATGGATAACTAACGTGTCCGTTTGCGTTGGTATATTTTTTTATTGCGCTTAGAAATACAATAATAGTCACAAATATTTAGAATGTGAGCAAAGGTAAACAAAGGTTCTATATGAAATACGTATAAAAATCATATACTAACATTGTTCCAAAATACACCACAATAATCCGGAGACCCTTGTGTCGCCATTAAGTTGATATCGAAGTTGAGAGTCTCGGTACCGTTGCCCTGGATCATGCATGATGGAGTTCTAAAACAACAATAAAAATATAAAAATCATTACTTATAGATAGGTGCATAGATTTATAACAAGTATAGATAGGCATGTGTACATGCAATTTCCAAAAATAAGTAACAGTTATTATCATCGATATATTAATAAAGTTAGGTTTTTTGGTGTATTATTACAGTATTGTAGCCTACTAACATAATCAATACATATAATAAGAACGTAACTGGTCGCTGTCTGTATATGGAAGATGTATATGAAAAACTATTATAACGGGGTTTTATGAATGCAATAGAAACCAAAACAATGTTTTTTAGGATTTTTATTTGTTTGTCTGTATGTCTATTTGTTTGTACATTTGTGCGCGCTAATCTCAGAAACAGCTTAACTGATTCTAATGCGGTATTTACTAATGCGTTGCGGTTTGCTCTATTTAACATTGTTTGTTTTATTTCAATCGGTTCATAAATTAAAAAAGTTATATTAATCTAAATAATCACATATAAAATGCTTATAGAGTAACCGATCAGTTGAATTGTTTGAAACTTTACTAAGGTAGGTTATATATCATATTTTAACGCATAGGATATTTTATATACCGATTCATATAGGCAGCGCTGCGGGAAACAGCTAGTTAACTAATATATCTACAGGTTCGTGTAGTGATGAAGTAAAAACTCAACATTACATGTCATATTGACTACATTATTTCGTCTTCAAGATATCGTAGGAGATGATTGAAGAAATAAAATGTAAATATAATAATACACAGCAAAAGGTAATTAAAAAAAGCTATTCTCGTATCAAGCTATCTACCCAGCAAAGCTGTGCGTCTTCTTATTGAAAGAGACTTTTTCGACCGAGTGTTACTTGTGTGCTTACCTGAATTCTCTTGCGTGTATGATGCCATTAAATGGTTGATTGAAAGTCACTCTGATGGACATAACATTCGATTTACAGGTCGCGTTAACAACAGGCGTAAAATCAGTTGTGCCATCTGCATTCTGAAATAGAGAAAAAACAAATTTAATATCCAGGTATGTTAACTATTATTTTAAGCTACTAATAATAGGAGTAATATACACTAAAACAATATTTTTGTATTTGTCTGTGTGTACGTTTGTTCCGGTATCATGCAAAAACAGCTTAACTGAATTAGATTATGTTTTCATAATTGCGTTCTTGAAGTCATTTCATTGGTTTTTCTATTTCCAAAGGTCACGCATATGAATTTACAGCTATAAGCTAGTTAATATTATATGGGTGTACATATATTTGGATAAATTGAAATAATACACGAGTAAATACCTTAGATATACCTACAAAAAATGTCTTTTTGACAATTGTTATGCCTATTTATTATTAAGTTTTAAAACAAACCTCTATCCCTAAAGTAAAAAAAAAAAAATACAAAACACATTTTGATAAACTTATAATAATGCCAAGAATTTTAGAATTTTATGATCTTGATCTGTATAAATGTCCTTTATGTAAACTATGTTTTGTTAACATTCTCGACTGATTATATAGTGGTTGGTTAAGTACTTTTTTAGTTTTCAGGGCATATTATCATATTGTTTACGTAACATATAAGGAACGAAAAGTAATCTTTAAAACAACTTCCTGCTTATGACACTCGTCGACAGGCCAGTTAGATTTTCCATGCAGGGACAATGCACGCTAGCCGGGCTATGCCTACCCATCGGCTTTCTTTATTTTAACATTCATTTATATGTATTATTTAATTACAATATTAAGTTCTCTTTAAGATATTTAGTTTATAAATCAATTCTTATAACGGAATAATATTAAGTTATCAGTACGGTACCATATCTACTAAATAGTTGTAAAATCCGGTATTAATCTGATGAATTGAGGATAGGTAATTTTTTAATACAGAATAATTTCTTTACTTAATTTATATATAACTAAAATACTTAATTTTCACGTGATATATATCTGTTATATTCTATTATATAAATTATTCGTAGAAAAATAATATTATACGAGTAAAAGATAAAATAATTCATTAAGGATCTTTATATATGTACCACATAAGTTTTGTTAACTTATGTTTTATTTGTAAAATGATAATATGTATATTTTATGCAAACAGTCAAAAACACACACACATTCACATTTTAACTTGAATTTTGTTATCAGTTAAAGGATTTATTCTTAAGTCAAACGGACCTCAAGTTTCTGTCACTTGTGAATGTAGCCCGAAACAACATTCTAAGCTATAGTGCTTCGCAGTGTACCTAACTCATAAATTCTTGGTTCTAAGTAACTGAATACAAGAGCGTGGGATGGTCGCGTGGGGTTTATGATTATGATCGATCAATTCAATCAAGTTACGGCTTACAGTAAGAATACCAAGTTCGAAAGTTCAGATTCTCGTAATACTCGTAAATATATTTATAGAGGGCTTACTTTTTTGTTATTTTTTTTATAAATATAACAACAGGAATCTGTAAGTTATAGTACATATAGACATTGGTAGAGTATATATAGCGTATAGTACATATAGCGTAGGTCACTTGCATAGAAACGTGGACAAAAGTGGACATTTTTCAGTTCAAATAGTCAAACAAACTGTTCTGTTTTCATTTTGGCTCCCATTTATTAATATTTATATGATATCAATGATTAATTAATATAGATAAATTCCTGAGAACAAATATCTGCTATAGATGTTAGCTATACCTATAGGTATAATATAATAGTTCACAATGCCACGGGCTGTGTCGTGATGACAAAGAGATACTTTGTCGTCATTACACAACGTAGTCAAAGCTTTTTGTATGTAACTATCGGTAATTCAGATAACTTTTGTATTAAACTAGCTGTATTTTATATTGATCTTTGTTTATTTGATCGGGATAAAATAAATTGTCTTTTTCTACAACATTTCCTAACAAAGTAATTATATAGGATAATTAAATAAATTTTTTGTTTCAAAAAATAATTTTATTTTTCCTTTTGATCTATTGGCTCAGTAGTAATTTTTATGCTCTTAGTATTTGACTTAAATCTTATAACAAACAACTTTTATTTTGCCGATTTCTAATAAATCCAATTCATGGTATATTAGTCGTTAACCTAATAATACCTACTATCTGAATCAGCAATACATAGAATATAGGTAGTGTGTAATATGCATTTTAAATTAAATAGTTTAACATAAGCTTCTTTGGCTATGACGATATTCTACATAGGTCCAGGAAATAACAAAGTAAAGTGGGCAAGCGTTGTGCCGACATAAGACCGTAGGTCGCGCCCCTGGCCAGCTAGCGCGCACGATTGCATCCAATTGCATTTACAATCCACACGACTCGAAGCTTCTTACTATTACTTTAAGTACAACACTTTACAAAATGATACAAAAATATGTACATTTAATTTATTTCTCGATAAATTGAATTACTTTAAATTCTATTTTAATACCGATTTTTTTATGCAACTTAGAATTGCAAACAAACTGACGGCTCACCTGTTGGAAAGTGGTAACCGTTGCCTATAGACATGAACAGTACCGTAGAGTATACTGTTTTTTTTTTGATGGGTGAAAATGGTATGGTAACCCCGCCTGCGCTAATGGGATACGCTGGCGGAGCACCAGTGAAGGGTGATAGATGAGAATGAAAACAGGCCAGTTAGCCCATCATGATGAATTCAACAGGAATTAACCATGATAGTTTCCAGGGGGAACCGCGAGGAGGTCGACCTGGTTGAGTATATTGCTAGCAATGGGATTCTCAGTCTCCATTACTAACAATCCCTTTCCCCCGAGTATACTGTGTTGTCAAAGGACACTCTTCATGCGTTGCCATTCCTGAGGACTAAGGTATTATACCTCTGCGATTTAACTAAATTCACTTCAAGCATAGAAATTTGTGTTAAGAACGTCTAGTTGTTAGTTTGATTAGGATGACAGTCATCACAATTACAAAGGATTCGAATGAAATTCGGGTAAATTAAAACAAAAGTTTTCAATTCATCCGTATTTTTTGTGTTGTTGTTGTAATATGTTTACCACTTCTATACTCGTTTGATATTTTTTTTTCAAATCGACAGTGTTTACGTGTACTTATATACTCCTGTGTTAGTTACACATTAAGTAATTTTATTATTATTGTAGTAGCAATTTTTTTACTATCTACTTTTTGTCCTGTTTACATGTACGAAATTGAGAACAAAATTTAGTAGATTATATAAAATTTAAGGTGTTACTAATTGCAAGTTTGAAGACTTGATTAAAATTATGTTTTTCAACAACAAGCATTCTAATATTTTATTGTATTATTTAAAAGAACATATAATATTATATAACAGAACAGATAAAAAGGCAAATATATAGAAGAAAATATTTGCCTTTTTGTCTGTTTAAAGTTTATGTCTACATTTGGGCACATCTCTGAAAAATTTCATCTAAAACATGAAAACCTGAGTGAGTACGTGTACATCTGGTATATTTTATAGTTAAAAATATCTAAAAAATCTATAGATTATACACAGATGAACAGGAAGACTCAATTATATATTTACAATATTCGTATACTAAATTAGAGTAGATAATATATAATATTATAATGAATGTACGTACATATTGTTATGTAATCTTCGTCGTCTTATGTAATAAGATTTTATTTGGCTAAAAAATATTTTCATTTCGTTTCTTTTTCAACTTGATACTACAAAAGAAACTTGTATTCGTAGTTTATACTGATAAAAACTGTAATTCAAGGTTACGTACACGAATTTACATTTATTTACAATTCGTAGTGACACGTTTTAGTAGGTGTTGTATCAAGAACGTTTGAGCTGGGTTGTTTTTATAAGATGAAAATGGATTTGTAACTCTGCCTACATTAACGCCTGCTGTAGCTATACACTGGCGGATTACCAGTGCGTGAAGATACGTATCGATGAAATCAGGTCAGGAATTTACCAGGAATTAAACGATGGTCTTTGATGGGGGAGGTTGATCTGAGTACATACTATTGATTATGTTCTATATTGTCAGCAATGAGGTCGCTTGCCCGCACTATCCCTACATTACTCCTTTCCCTATGTACCTAATATTGTTATTAACGGGGACTAGCCGTAGGTACATAAATAAATAACTTGAAAAAAAATTGCGACTTAATGATGAAAGAAAAGACAGGATAACAATTTAATTATTCACAGAGAAAATTAAAATTCAGGTTTTCCTTTTCAAATGTCTGAAATACGTTTCATGGAAATGTAACAAAAGGATTCAACACAACTGCTGTCACGCTAAATTTAAATTATCTGTTGAGAATCAGTACAAAGAATACCAGTTGTTGTACCAGTATTTATGACGTAATAATAGTAATTTATTCGATTCGAATTAGTTGCCAAAATTGTCATTAAACCATGTTAAACACAAATATCTTGAAACATCGACTTTTTTACGTTCAGGTTCAATGATTTATTGTTACATGAAACCTTTTGTATTCGTTATGATTTTGAAAATCTCTTTTTACTACATACTTTTATCCTCCACAGGCCTAGGAAGCTTATTTTACTGTGTGTTTCCTTTAAATTTGAAGCTAAGCTGTATCTTACGATTTGCTCGACCAATTTTTATAAACATACATATTTTTAAATATAATACAGTGTAGATCTTACTTAGGTAATTAATAAGATTCAATGAATCTGTTTACCCATTTCATCGAAGTAACATAATATATATAGAACACCAACAAATGGTTAAATATATGGTTAACAAAATATTTATTTACTATGTTTATTTTATGCGTTTGTCATGTCCCTAGTTCTAGTACTGCTACATTTAAAGCAAATCTAATGACAAACCACTTATTAAAATTCATTATCTTGTATACGAGTAGATTGTATGTTATTTAAAGTTTTGTGTATACTTAGATATATAGAACATAAAGTTCCTTTTTTCAGTTGGGTAAATAAATTATAATATTTAAATACTCTTCACTGAATAACAAAATTTTACTCATAATTA